TTTATGTTGTAGAAGTCTCGTTCGAGTTTGCGGAAGCCTTCGACTTCCAGCATTCGGCAGAAGATTCGAGAGAGTTGGGCTGCTAGGAGGATTTCTCGGCGGTCTGTGGCGCTGTTTATGTCCATTGTGCGTTCTTCGCCGCTTGCGTCTAGAGAGACGAAGCTATATTTTGCGCGGCTGGGCATGTTGTGCCATTGGGAGAGGAGGGTCTGGGTCGTTAGTTTGGTTTTGATGGGGAAAGGTTAAAATGCTTACATAGGCTTGATTCATTGGGTCGCAGTCGGCGACGCAGGATAGCCAGTTCTTGGACTTGTCCTTTGAGTCGACGATTCGGCGGTCGATGAACTCGAGGAAGGTAGACTTGGAGTTGCCGTTGTACTCGCTTAGAGTCTTGAGGAACTTGTAGGTCTCTCCCAGGTCGAGAACGTACAGAGAGCCCCAGGACTGGCTAGCGCGGATGTTGAACCGCCCTTGCCGTTCAGCAAGCAATGACAAGAGTTGTCCAAGGTCGAACTCGGATGGAATTTCCATGCGGACTCTGTTGGAACCATCTATTGTCGGGTGGTTCACAGCTCGTTGAGAGATGTAATTGCAAGTTCCAAATTCGACAATGCTGGAGAAGCAGGCACGCGCACAGGGCTGCTCGTGTAGCGTTGGACGGCAAGCATCGCAAGGGGAGCTTCCATCACACTTGCGCTTGTTCAATCGACACTGGACACATGTATCCTTGTTTTTCCTACGCAGACCAGCATTGGCCCGTCCAACCATACTCAGAGGACCCTTGCGACGAGCGCCTCGGGGAGGTGAGACAAAGTCTGCCGACGCAATAGACCCACCTTGGCCATCTTCCTGGACAATCTGCAGTGGTCTTGGCAGACCTTGGTCTGTAGAGCCTGGGTTTCTGGTCTTGCGCTTCCTGACCGCGCCGGAGTTCTGCATAGCCAGGGGCGCCGATCGACCGGCACGTTGGCCAGCAGTCGATGAAGCCCTTGACCGGGAGGGAATGGTGGAAACCATAGATTCCGGCACCTCGCTAACCATGAATGCCGTGGTCTTTGGCGCCGGCTGCGACCCCTCCCGCGAGCTCGGCTGAGATGTCCACTTCACCTCATCATCGTCTACTTGATGGTCCGCAAAAGCCGGGGGATCATCGCTAGTGGCGGAGTAAGAGCACTCGTAGATTCCAGACAAATCACCAGACACCGATGAGTTTTCCGACTTGTATTGGAAACGGTCCTGTCCCATTTGGGCTCTGTGTGGGCCCACAGTTTGGGAGGCTGGTGTGATCTGCTGGATGGGCAATTGCGACTCCAAACTGTTGAGCCAACGGGACTCGAGGGATCGGATGGAAGTCGGGAACTCAGATAGGGGATGGTCCTTGGGGTTCCCCTGTGTACCCACCGCGAGCGGCACAGACTCTTGTGCAGGGATGTTCTCCACAGGCACGCCGTGTTGAATCTCAGCCCACTGCTCCGGGATCATAGGGAAGGACTGAGGGATCTGCTGGAACTGCATAATACTCTCCCCGGGGGCATCCGAGAAACCCCCATGAGGCATCTCACCCACATCGTCCACAATGACGGCACCGGTCGAGTGATTCTGTCCTTTCGCGTAGGGGTACATCAGTGACGCATCCATCGGCATGCCGACAGAGTTGTACAACTGAAAATGCGGCCACGTCTCGTCGGAATGAAAGTTCTCATCGGAAGAAGGGGTCGTCTTGGGACTGATGGTCCCACTCCCAGTTCCCTCGACGCCGCCATCGGCGTAGTTGTAGGTCTCGGGAGCTACATCATGCTTTCTGCAAAATCAACACGCGTCAGCCATCGCCCACCACGCATTTTATCCAGGGATAAGGGGTCCCGACCTATTCTCCAAACGACGGAATTCGCTCGTCAACGGACCCTGGAGGGTTCCCAAGTCCGCGATATCCGCATCACACTGGCTCGAGTCCTGGCTGGTATCCCACTCTGGGGGTTGATCGTATCCCAAATGTTCCCACGATGCGACCGAAAAGGCGCCTTCGGTTTGCCAATTGTCTAAGATTTTGGGGTCGATCCCCGCAGCGGTCCCGGTGCTTCCACTGTCCATACAGGATATGTTCGAGGGGGACGACGACCGAGTCGAGCAAAGATCTCAAAAAGCTCGTGCTTTTTGAGACTTTGCAGGTGCAGTGAGGTGGGCAGATTGCAAGTGTATAGTGAGGCAGATGATGGAAGAGGTAAAAGTTGAGGGGCCAAAAGAAGAAGGCTGACGGGATTCCCCACCTCAAGATTTTCTGCGATCGTCTCTAGAGTGTTTCTGGCACAGACCAGGGTTTGGGTGGGATTATGGGTTATGCCTATGGTTATGTTCGGAATTAATGCATTTAAAACTAGAAGATTCAGAGATTTCCGTCTATATAATTGTGAGTCAAGATGCCAATGGGCCAATCTGGTAATGGTGCCAACAACGTGCGCCACGGTGTGTTGATCTCCGAGCGCGGACCTTACGAGAGACGATGTTGTCACAGAAAAGGAGCTTCTATCGCATATGAATCTGAATGGCCAAGTCCCTGTTTCCACTATAAACTTAGTTACATTTTGTGTCTCCCAAGGTTTTAATAGAAAAAGCAAAATTTTCCCGGTCCAGGTACTACAGGTACCGTGTATGTTACAGCATGCTTAACTCAGCCAGAATTTAACCTTTTAACATAACTTAACTCCACGACTTAACTATGTACATGAGGTCATAAGTTAAGTTGTTATTAAGAACATAAGTAATTAGCAGGTCTACTCCGTATTTATGCAGGGTATATGGTAAACATACACCGACCTAAGGGCTCTTGTATACAACCTAAATTTATGGGGTAAGTAGACTTCATGCAGTCTGTGCCTGTACATAACTACACTAAATGTAACTTAACTTATACTGTATGCACATGCCATGCCTTCTAGAACACCCAACTTATGTCGAATTTCAATCCCAATCCCAATCCACATGAATAATAGAAAACACATCTATGGCCAGTACCACCGAGAAAACCGACGGATCGGTTCACCGCAGGCTGCATTCGGGCCCTGCCACTGCCGTCCCCGCAGCCTGAACGGCTTCACCCCAACCCCGGTGTGGAAGAATGGCTCAATCATTACCCAGTTTCCCATAAGTGCCTGACTGCCGCTGTTTTCGTGAAGATCTCTTTTTTTTCCTCCTCTCTTCCTTCCTTATACCCCCAGAAAACTAGACCCGAGGGAAAAAAAAATCAGAAAATCAAAAGGGAAAATTCCCCGGAAGCTCAGACCATCAAGTTTCGAGGTATATCGCCCTAAGCGCTGCAAAAGGTCATGCACATCCTGGTAAGTGAGATCTACATCGTTGCGGTTATTTTTATCATTTTGCTTTTTCGCTTCTTCCATTATTCCTTTCTACTCCGCGGAAGTATAGAAAAAGAAATCAAGCTATCAGCGGAGTATGCAAGGATCTGCTCTAGACCGGTGGATCATGACATCCGCATGACATCCAAGGCCTCACGAGATCTCCCTTTCTTTCTCCCTCAATGCCGAGAGATAAACGCAAAGCCAAAAAACAATAATTAGGACCCCAAATTAACCGCCAAGAACAGGTAGTCAACGACGATGGCCCGCCAAGCAGACGCCTATCTCCATACATCCGCCCACTAGTCGACGAACTGCAAGCGAATGGCCACCAAGTCTCAGTAGCTATCCCGGCAGCCTCGCGTTCCTGGATCGGCAAGGCGCACCTTATCGAAGCGAAGCTTACTGCGAGCTATGTGCACAAGGATTCATTCCGTGAAGATGGGTCCTGGGACGAGGAGTATCAGCCAGAGCACACCAACGGCCTCACCAATGGCCTCACCAACGGCCATCTCACAAACGGCACAGCCACCACCGGCAATGACAACAACGAAGATGACGGCCCAACCCAAGACGAATGGGTAATAATCGAAAACGGCACCCCAGCCAGCTGCACCCAACTAGGCTTGCACAACCTCTTCACGAACCGCCCCAAAATCGACCTAGTAATCTCCGGCCCAAACCACGGCCGCAACGCCTCAACCATCTACAACCTGTCTTCGGGGACGGTGGGCGGGGCCCTGGAAGCCGTGTTTTGTGGGAAACGCGGGATCGCGATTTCGTTCGGGAGCAAGGATGAACAGCCTGCGGATGTTATTGCCGCTGCGGCGAGACTTGCTGTGCGCGTTGTTGGGTTCTTGTATAAGAATTGGGATGAGCGTGTTGAGCTTTATAATATTAATGTTCCTATGCGGGTTGATGTTGAGGGACGGCCGGTGATATATACGCGGACGTTGCCTTATTATTGGAATCGGGGGTGTTTGTATGCTGAGGATTTGGGAAAGAAGGAGGTTAATGGGGTTAATGGTGCGGTTAATGGTGAAGTGAATGGTGTCAATGGGCATGAGGTCAAAAGTCGGAAACGTCAGTTCAAGTGGTCGGCTGATTTGTCCGATATGAAGAAGACTATGCAGGAGAGTGAGGAGGGGACGGATGCTCATACTGTGTTGAATGGGTCTACGAGGTATGTCTTTCTTTTTCTATGAACCGAGGTTATTGGGACGATTGCTGATACTTCTTAGCGTGACTGCTCTTCGTGCGAACTTCTGGCATGTTCCTGGCTTGGAAGGGACTTTGGACGTTTAAAAGAGAAGAATGCTTTGATACGATACCCGCTATGGTCTTCGGATGCATTTGGTTTGCTTTCTTGCGGGCGCTAGATCTTGCATCTGATCATAGACATTTTGTGTATATATATCTCGGGAATTGCATACCTGATTTTATCTTTTATGATTTGTTTGACTTTGCATGGGGATCAATTGTAATTTATCATTCTCCAGTGTTCACCACCAAACAGCTTGAATAGAGAACCGCGAAGTAACAGAAAAAGCAACTGCAGTGCAATGCAAGCAATGGATTGAAGGGGTTATCACGAACGACAGATGCTAGAACAAGATAGCTGTTCTCGACATAAATAGAAACACCGGCTTAAATAGCACGAGCAGCCTCGCCTGCACCACTCTCAACAGTGGAAGCCTGCTCAGCACGCATCTTACCCTTTCCAACACCGCCCTCGCCCACACCCATGCGGCGCGCCACGTATCGCTGAGCAATAGTTCCAGCAGCAAGCGAGAGAGTCTCCTCAATCCATTCCGAGACCCACTCACGAGGATCAACGCCTCCACTCTCGATAATCTCGGCAATGGCCTCCGGCACGACAACGCGCGCCATGTGGGCATCCTCCACATCGGGATTCTCGGGAGCCGGGGCCGACTCGTCAAGCCAGTCAATCCAAGTCTGTGGGATAGCCTGGGAGATAGTGTGGAAGGCAATACCGTGGATAGGGTCGTGGAGGTACAGCGCGAAACAGATCTCCTCCTCGTCTTCCTTCTCCTCGGCACTATCGGCCTTCTCGCCGGACGCACCGGCCCGGAATAGGTCCTTGGAAGTAGCCTGGCTAATGGCCTGTATAGCCAAGAAGATATCACTACTGCGTACCGGGTTCGATTCACTCAGTACCTCTGTCGCCTGCTTCGCGGCCTCTTCAACACCGCCACGCGAAGAGAAGTACTCCGTGGCGTAGGACTCGGCGCTAGCACGCGCCAGCTTGGATCCGTCGACAACACCTCGCACGGCAGATACGGTCCGCGGTTGTCCTGGTGTGACAGTCCGCCACCACGGCCCGTCGTTCCAGCCGGCGCTGGTCATGTACCCGGTGACATCGAGGCCGCGTTTCGGGGATGATTCCTGGCCGCGCTGGATCACAAGAAGGTCTCCGCCCTCGACTTGGGACATCACGCGCGAGAACACGGCGTAGACTAATGGGTCGATGCCCGGGTAACCGGACAGGTCGTGCGTCACGTGGATTTGAAGTCGTTCATGCGAGGAAATGGGTGGCGCGAGGGTGTGGATGAGGTTCGTGAATGTTGGGAGGGCTCTGTCGCGAAGTTCCCCGCCTGTGTGTACCTCGTTAGCATCCGCATGTGAAAGGGAATGATATTAGTTTGTAGAAGTAGACATACCAAGATCTCGTAGAGCTCCAACATTGCCCTTGACTTGCTGGGCCCATTTCTGTGCCTCCTCGTTATTCTGAATCTCCTTGACAGCCGCCTCGGCCTGTTTCATCGCCGCAGTGGCCGTCGCAAACAGTCCTCCCGATAATCCGCCCGACCAACCACCCCACCAACCACCAGCCTCCTCGGAGGACTGCTGTGCAGGGGCACTTTCGGCCTCAGCCTTGGGCTGCTCGGGCTTGGTTTCTGTGCGCGACGTCCGCCCCGTCTCCTCAGACTGGCGGACCGGCGCCTTCTCTTCGGCCAGTCGGTCGATGGTTGCGCTGGGCCGAGGAGACCGTGTAGATGACCTGGGCTTATCGGAAGACAGGCGGGGAGTGCCTGGTCCACTGCTAGGGCGCTGGGTGGCTAGGTGGTCCAGCTCCGCCAGGATGTCTTCCTGTTCGCCTCCGGCATTGGGGGCGCTTGGTTTGGCTGTTTTGTTGCCGGATTTGTCGAGACCGAGGTCGTCGAACTGAGCTAGGAGCTCATCGCTGGTTGGTTTGGGAGCCTTTGGTGGCATGTTTGGGTGGTGTTAAGGAGAGGTGACGACACCTGAGCTTGACCTGTGGAGAACCCTTTGCCAAGACCCGCTCTGCAGTGTTTAGTTCGACTGCGATTTTATGCAGAGTACAGTACAAAAGATTAGTATCATATTTGAACCTACTAGTTACAAGGCTGCTTTCAGAGACTAGAAATGTTTGATTTTCGAAATGAAGGGTCTTGATCAAGTTCATTTGATAGTGGATCTGATATACCAAGGTACGCCACCCTAGCACAAGTTTACCAGATAGTGTCCTTTGGGCTACAGTAGCCTACTTACGCAAGAATACACCATACTTCTATATAAAATGCGCGGAACCGCGTCGGAAGCGCAAAAGCCGACTGCCGCGGCTAGAACTATACTATTCTAGCCGGACCGCGCGGGGTACTACTTTCTTTTGACACCTTGACTCGGACTTGTTGAACACCCAATCGCTTGTGGTGCCTGTCCAGCTTCTTGTCTCTCATCGCATTGCATCTCTTGAAGCAATCGTATGTATGCCAATTACGATCTCCAACATTGAGTCGTTACTCTGGACTAACATCAACCCAGACCCCAGATCCACACATCACAACCAACACCTTGACAAACAAGCCAATCCCAATCCCTCCAATCTATCCTTAAACACCAAAATGCGCCTCCCCTACGTCCAAAACCCCCCACCAACAAAAACAGAAGACGAATCCCGCATCTTAGCAAGTGTACAAGCCCGCCGAGCTCCAAACCCCCTCCTTCCGCTAGACCTAGCCCTCCTCCACTCCTACCCGGTAACAGAAGGGTGGAACTCCTTCATCGGCGCAATTCGCACCCGAACAAGTCTCTCAGCCGTGGTCCGCGAACTAGCAATCTGCCGTGTCGCAGTAGTCAACGGCGCATTATTCGAATGGGAACAACATGCGCCGCTACTGCAGCAGGGCGGGCTGAGCGAGGAGGCATTGAAGATCGTTGGTGATGCGCAAGCTGATTTCAAGGACGAGAGTTCGATTTCAAATATGAGTGCGGAACAGAGGGCGGTCTTGAGGTATGCCGATGCAATGACCAAGACAGTTGCTGTGCCTGATGAGGTTTTTGAGGAGCTTAGAGCTTGTTTTGATGAGAAGGAGATTGTGGAGATTACAGCTACTGTTGCTGCTTATAATTGTGTCAGCCGGTTTTTGGTTGCTCTTGATGTTGGGGAGAAAAATCATTGAGGCTCATGTACAGAGTAGAGGGTGATGGGTAGAGGTTTAGATATAGACTAGAATAGATCCATGATTTGCATTTGTCTGACGCTGTGTACCTGGATTTCTAACCCTTGTGTTATTGTGAATATTTTCTATTTAGAGGTTAGAGGCTCTTTTGGTATGTACATATAGTGGACATCGTGCATGACTGGCGCTTGCTAGGCGCCAAGTTCATGCATGCATGCACAAAATTAACGCCCTTAGTGAATATCTCGTTGTATGTGACATCGGATTTAATTCATAGCCGGGATTTGGGGTTACCTGTCCAGTAGGTTGTGTACTACATTGCTTTCTTGTTTGTGGAGAATATATGTAGTCCCTGCAGTATATTCCGGTCTAGTGACACCTTCTTCGACACTGTCCCAGTGAGGCAGTTGTTGACAACCTTGCCATTTGCCAGAATAACAGTTCTATGGTAATGATCCTTCCTCTTTGTGGTTCCTTTGGATGGAATTTGTACTGATTTCTCTTCCCAGGACTATTCTATGGTCAATCTTGCACCAGTGCATTGGCGCACAACAACCAGGCAGTCGGTTAATATGACCACTACTTGTAATCGAGCCGAATGATTTTCGCACTTTTCGCTCAAGCTGTTCTACTCAATTATATATCCCATGCCATCCTACAAGGACGATCAGTATACAATACGTCACGCACGAGGCACAGTCAAAATACCAGGAAGAAATGCCCATTGAACTGTATTCCCCAGATCATCTATCTTTTGTTGATCACAGCTAGGGTTTGATTCTGTATTAGCTGGCATCCGGTATCATTATCCACCACGCAACGAAACACTGCACAACGCGAGCAACAGCGTCCAAGCCAACGGCCCATCAAGGAAAATATTCAAGTTATGAAAATGCGAATTAAGGAATAAGCTGTTCCACCATAGTCCGATTGTCTGTGTGCTCATTGTTCATGCCCAGATCTGCGATCGCCTCGCGAGAACGTCCTACAGTTTTCTATACTATACTCAGGCCAAGAATATTAGAATCCGCTGAATGACAATGTCAGTGGGGGCTGCTCTTGCTGATAAGAATCGTATTTTGACTGGCACTCCTCTGCCATTACCTGAAGCCGCCGGGATTGTTGTACTAGAGAGAAGAGACAGAGACAGAGTTTGACGGCCTGTCTTTTACCAGGACAAAGCCTTGCTCTTCCTACACTGTTCAGCCTTATAGACTGCATGAATAGAATCGAAAGTATTGCTGTCATTCTATCTCTCAACCACAGAGGACGACATTCTCATTGTTGTCGCGTGCGTCATAGATCCCTCAGGGCATTCGTTACTTGACCGTCACTTCATACAGAGTCTAGAGGCTGGGGAACAAGGGGCTGTTTTGGAATATGTTGGCATAAGCCGTTACTTTGCCGTTACTTGGCCGTTACTTGGCCGTCACTTACAATGGATGTAGATGACGGAAATCTGTTAGTGTCCAGGGAGAATAAGCGCCTTCAGGATACATGTAGTTCCGCCGGGTCCCCACACCAGTGAGTCTGTACAGAATGGATACTCGACTTCTATTCCATGCATCTGTACAGTCTTCAGAGCTACCCAAAGCCCTCTAGAGCCCGCTGAGGCAAACTTTGTTGGACTATAAAGTACGTATCATGTGACGTCCGAATTTGCAAAATGAGATTATTCAGTCCAGGCAGCCCAGACAACAATAGACAAAGTGCACAATAGAAACGTGAATATGAATTCCACCACAATAAAGCAAGCAAATAAAAATATACACTGAATAACCCCTTTCCTCGACATACAGCCATTGATGTGGCTAGTAGATAGCTGACACCTGATTGGCGGGCCGCAACGGGCAGTGGAAACCCCCGTAAACGCTACAAACTACAAAACTACTCTCTCTCTCAACCTCAATCTCTTCGCTATTTCATCCTTCTCCCTTTCCCCTTCCCATTTATTTCTTCTCCTGTATTCATTTCTCTCTGTACTATCCTTTCCCCTGCTTTCTGACCTCTCACCGTCTCCCTCGCGTTCTATCGCGTCGAAGATCTTTTTTTCCATACTACCCGGCGCAAAGATCTGCGCGCCAACAACACAACTTCCCGGTGTATTTTTCCTGGACATCTTTTTATCCGGTCTCGTCAGCTTCCATCTCTCGTACATCGCGTTGCGCTTTCAAAAGTGGAAAGCCTCATCTACCCAGCCTTCCGAGTAAGTACATCCCTGGCAGCCACTCACCTACCCTGCACCCTTCTTTGCAGAGATCACTGACAGCAAGCAGTAATTGGCTGAGACCTGGCTCTTGGCCCACTCAATTTACACCTCCTTGAACATCTTGAACATCTCATGGTAAGTGGCACATCTTTTCGCTCTTTTTTCTTCTGGTACTTCTCGGCCCGAACTGCACACATTCCTGGCCGACCGTGTCTTCTTTTTACATGTATCCCTTTTTGTCTTGCTTTCGGACCCCCTGTGATTTGCCCATTTCCCATGTGTATTGTGTTGGCGATTCTCATACTACCGTGGCCCTTGACTCCCACGGCTGGCGCGGGCGATTACTGGCGTCTTGGCACCCGCAAGCGAACCCGGCTGACCACATCTATACAGATCCCTTCTTGAGATTTCACATTCTCCATTTGAGCCTGGTCGTTTTTTGCTTCTTATCGATTGCTTTACAATTACTCATACCCCCTCTTGTTTTTTTGTCTCTCTTTTTCAACATGGCCCCTATTCCAAGGGCCGACCTGGATGGGGACAACCCTTCTTCGGATATTGGTGACAGTCAGGACTCTCCACTGCGCCGACAATTTTCCGAGCCATTCCGCCCTCAATCTACTTCTACCCAAATCTCCCAGTCACCGGAGCCCATCCCGCAACATGTCAAGTGCGATTGGTGTGGAAAGCTTTTAGAGCTTCCTGATGATGAAAACATCTCTGAAGAAGACATTCTGAATGATCACATCAATGATTCCCATCCAAAGACCATCAGCTTCTCTGGCTACGATGGTCCCGATGATACTTACGATGAGACTGGCGATCTTCAAGATGATGACGCCATTGAAGAAGATGAGGACACTGCAGCTGAAACAGCCAAGCCTGAAGATGGCGAGACTCACGATGTCGAAGGAATTACCGTTGCGACCAATGGCGAAAACAGTGACACTGAAAACATTGTCAAGCCTACTCAGACCACCGTCACTGCCAGCCAATTTTCTACAGGGAAGATCGATTGGATTGACTGGCTTTCCAATCCGCGCACTTCATTCCCGGAGGAACACCGCGCCCGCGAGGGAAAATGGCGTGGCCCAGACGCCAAAGAGCGACTTCGACGTTTCTGGAATGTCCATGATGTTAATCTCTTCTCCTCGGATTACGAACAGGAAGCCTCCAAGTGTGGAGCTGCTTGGGACGCTGCATTCCATGATCCAACCAAAATCAGAAAGCGCGATGCTTCTGAACCCGCTAATCACCCTCTACTATACAAGAAATCCAGAGTCGACAAGGGTGGATTCCTGGAAGTCCAGATTGAAGAAATCGACAAACTTGTGAACATGCTCCGCAATCCCGGCAATTACTCTTCTGAAGAACTCTATGCCCTCACCCAAACAGCCTGTTTTGCCATGAAAACCATCCAAGATGAGTATTTGGCGCTTGATGATCTCAACCTCAGGGCCCTCCGACACACCCGGGGCGAGTCTTCATATGAGACAAAGCGAAATGTCATGCAGGGCCACAAGAAGAAAGGTGGCGTCCCTCTGGCACACGTCAATGAAGACACACAAGACTTTGCCGAAAAGAAAGAGGCAATGCTCTATGGTTACAAACACCAATACTTCCCCACAAACAACCCATTCATTCCTATCCGCACCATGCAAGATCCATTCGTCCAAGGAGGCTTTGTCCCTACTCCTGCACAGGCTAGAAAGATGATCGCAAAGAAAAAGGAGACTGGCGAACCCAATCCCGATGGCTGGGCCACGCTGAAGAGACACGGTCTTGATTACGTCCCCCAAGTGTGGGAGCCTCGCCGTGAACCAGTTCTTCCCAAGGTCACTCGCAAGCGCAAGGCCGCTGAGGTTGAACTTCCCAACAAGACCGATGCTGAAGAGACCCAGAACGAGAGCGAAGAAGAGACTGAAGACGATAACCACCCAGCAAAGCGACGCACCAGAGGCCGTGGCGGCAAGCGCCTTACTGGCGAATCCATCCACTTTGACTCTACTCCTCGCCGAGGCTCTGGACCTGGACGTGGGCGCGGACGTGGTCGCGGTCGTGGCGCTGGACGCCTCGCTTCCACTCGGGCCACCTTCGAGGTCACCCCAGCTCCTCAAACCTCCACCCGTGGCCGTGGTCGACGCGGCGCAAGCACCCTGGCCACCTCAATCCCACCAGAGACTTCGTTCCCCGCCATTGAACCTCGCACTGAAAGTCCTGTCGACGCTCAATCATCGAGCAAGAAGGAGGCCATGTCTGCCGAGGCCATTGAGGAGGCCCGGCGTGTCAAAATCGCCAACTCAAAGAATCCAAAGCGGACAAAGGCGATGCTGGATCACTGGGACCGATTCAACCGCGAGGGGAGGATCCGCAATCCAAAGCGGTCCAAGGCCCAAATCGAGCAAGACCGCACCGTCGACGGGGACAGCACTCAAGAGCCCCCCAAGCCCCTCGGCCGCCGCAAGCGGTCGCCATCTCTCGCGCCGCTCGCCGGCAACTTGGCTCCCAAGGGGCCAGGCGGCCTGCCTTCAATTGTTAGCGTACAGGCGCAGCAGCCAATGCCCACCCTCCCTCCTATGGGTGTGCCTCACTACGGCCACGGCCCTGTAAACCCTTACGCTGCTGCGCCTGTTGCGCCTATGGCGCAGTTGGGGCAACCAATGCCGGCCCAGTACGCGCCATTCCCATACCTTCCTTACGGGATGGGTTCCATCCCGGGTCCACATGATCCGCGGGACCCCCGCCATTGAAGGCAGGTCCGCTCGTTGAGGTGATCCTCGGTCTCCTCTCTCTCACCTGTGAAGCTACAAATCAAACCCTCTTCACATACTTCTCACTTCAGACACGGGTGGGAGAGAGAGACTGGAGGTCGCCTTAACACCACTGATTGTTCGCTGTTTCTTCCTTGGCCCACCCCTGGGTTGGTTTGAGGCCGCGGGGAGTCGCTTCTGACTCGGTTTGTCGTCTCTGTTTGGTGTTTTGTCCTCGTGAATGGACATGGCCCGCAGTTGATGAACTGGGATGGAGGTGATTCCCTGTGGTCTTGGACCTCCTGGGGGAGTGGGCTGAGAGCGCGAAGATCAGATACATTATTGAGATGCTGGCAGCCCTACGGGGGTTACCAGGTCATGTATTCTAGCAAATTCAGATGTTGTACGATTACTTTTTCCTCCTATCTATAGTTAATCAAGTCTCAGTCATGGAAAGTAGTGTAGTGGGTCTGGTCTACAGTAGGAGCCAAAATATGTCTAGAATAGTTGTCGTAGACAGAGCTTAACACAGCAAGGAATTCTGCAGAAAATGGACCCTCCAACAAGCTGAAGAGATACAACGAACTAAGGCGAACGTCGAACACCGCTTCATCATCAGTTATATAGATCACGTTATCGCACGTGACCCTGTTATCGCACGTGACCTCTCTTGGCTGTATGCATCATCTCAAGCTGCCGATTTGCGACACCGCTCCAGGAGCAACCTCTTTATCTTCTCCCGCAATCGCGTCTTCTTCTCGACTCAACACGCACAACCATCATGGGCAAGAAAAGACGTGGCCCTTCGCTTGAAGAGCTTCTAGCTCGTCCGTGGTGCTACTACTGCGAGCGCGACTTCGACGACCTCAAGATCCTCATTTCGCATCAGAAAGCCAAGCACTTCAAGTGTGACCGATGCCAGCGCCGATTGAACACCGCAGGAGGTAAGTGGATCTCATCGAGATACCATCCACCCCTCCTATTCTCCGCATCAAACCAATGCTAATGAAACCGCGGCCAGGTCTGTCTGTCCATCTGAGTCAAGTTCACAAGGAACAACTTACCGAGGTGGACAATGCGCTGCCCAACCGAATGGGCCTCGATGTGGAAATCTTCGGCATGGAGGGTATCCCCGAGGATGTGCTCAAGGCTCACCAGCAGCGTGTTGCCACACAATTCCAGCAGGCCGAGGTGGAGCGACAAGCCGTGACTGGAAACCCTCCTGCTGGCGCTTCCGCTAATGGACAGCCGGCCAAGAAACCCAAGCTTGAGGCTGCTTCGGATCTTAAGAAGCGATTGGCTGAACACAGGGCCAAGCGCGCTGAGGCGCTTGCTGGAGGTAGCAGCGGTGATGTAACCCCCACCAGTGCTGGACAGTCGGCGACGCCCACTGGATTCGTAAGTTATTCCGTCCAAGCTAGCATGACCTTGGAACTGACAGCGATACAGGCGCAATCTCCTCAGGCCGCTGCAACTCCCGCTCCGGATCAGCAACAGTCTTTCCCCCCGGCCTATGGCAGTGCCGCTGCCGCTCCCGCGTTTTCGTTCCCTCAGACCCACCCCGGTCAATTCCAACCTTATCCCGCCAACGGAAACCAGCCGCTTGACATGCCAGTGCCCCAGCCTTACGTGCCGAACGGGTACCCACAGCCATTCCCCGCGATTCCTGGACAGCCCCCAACTTATGGAGCTCCTCCATCCTTCCTTCAGCAACCTACACCCCCCGAACACAGACCGAGTGCCTTGCCAGCTGCCTCGAACCTCCCACAACGTCCCACATTCGGCGCACCTACGGTCAACGCGCACCAGATGCAACAGATGCACATGGGCCATGTCCCACAGTCGCAGGCAACTCCAGCCTATAATGGAGATGGACCAGTCTCCCAGTCTGTTGACGATCTGATTTCAGGAGCAGCGAATGCCGCAGCAGCTTCCAAACCGACAGAGGGGGTTGAAAAGCCAGCCAAGAAGGACAAGTCGAAGCCTTCGGGGCACATGATTTACTCCCATGAAACTATCAGCCCAGAAGAGAGGATGGCCGAGCTTCCCCGATATGCATTCGTTCCGGATACCACGTCACAAACCGTCCTCGGCGAGGTCCCCCCCGCCGTAGTTGTCGGAGCCATCCAAACGTCCGACACGGTGCTCGACCCGGCCCGTTAGATTCTGCATTGTCCTTTCCGCGGCGTCTGCAAGTGATGGATCACGGACTCAGCTAAGTTCGACACATATCAAACTATTCTAGCTATCTACACATGAGCGTTTCACCTGCCGGTGTTTTCCCGGTGTCCCCATGGCATCCCGTTGTTATCTGTTATCAGAGTCCCTGATCCAATTTTGAATCAGTAGTTCTGGCGAGTCCTCTCACCATCCCATCTTCTTTTTCGACAAGACAAGATTACCCGAGGAGACGTCAGTACTGGTGAGTTCTGAGTTCAATTCACAGCCATACGAAAATGAAAAACATTCTCAAAACGAAACTGGAAAGGAAATAAAGACATTGAGGGCATCACATTCGAGTCTCTCGTGTGCAAGGACCTTATGGGGGATCATGCCTGATCTAATCTGAGGAACTATCGTCTTGAAGGGGGTGAATCAACTTACCACCTCGACCAGCCTCAGTACGTGTCCTCTGCCCTTCGTTGCTTCTTTTTCTCCCTTGTTCTTTTCCCACTCCGAGGTGTAACCCTGGCCCTATCCCGTTTGGTTTGATGTGCATGCCTCCAGGTGTGACGATGCCATTTACTCTCGACGTAAGTCTTTAGCGTTTCTCTCTCGATCTCGAGGTAGGGATTACATTCCCGTTTGGGCGTTCTGGACTGGGTTTTGTGGGCTGTTCTATCTACACAATGGATTTGATTTCTGTCATGGTGTTTACAGTAGACTTGTAGATGCAGTTTGTATTTTGTAGTACGGAATTTTGATTAAGACGTATAGCGGCACAACCGATATCAGATTAAACGCGGGAGTATGTATGCGCACCCACTAGGACGAAAGACCTCGACGGCACAGCATCCAAGCGAAACAGATCATATCAACCTCGCAATCCCCAACCCATCAACTAAATCCCATATCTGCTTTACTCTTTCCTCAAAATATCAAATAATCCCCTCAAGCAGACCTCTTCTCCCGAAAAGCCAACCCAAAGATAACAAGCCCATAAGTAGCCAAAACAGACAATCCCAGCGGAATAGGCTTGCCCCCCGTCTTAATAGCACGCGGAATAGAGCTACCACCCAACACAGTCGAAGCCAGCAATCCCAACTCCTCGCCGTAGGATTGGCCTCCGCGCAGGCGCAGGAATGCGAGGAGGTAGACGAAGCCTACTGAGAGGCCCGCTGCTATGCTTGGTACCGAGCCAGTGCGGGCGTACCCGATTGCGCCGCCTAGGGAGGTTAGGAGGGAGAGGGTTATTGCCGAAGTTGTTGGGAGGGTCTGGATTTGGTTGGTTGGTTGTTAGTTTGGGCTTGGTTATCGGGTAGTGGTGTGATGTTTTGGGTTGGGTGTTTTCGTGGATGTGACCGTGGGTGGATGCTGGATGCTGGAATGGGGTTTTGGGTTGGTGCTTACCATCTTGTAGGATTGACGCCGATTGTCGGGTTCTTTCTGGGGCTTGGTTTTGATGTAAAGGTAGAAAGAGGAGAGGATTAGAGCTGCAAGATGGAGGTCCAAATGTCGGCGGTCATGTCATTGATTAGTCAGATGACGCAGTCTGGGGTAGATGTGCGCATAGCATAACTTTTTATAGATCGAAGATGGATATAACTTACCTGTACATTTCGAGCTTTTTTTGTGTTTTTAATCTGAGGCATTTGTCTAGTCTATATGCCTTGAATGCCTTGTATGCTCACCACACTCAGATAGATAAAACGTGACTTTACTTGATGTCCCTAATAGTTTCCACGTAGCCAATCGGCGCTCAGATAAATGCTTATATTGGCTTCTTTTGTACTTGCTTGTGTAAATACAAGAATCAAGCCAGCTGTATACCCTGTGTTCAATTTTGACCACAAGAAACCATGGCCCATCTACTGCAACAACTTAGTCGCCGCCTCGATCCGTCCCAGAATGATAGAGCCCCATTTCTAAACCGCATATGTTAGTAAGGTCCGAACGAAGGGGTTCTAGAACCAGAACATACCTTGGCATTCTCCACATCTCCGGCTTCAAAACTCTCCACCAGGCCAGGGTAAGTAGCTCCAGCATAACCAGTCCAGATACCAGGGGCAAACACAACGTGCTTGAACCACTCACGGCCATCCAGACCGGGCTGGTACAAGAAGGCTTGTTCAATGCTCTTGTATTTCTTGTTAGTGGCACGAATCTGGAACCACAGTCTCACCTTCTTCCACCAGTGATACCATGGCACATCTTCACTAAGCTGGGATGTCAAGTCCGCGGAATACGCGTCGAAAGCCTTTGCAGCTTCCTGGAACTCCAGAATGGCTCTATCCAGAGGCGCGAAGTGGAATCCTGTGTTCCCTGGGAGATTGTCCGCCGAAGGCTTAATGTGGTCCAGGTAGGATCCCAATCCCGAAGCATAGTCGGTGGCGTTCAGCGCAAGCAGAGGGGATTCCACCAACTGCGCGGCGGCCAGAGCCCAGAGCTGTGTGCAGGCTTGATGGTACAGGAAGCCTCGGTCACCATACTTGTCCATCCACGCGAAGCTGTCGTAGTTCGAGTGGTAGTGGTACACCGGGTCGTTCTTCCCACGACCAAAGCCGAAATCAAGACTGGCAACACCGGCGAAATCCTGGAAGGCAGTGAAATCACTGCCGCTGCCCATTGTTGCGATCTTGCCGCTCCACACATCGCGGACTGTCTGGCCTCGAACGGTCTGGTTGGGGGACTGTACCAGGCCGGTGACATCGTTGATGACCTTGTTCAGGAGGGGACTGGCTCGAGGCTCGAAGATAGTGCCAGCGGCAGCCACATCGACGTTCAAGTACGCGATGTTAGCTTCGGAGAGCCAGGGGAGATATTCCTCAACCCATTCGGTGGAGCCTAGCAAGCCATATTCCTCGCCATCCCAGCTTGCAAAGACAATAGTGCGCAATGGCTTCCATCCGGCCTTGAGAGCCTCACCAAAGCTGCGGACAACTTCATTGAGGGCAGCAGATCCACTGTTTGGATCACCAGCACCACCGGCTACCCATGCGTCACGGTGGTTACCCAGGATTACGACCTCGTCTGGGATGTGACCCTTGATCACGCCAATGACGTTCCACAATGGGGTCGTCACATAATCCTGGTGGTTGTGGAGGTTGATGACTACATCTTCGGGCGAGGGTCCAATGTTGTACTCGACGCCCTTGTAGCCAAGACCACCGCCCTGCCACCACTCATTGTAGTCGGACGCCTTGGGACCATGCCCGTTGAGGGCCTTTAAGAATGGCAACGCCTCCTTGTAAGAGATGGGCAGAGATGGGATTGAAGGAATGGACTTATACGGATCCTGCCGTTCACATCCAGGCTTCGATGGGTAGCCCGGGGTTGTGGGGTCACCAGGAAGGATACCTTTTACTCGAGTTAGCTTTTCAATGTCACTACAGCAAAGTTGTCCATACTCAAGAATTGAGTGCTACCTCTCTGGATAGCACTTGGGTTTCGGGCCGGTCCATTGGGATAAGCCTCGTAGCCATTTTCTTCGGTGATCTCTCCGTCTTCTTGAGGATCAGAGTAGATGACAATACCAACCATTCCGAGTTCCTGAGCACGCTTCACCTTCAAGCCACGGAAGTTGCGACCATACTTGGCAATAGCAATCTTGCCCTCTAAGGTGATGTTGGAATTGACAAGGTCCTCGAAGTCCGCGTATGTGCCGAAGTTGACATACACATATTGGGCGGTCACATTGCCGGTAGCAGAATAGCCATGGAAGACCGGGACACGGTCAGGCAGACCGGAGGTGGGATCCTCTTCCAAGACATCTTCCTCCAACGTAGCCTCGAAGGTAACCTCAGTCTTACCATCAGACTGGTTCAGCAGAGCCAGACGGTGATCAACCGGGTAATTGATGTAAATGTCATATGCGGCGAGGCTGGTATCCTCGACACCAAACTCTTTCCACTTCTCCATTGTCCAAAGAGCTTGGGACAGGTTCTTACCCGCCAAGTGTGGTCCCGCAGTATAGTAGTTGCTCCACTCACGAGCCTTGGCTGCAGATGGAACATTGAGGAGGATCTGCTGGAGCTGATCGTAGGGGAGGCCATAGCTTTCTGGCCATGCATCGTGAGGGATTGGGTGAGACCATGGGAGGTATGACCAAATTGAGCCATGCTCTCGAGGCAAAATGGCGACAGGAATCACGAACAGAGTTCCTGCCAAAACAAGCAAAGCTGCAAGGGAGATAGTACAAGCTCGACGGAGGGCATGATGTGGGTATCGATGCCGCTGAGGAGCGACATGGACCTCTAGCAGAGGGGTCGTCTCTGAGTACGGCATGTCTTTCTCCCTCATCTCGAGTGATGGAAGAAGAGAAAGACAAGATTCGAGCTTCTCCGCATGGATTGTATCATCGACCGGCGGCGGGGCCCGCCTTATCAGCTGACTAACGTTAACGTTAGTTTAACTAGAGATGTCGGCATTACCTTACTAATACAGCATAAAACCGAGGACCATTATGTAATTAGAAATCGCCCAATAAATAACTTAGCGAGAAATTGGGGTAATGAAATACAGAGTCATCGATGTCTCTGTTGAAACTGTATACGATGAATGACGCTAGGAAGCTATAGTCAAGGCCAACGAGGTTGTTTAGGTCTGATCTCTCCTCCATGAGAGAGAGATCCTATTTAATGAGGAGCATTCCTCCTGAACTATACTCTATATAGTAGTTCCAATGCTGATCACTAGATTCATGCTTGGCGGAGAAGCCATGAATCTCACAACCTCTAATTGGTCGGATACAATACAGAAGTTGACAAATCGCACCTGCCTACTCGTTTTTTGCCCTAATAGATACCATACCCATCAGCCTAAATTGATTCCTTAGGATATTCAATTATTGAAAAGCCATGACTATGTATATATAGTGTGGAAATGTCAAAAATACGCAACCCTTCCGATACGATGCCACTGGGTCAATCTTGTTGACCTCGAATTATTTCTCGGACAGTCATATGCGGTAGACACGTTGAAGGGAACTATTCAGTAAACTTTGCGTTGCATATTTGATTGAAAGCTAAACGATTCTCACATGTTCTGTAAGCAAGGGCACCTAAAGTGTTGTGCCATAGCCGAATCTCTCAGCGTTGGTAGGAGCTCTATGATGCAAAAGTAGCTCCACGATCTCGTCGTGACCCTCACGAGAGGCATTTTTAAGAGCGAGAGCCAGATATTCTCTTGGGGTAGCCATCATAAGTTCCGAGATTAGTAGGCTCTCCACAACCGCTTTTTGACCATTCAGCGCGGCGACCTCGAGAGCACCCAAATATTTGCCTGGTACGGGTTTCTCATCCGCTTTCAATAATAGATGCACAACGTTTTGCATCCCTGCTGCCGAGGCGATGTACAAAGGTGCTTCCTTCCCTGGAGCCCGATGCTTCACCTTGTCCGCGGCGAATTGCATCCGCATGGTGTTATTGAGCTTGTTTTGACGAACTCCAGAGGCATCATCAAAGCTTGCTTTGGTCGCTGGGCTTTGATGCCACGTATGAATAGCAGCTATGAGAGTTGGCCACATCTTCTTGAACTCGGTTTGCTGAAGCATCTCCAAACTTCGGTTTTGAATGATGCTCTCATGGTCAACAAGTCTTGCATGATCCGTCCAGAACCATGCACTGTAAAGCGCCAGTGGAAACTCGTCTATCAACGTCTTGAAGTCCGAAAGACAATAGATGTCAAGTTTTGATAGGTACACATAGCGCAGATATGAGAGACACACAATGGACATTGTTCTGTGAGCATTGGTCACATTCAATCGACCTTTCCACTCCCCACTCGGTGTTGCGGAGGTTAAAAACTCCCGTGCTGTTTGATGAATGAAGAACAGCCTTCCGTGGTATACTGTGACGAAGAGGCCACATATGCTTTTCATAGTTGCCTCAAAAACATCACCTCCCCACAACTTGCTTTTCAAGCCCTCAAAAGAGATTGATGGTTGCTTTTGCAGAACGAGCGTCAATGCCAGTGCGGAGTTTGCTTCCACCAAAGTCAACGGTCTTTCTGCAACTGACATGAGTTGGAGAAGAGCCTCTGCCGGTTGAGGATTCTCGACCTTTTTCAAAATAAGGTCATATGCGTCCGAAACGTCGCGTGGCAGACTTGAAAACAGTTCTTGGACCTCATCTAGCCTCGTGTATGACTCTGGTGATTTCTCAATGATATGGAGGACAAGATGCAGCCAAAGGTAGGTACCATTTTCCATGGCTCTCAATTGACTGGCGATCTTCGGTCCATTGTCTCTGAAAATCGGCTTCATCTCTTTCACCCTCGCATCGATGACCATATTGATGTCCTCCCTGATCTCAGTGGACAAGCGATCGCCCTCAACGTGCGCAAAGGAGGTGCTTTCCAATACATCCCAAAACAAAGACTCGATATTGACGTAGGGACGAGTGGTGACCAAAAATTTGAGTTTATGTGGGAACTTTGCGTCACGATAAAATGCCTTCAAGTGGTCAATGAACAACTTTCTCTCATCCATTTTGCACTCGTCTAGAGCATCAACGACGCAAACTAAATTTTCAGAGTGCGGCGACTCGACATGGTTGATAAGCGTGCTCCACAATTTAGGAAAGCTCGAGAGGTAAGAGTCCTTGAAGTCGTCGTAATCTGAAACCGCAGTTTCGATGGCATTTGATGTGCGATTCTGCATAAAGGTTTGATGCAGGATAGCACGCAAAGCATCGGCGGCATGGACACGGCTCGGAATTCCATCTTTGAAGAAGAAGTAGCATATAGTTGTCGTCGTGAGGTTCGTAGATGGCTGAAGTAGATCAATGAGCGCCCGCGACAGGACTGATTTTCCACATCCAGGACTCGCTGAGACCCGAAGCACATTCAATTCTAGCGAGTCTCGCCATTTGCAGAAAGTCTCATTTTGAATAAGCCAGTTGCAAGTCCCTGGAGTTTTCTCCTTGGGGAAGTTTTTATCTTCCTCGTAACTAGAAGCCAACTTTTCCATAAGCTCTTTTTGCTTCTTCTCCTCGAAAAGAGCGAGTTGCTGGTTTTGAGTCTCCTTAAAAAGGTCTTGTGTTTTCCCCATAATGTCTCGAGATTGCTTCATCAATTCAAGCTCTTGGTCTTGAAGTTCTTGCACCCTTTCAGCTTCGAACGGCTCAATCAGCTTATTGCAATGGGTACTAAGCCCTTCAATTTTAGCCACCTTTCCTTTCCAGTCATTTTCGCCGGCCACGTCGCTCCAGGCACGCGAGGGCTGCTTTTTGGACAAATGACAGATAGCTAGAGCTTGGTATTCAATGATATGGGAATAGAGATTGGCTATGTGCTCCGCCAGGGAGGGATACCTTGGTAGATACACTCGAGCGCAGTGGTACCAGTAAATTTGCAATTCATCAATCTTGTTGAAGCCTTCAAGCATATCTGCGTTAGCAGTCATGCCACTGGCCAAAAGCTATCGCTGGTTTTAGTTATTAACTCGCATTGAATGGAAGTAAATCATACCGGCACAAATAATGAGACGCCAATCCATGCCAGTGCAGCATATGGCTGGGCACTGAGAGCACCCTTAACCAGTGGATCGGACCACATGATAAACTTCTGTAGCTTCTCGACTTGTTTTCGAACTTCGATATCTTTTCCCAGGACTGACAAGTGCCACCGTTTCTTCTCGCGATTGTCCAATAGCTTATCCACGACTAAGCTTACAGACTTGGAACTAGAGAGATCTGCGATGCTCGTGTCCTGCAGCGATAAGCCTAAACATTGTTTGTACATATGCATCAACTCCTGGTCGCGTTGTTCCAATTTCTCGTAGGCCAGAGTCCAGAGGTCCAGGTCCTTGGGTGGAATATCCGTAGATCCAACATCGGAGTGACTCACGGACGACGAAGGCGGCTTGGTATCGACTGAGCTGGCTGAAGCTAATTTTTCAAGGGTTGATTCGATAGAGGCTGGGAACGACGGGGCTGGCTTTGCGGTCGGGGCGAACGAACAGTCATTTTGTTGTGACGTTTCTGGCTTGTTTATCCATTTCCTCAACGTCTTACGAATGCCCATTGTTGGCTACTTCCTTCGGAGGCAGCCAGGATGAAAAGGTTTTGTTCTCAGGGGTGTTTCCACAATGGGGCAGCGATCTTGGGCATTGAGCTGTTCAGCTAAACAATACACCGAGTGGGTCTAACACGGTTTATATTGTTTGCACTAAAGTGGAGCCTCTGGTTATGCTTAATCTTCAGAACCATAAAATGCGGAGGCAGGAGAATGGGAATTATAGAAAATAGACTAAACCGGAACTCAATTGACTCAACCGCCGTAATCATATAGTTCTCTCACCACTGGGCGTTCTCATGCACGTTCATACCAGAGATTTAATGAGACGCAGACAATACGTATCTAGAAAGAGGTAACTTAAGAGGACACAAAAATTGACGGGCTATATCTGCCAAAGACTTTCATCATGACTCAAAATATCTTGATTGCACAATCACGAGATAGAATTGAGGAAATCAATTTTTGGCCAATCCAATACTTGCATAGACTACCAAATATTCGATAAGTCAACTATTGACGTACCTCATCTCAATTCCTTAATGGCTTGTCATGAACGCGCACACCCCACATGGAACACTGACTAGATATATGTAGCGTATAGGACATAGGGCGCGCAATATTTCTTGAACCAATCAAATGGACTCGGACAGGGTTATATGCATTAGGTTGACTTCGGCTTTCTGTGCGATCATGGATGGTCGGGGGTAGTTGCGCATTGGATGGTCAATGCTGGTAAGTATGACTTCTCCGGAGTCTTATAGCAAAGATATTCTCACCAATTCCCCCCTGGCCGCGGATGGTAGTGATTTTCCTTGCAAGCTGCGCTCAAACTCGTTTAAGGCACCTTCGAGAGAGACCATCATCGGGGTCGGTGAAACCCACACACTGACCTTCGAAGGGACCGCCACCCGCGGCGGTGGATCTTGCCAAGTGAGGTCAGGAAGTCAGGAAGAACATGCGGGCGTGATATGCGGCCGGGAATTTATGCGCCGCGCAGTGTGTCAGTTCAGAACTGTCGTCATGTGATACACCATTTATGACAGCCTTGTTTCTGCGTTCTTGGAGCATGTGGCGCCTGTTCTCTCACGGGGCGACTAGCATCCAGCATGCAATATGAGAGCCACAATGGAGCCTGCTACTTGACCACCCAATAAGCATTACTATTCTATGCTAGATGCTCCTAGGAATACTTTGTCTATTGGTAGAAGGCAAAACCACAGGAACACTATGAGTGAGCAGGATGGCTGCCAGATAATATCCCGGTAGACCAGATAGGGTATCTAGTACGGGGTAGCGCGGCGCGGACCAGGTTGAGGAAAAGCGGGAAAACGGTCCCAACGACCAAGGCAGCAAAAATCGCATAGAATGAGAATTGGACAGAATCGCTGTGTGCCCGTACCAGTGCCCACACGACCCAGGGGTAGATGGTAGGTCCAAGGTTGCCGCTACCTTCAAGCACGCTAGCCCCGAACTTGGTCCAGCTGCCCATACCGCGCAGTCCCAGGGCATAGATTAAGCTTGGAGTGGGTCCCAGTGGAATGGCAAAGGAAAGCAGTATAGATTCAGGTGTTCGGGCGGAGGAGAAATCTAGCCAAATAATGAGCGCAGAGAATGTAATACCACAGGCAAAGAGCAAGAGAAGGAGAATGCGTGGCGGGATAACAAGACATAAGAAAGAAAGGACGAAATGGCTCCCACCGAATATGGCAGACAAAACGATGTTCAAATTTAATGTTGTGAGGCGTGGAGAAGTATGAGTGCTTGTAGAAACACTTTCGAGGAGAGTACCGACGAATGTTCGAATACTTGATAACGAAGCGGTTGAACAGAACTCGGCAAGGGCACTTAGCGCCAATGTCGTAAAAATGATGGGAAGCTTGCCAAAGAATCTATCTGAAGGGCGTATCCATAGCCTGTTATCTCGACCCTGTAGATCCTCATCTGTTGCTTCAGGAAGTGGCATGTAGTAGTAAAAGAGTCCCAACAGAACCATAGAAAGAGCAACCGCTAGGTAAGTCCACTGGATGTAAATCAATCTTCGGGCGTTAGCCACATGAGTAAAGAAGACTTCCTTTGAGAGCAGAAGGCCTAAAGTTGAACCACAATAACCAACGCCTAGCCCAATGAGTACGCGGATTTCAGCATACTGGGTGGGTCCGCAAAGTGTGAGGAAGGCAACCGACGACATATCCAATAAGGTTATAGCTGTTCCAACAAAAACGTTGGCGACGATGAATCCAGGATAGGAACCCAAGGCCCCAGATGGCCAGAATATCAGGGTCCCCATGCAAATTCCAGCTAATGCTGTCAAGAAAGTGGCCTTAAATCCAACGTGACGTAAAAGCCAATACCCAAGAAATGGCACGATACACGCTCCGCCGCCGTAAGTGGCCGAGTTAATACCTATGGCCTGGGTTTCATTTTTCACGACAGGCATGCTACCGTTGACGGAAAATAACATGACAATGATGAATCCCTCCAGGAAGAGAAGAATGTCGACTAGCGCGCAGTACTTGACGGATTCTGAGCCCCGCATGTCAAGCATGCTCCTGGACCCTTCAAATCCGATAGACCTAGAGAAGGCGAATACGTCGCTGCGTTGGTAAAGCGATAGTGCTTCCTCCGTTTCCAGTGCCGGGCGGGTGGATGTCGCATATATCTGCGGCTGCAGCTGCTCCTGGTAGTCAGCTCGCAGTGATGTGATACCCGACTGATAAGGGTAGAGCTCAATAGGATAACGTGAACCAGTCTCGGTTTCACCATCCTGTCGTGAAGATGAACTAAGCACCTGACTGTTGCTGTTTTCTCGAGAACGATCCAATACCAACTTCAACCACTTAATCAACGGCGGCAGGGTAGGGATGCAAGCACCGACGATGGTCATATTGACCTCGACGGTCGACCACAAGGCTGTCAAACCCGCAGTGTGGAGAAATTCAGGACTAACGGGAGGCCTGATGTTAAACTGACGGAGTTGGATGGCCGCCAGCTGCAAGTAATAGATACGCACAACATCGACAACGATGATAAGGATGACGCCCAGTACGAAAATCAGCAACACAATGGTCTTTTGGCCCAGCGGTAGGCGCAACGTCGTTAGCACGGGGATCGGCAGAATTAGGATGACAATTCCCGTGGCGACGTTGAAGGGGACGGTGGCCAGATCGATAATCTCAATGGGTATGCAGCTAGGATACTTGATGGTGAGATCGTAGACGGCCTGCACGGGTCGGCACTGCAAGGCAGTGAGGAAGGTGAAGTTAATACCACCGATGAGGACGACAGTAAGAGTCACATAGGAGCCAATATATAAGAACGCCTGTTGGCGTCGTGCAATGTCAATGTAGAGAAGAAGTATCGAAGCCTTAGTGACGTTCAGTGCCGGGTTGAAAAGCACGATCGCGGCATACCTCGCCTCAAGCAGTGGGTCAACCCATTCTAGGAGGATGTCCTCCTCAGGAAGCCCTAGGCCTTTGAATGTGCTAAATGCGACGGTAAAGGACAAGCCAAAGGCAAGGATCTGATAGATAGATACATTAATCTCAGGTTAAGTCTCAAGAAGTGAGTTCACTCACCCATGCTACTATAATTGTGTAATCTTCCCAGCCATGGCGCTTGACAATTCTAAAGCGGCTCACGAGGCGGCTGACGACGAAAAGGGTACTTAAGATGAAGGTCACTAACACACCAATGAAAACTGATTTACTCCGGTCCGTTGGAAACCTAGAAGTAGGCATTTTGTTTTGTGCATATACTGGTTAAATGCATCTTCGCAGCCATTTGAATATTTGAGGAAGGGTGGGATATCAGCATTCGTGTCGATGATCAAGTTTTAAATCGACCCTGTGCCAGTTACCGAATGGTACGGGCGCATTGGGGGTGGAGTTATCCATGGTTTAGATTTCTTGGTGATTACAAAGTCACTAGGTGACATATGTATGGCACCAGATTCAATTACGTCCAATTACCTCATACCTCGATTATTTCGAATCACCATAAGTTTGCAACATTCATTGCATTCACTCTATGAGGAATACAGGCAAATACAGTTACCAGAAAACTAGGACAATTTCTGAATCTCAATAATGGTCATAGATAACAACAATTTGTCTACACCCGTTACACCTTGCTGCCCTCTCGGAAGTGTGGTAAAAATAAGGATCGCACATTTCATCTCATGTGCTCCCCGCAGGTCTGTTGTCTAGAGTCCTAGTATTCGTCTACTGTTGCATATGCCGTCGCTTCTGCCGTCGCTTCTGCCGTCTCCTCTGCCATTGAATCCACCGTTATATCTGCTTTTCGCACTTCGACTCCGGTCTCTTCCCGGAGCAGATCCACCCACTCCTTACTTTGAAGCTCATCCCATCTTCCTTCATACTACTCTCATTAGCGATGCTCCGTTCCAGATTTCTCTAAAGGTTGTAAGCCTACCTTGCTCTTTACCCTGGCAAGGGCTTCACGGAGATCGTAAGTGTCCGCTAAGGGAATGCGGACAATGTGTTGGAGGTACCTCTCGCTAGGGAAATTTTCGGGCCGTCCAGCATACACCGAAGATAATTGGTTATGATCAGGTTTGGAATCTTGTGTAAAGGCCGGCCGGATGCGGAACGTCTCTCTGTAGGTAGGTTCCAAGAGTTTTGCTTTGTTTCTATTGCTGCTGAGGGAGAGCGCGCGGTGGAGACGACCATAACGCCTCCTCATTCGAATCTGTTGCCGTACCATACATTAGTAGTCAGCCGCGTTAGATAGCTATGGAAGCAGGTCGATGTCGTTACCGTACCAGTATACAAAATTTAAATTCAAGGAGATATTCCAATGGCATCCGGCGGTCAGTACTTCGCCAGTCGGCCAAAAGTCCCTCCCACGCCTGATTTTGTCGTATGTTCAATGAATCGTACGCTGCTTTCTGGTCTTCCGGTGCATGCGAACGCTCGGCTTTCTCTTTCCATGCCGTTGCTCGTAAAACTTCTCTCGCACTTTCAAGCCTGCTGACCGGGAAGGCGTGAATAGGTATGACGCGCTTCACGATTACATGTCGCTTGACGGTGTGCGTCAGATCGGGGGTCAGTGCTGAAATCTCTCTGTAGTTGGCTGCCCAGAACCATTGATACCGCGGGATATTAAGTTTTCGGCGCCGCTTTCCATTTTCTGCAGGAGGAGAAGAAGTTATCATACCCGTTGTGATATTGCAAATATTATCAACGGAAACTAACCTGAGATGATACGGTGTGCGCTTACGCTCCATGTGTTCACGCTGCGTTCTATAGTGCATTCTCTCGAGCGAGAGATACCCAGCGAGATATTGGCGGATGGCACGCTAGACAGTGACACGCCAACGCTACCCGAGACTGTCGAATTGGAAGCTCTAGTCACAGTGAATGCGGACGTGGGATCCGACTGAGGCTCGGCAATAAGGTCTTCATCACTAGAAGAGCTTATATACTGAAGACAGATATCTTGGAAAAACAGTACATGACCTTCCCTGTGTGATGAAACAATTGTTGGCTATAGAAAGACAAACACTCCCAAGGACCGAACCTTTTATTTTGATGGTAGTCAAGAATAGTCGACTCGACGTTGAATCTAGCTGTGATATGGTATTTTCCGTGATGCCTCTCGACTGTAATGAGGGGGTCGAGCACACAGGTCGATACATACGGGGCGTTCTTGGGCCCGATGAACCATTGGTCTTTGACGGCAAAATACGCAATGCTACTATTATCCGGTTCGTCCAAGGAAATATTGGATGGAGTGCTGCGAATTCCTGGCTCGACCATGTAGTCTAACATTGACTGGAGACTTTTCCGTGAAGTAGTGCCGAAGAGCTTCTCGGAGGCTACATCGGACGTCATTCCGTAGTATGGCCTTCGGTTTAGAAATATGATCCAAGATATGAATTGTTAAAGACCACCAGGTAATGGAGTGACCCGATCTTTTGAGTTATTGGGCAATCGAAGTTGAGGTATTCGTATGATGCATTTTCCATTCAGCCTCAGGATTACCCCTCCCGAAACTAGCCACTACTAATGAATTCACGTGGTATTGCCGGACACCTGTTCAGAAAATTACCATTTTGATATGTTTGATACGATACGGACGCCCAACACCAAGTCAATTCGGATCGGAACCGGTAAATTTGACCCTTATGTCTCTTCGGGTGCAAGGTCTCCAAGATGTATGCAGTAAATATCTCCTTTTTCCTTCCCGAGACGCCAGGATGAAACGCAGTCAGCCAGCGCAAAATTATTATTACATACTTGCCACTTGTATCTGGTTTAAAGTGGGCCCGACATTCTTTTGCGAAAGTTGAGACCACCTAGCAGATCAAGCGTGAAGCTAGCGCCAGGCGACGTCTCCACATGATCTGTAGATCCACTATAGGGTTTTGTCTCGCCTACATACCTGACGGAGATTTGCGTTCCATCCTGTTGCTTCATATTGGTGCATAAAGCGTTCAGATTAGAGTTCCAAGCCTGGATCTTGGTAATCGTCACATAGCCGGACTGCTCGGCCGCAGTGCTTTGGCAAATACCATTGGCACCCACGGTGTACATGACGTGAGTAGCATGCATCACACTCGATCGAGAGACCATGACAGAAGTAATCACAGAAAGTTTACCAGCAGATGTGCCCGTGTCCGTAATGGGCAACTCATTTGGCTATCTAAGCTCACAGTGTATGGTTCTGGTATAGCACTAGGTTTGATTCAAACTTGAGTGATCAGCAACACAGGCGGTGTGACGAATATTAGTGGTAGGATAGTGGGCGAAAGGTAGTAGCTTTTTTGTGGCTGTTTTCAAGTGCGCATTCTGAATAAACCACCTATAAGTATTTCCGTCAAACCCGAAGGTAACATCACTTTAACCATCCAATAATCACCGTGTTCACTCACTATGGCTACTTCTCACTGCCCAGGGCCGATTTCGAAAGAAGACTACAAGGAGATAATTTGCAGATTTCTATCTAAAAATGCCTTCAAAACAGCCAAAAATGATCCTGATATAGAGAATACTATTTTGAATCGCTTCCTAAAGTACGACGAAATTAGTGAAACGAAAGCCAAATACCTTGCTCTTCATGGGGCTTCCTCGGCGGAACCATTTTTATCCCCTCCACCACAAGGAAATTCGCCAGGCGGTATCCTTCTACACTGCCTACTTGGGAGCCATCGACGATCTTGGACCTGGCTTCTTGGCTGATCTTCGACAATTTCGTCATGATATATTTCATGAGACGCCTCAAATTCCTCTCCTTCGGGACTACAAAAAGCTCTGCGAAGAATTCGGAGAATATTATACAGCTTTCTCCACGGACAAGATCACGGTTGGAACGATCAAATTTACGAGCTCTACCGTTTTAGAAGCCGAGACACATGATTTCAAGAAGCTCTCAACTGCGCCTAATTTTCCACACTATTTTCGATTCATGACTGGGCTCGTGGAGGCCTACGCTTGGCTTTTACTTCCGAAAGATATATGCTCTCGGACTAGTTTTGATCTTTTTATCCAAATTGTTCCAGATATCATGGATTACACGAATGCTGTGAATGACTTGTTATCTTTCTACAAAGAGTCTATCGTTTCGAATGAGAGGAACAACCCCGTATATCTTCGAGCGCAGCAAACCACGAGTCAGGTAAGCGATGTACTTTGTTCCTTATCTCAGGAGATTGAAGTGTATGTCACTCGTATAAAAGCTTCTGTTTCAGATGACAAAATGCTATTACAGATAGTGGACGCGTATCTGCAGGGTTACGTTGGTTTTCATGTCGGTCAACCGCGTTACAGATTGGAGGAACTTGGCTTGTCTTTGTGTGATATACAATCCAACCCATAATATTCGCTCTCTGAGCCCGCATCATGCATATGTTTATCATGGGAACATGGAATATAGGCGCAGAATCCATATTACACCCTGACACTTGGCACTCTATGGGAGCCCCTTCTCTACACTACTTGTCTCCTATCGCCCTTTCCCATCAACTGAATCTGATAATGGCACTGCCCACAAGTGAAGATGGCCCATGCCTTCTTGGAATATGAAGCTATCTAGCTTTAATATATCATCGCTTCTCCTTGCATCAGACTTTTTCATGTGTTAAGACTCCCTCGTGAGGGAGGGACGTCTCGCGGTACGCTGGAACAAGTGAATAACACAAGAATGTACCTGGTACACACTATGGATGTACTCGTGCGAATATTCTTAAATTAAAACTAAAAAAACTAAGCAGAGGAAAGCAAACTAAACCAAAAGTCCTTTAGCGACACAAAGTCCGAATAGGCCTGGAGGTCACGACTCAAGGCTCAACAGCTTCGAGAATTCCCCATTAGGCTCATCAAGTAGATCACGAGGATCTCCGACCTCTATAATTTGACCACTGTTTAAAACAGCAACCTGATCGAAGTCAAGCAATGTGTGAATTCTATGCGCCACCATGATTATGGTGCAGCCACGGAACGACTCCCGTATAACATTCTGCACCTTAGCGTCTGTTTCCGAATCCAGGCTATATGGTTCTCTCGTTAGCTATCACGCAATAGAAGCATTATGAAACAGGCGAAATAACACATGAACATACCTGCTCGTTGGCTCATCTAATATTAGGATCTTGCTTCTCTTCAGCAGAGCCCTGGCTAGACAGAACAGCTGCTTCTGACCCTGTGATAGGATGTTGTCGTCCAGTGTTGAATCTAGCACTTCTTCGTCGGTGCCTCTGTGACTTGATGTAAGAATGCTCCAAACTCCAACAGATTTCAGAGCATCAACAATCTGCGAGCTCGAGACTTTGCCCAACGGATCAGCATTTTCCCTGATGGTACCAGGGAAATGGAAGGGTTCTTGACTAAGACAGCTAATACCCTGTCGCAAATATGATCGGGTCATCAAGGAGATATCTTGTCCATCGATGATGATTTGGCCGGATACAATCTCGTTGAGACGGAGGAGGGATAGTGCCAGGGTACTTTTGCCACTATTTTGTAGTAAGTTGTTAGCTTGCTGCTTCAATTCCGAAAAGCATGATTCAGTCTGAGGACACGATATGAGTTGATCTCACCTTCCGCTTCTGCCACATAAGCCAAACTTCTGTCCAGCCCCGATTCGAAGATTGATGCCATTGAGCAAAGGCTCTGTATCACCAGGACTCCAAGCAATTCCTGCATCAATGATTTTGATCTCACCGCTCGTCGGCCATTCCGAGGGTCCATCATGAGTCTGAATAGTAAAGTTACTCTCTTCACGGGGAGTCTCCTCAGAGAAGTCTTTGATGCGTGCAATGGCTCCCAGTGACGTCTCAAGCAATGTCCAGGCCTGAATCAGCTCTGATAGTATGAGTCCTAGATCCATCATCACGACAAGAGCAATTCCCAGAAGACCAGGGTCTAAGTGAGAGCGAAGGGCGACAGATAGTCCGACAAGAAGCACTGCTATACCGGCCACGATAAGACTCAGTACGAGACTCAGCCAGCGTTGAATACATAGGAGAAGATAGTAGGGTCGCTGGGCAGTGTCCAGCATAGAAAGCATTCGGTTGGTCGTTGCGTGGGTCCAGGAAAACGCGCGAATCGTGGTGATACCTGCCAGGGACTCGATAAAGTGGGTGTAAAGAGGGCTCTTGAGCTCGATCCTGCAGATATATTAGTAGTTAAGCGTAAACAAACAGAGAAAACAGATTGATGTAGGAAGATCGTATAAGAGTAACGTACTCTAGTAGCCGCAGCTGACGAGACGTCTGAAGATAGAACCTTTGGATCAGATACAGCACTCCAAATAGAGGGGGCAAGGCCGCTGCCAGGTATGGCAACGATGCAATAGTAATGGCGCCTTGGGCAATAGCACTGAAAAACTCTAAAGGCCGATGATGTTAAAATGTTGACCAATTATTCTTCCCAAATCTCGTCGGTAAACTTACGGAACCCTGTAGATATAAAACCTCGAGGCAGGACCATGTCAACTAGTCTCATGTCCTGACTGAAACGTGTCACGAGAGCTCCAGTCTCTAGATTTGACAAAATGGATAACGGGGCGCTATAAGTATTAGCCAATTACTGCAGTGATCATTAGAGGGATACTCACCCCATGCAAGTGCGTAGCACGGTTGAATGAAGGTTCTTGGAGGCGAATGGGACAATAATTACCCATGTCCAGCTATGACCAGGGTTAGAGAGGTTATCGAAAGGCGAGTGCATTGAAGGCGAGGTCGAACATACAAAACGGCAAGTACAAGTCCAAGAGCTTGGAGAACAGAGAACGCTCCATACAGTCCAAGCCAATAACCTAGGCGTGAACTACTGTCACTGCTCGAAGACCAAAGGTCGACCCATACATCTTGGAAAGAGTGAGTTTCATGCCGTGGCCAATAACGCAAGCTCGGGGTCTCATTATAACTTACAGCGGAATCCGCTCATACCGGCGTCAGTAACAATGAAGAGAATCAACGCCGCGATTCGTGACCAACCCAACGCAGAAAAGTAATACTTGTATACAGCCAGGTCAGTCGTCTTTCGACTGCCATTTTTGAAAGAAACACTGGAGGTGTCTTGGGTAGGAGTTGGAAGATCCGCTAGCACATCTGTGTGCTTGTCGCTTCCTTTCACCTCCTCTGCGGGTGTGGATTGAGTATCATTCATCTGAACGAAGCCGTCAATGTTGTCTCGAAGTTGCGCATAACTGCCTTGCTTGGCCACTTGGCCATCGTCCCCAAGAACCATGATCAAATCAGCCTGGGGCAAATGATGGGCTGAAAAATGGTGAGCCAGGTCGTTTATCTGCGAATGGAATACACATACTGCTGTGAGTAGCCAAGAATACAGTACAGCCTAGCCGCCGCAGCAGACCCGCCGGGCCAAAGACATTGTTAAATACAGTTCGGGCGGTGGAATTGTCCAGGCCGCTTAGAACGTCGTCAAAACAAGCGATCTGTCTGCGAGCATATACCGCTCGCGCGATAGCCTATACAAACCAAGATGTAAGTATGAGGCCCAATATTTCTGGGCGTGTAGATCACTCACGATTCTTTGTCTCTGTCCTCCACTGAGCTTTGAGCCCTTACTGCCAACGAGTGTTTCATCACCGGCCGGCATCTTCTTAATATCTGATTCCAGCGCACATGCGTTCACAACGGTCCGGTACCAGTCAGGATCAAAGACAGCCGACGTGTCTTCGCCAACAATATTGCTCCGAATTGAAGAATTGGATAGCCACGGTGTGTCATCACAGAAGGCCAAGTTTGGGTATTTCACGAAAAGCTCCCCTTCTAACACGGGCGTCTCTCCTGCCAGGCCCTTGAGGAAGGTGGACTTACCGCAGCCGACTGGGCCGACAAGGATGATAAGTTTGCCAGAAGGGGCATTCTCCAGCATAAGAGTGATACCACTTGTCTCTGGTGCAGGAGTGGATTTCCAGCCAAATTTGACATTCTTTAAAGATAGGACCACACCTTTCTCGCTGTGTGAAGCCTGTGTGAGTGGGGTCAATTCAATACCAGAGATGCTGTTAGATGATGTGGAGTGAGTTGACAAAGGCTGGGGAAGCTTTCTTTTCTCTGTGTAAAGTATACTCTTATTAGCCTTCAGAGTCTAAGATTCTGGTTCAGGAACCGGAAACCCTGGAACACAATCAAACAATTTGAACAAGGGAACTAGAGCTCTTACCAAGGCGATTCTGGTTTTTAAGAAAGTCCTGTATCCTATGTAGACAACCTATAGAAGCGAATGTGTCCGGAATCGCAAGCAAAAGGTAGCTCAGTGGTGTAATCATCAAACTAATAAGCGACAATGAGGTAATGGCTTGGTTGACAGCAAGGGGTCCAGAATCCTGCACCAAGGCTACTATCGCATAGGCAGCCAGCGTCGCAAATTGGCCAACGATTATGGGAGAGTTTACTAGTATTAAGTGTTAGCACGGCAATAGGCTATTCATAACGTAGTTGACTCGGGACAGGGACAGTGGCAACCACACACCCATGCAGACACGAATTGACTGGATCCGGCGGAACTTCTTGGAAATTTCAAGCTCTTCTGTGCGTAATGCTTCGATCTTGGAGCTCATTATCTCGGTTAAGCCGAGAAATTTGACGTTGCGGATAGACCCTAGGATAGACGACGTGAAGTTAATCCGCTTCTCGGTGGCCTGAAGCCACTCTTTTTGGCGAGTGGAAACAGTAGACCCCATAGCAAAGGAGGCACCCGTAAATACTAGTGGACTCTATTAGACGAGAGAATATATGAGGGCAATGGAGAAAAACTAACCTATTACTACCACAATGGGAGCAATGCAGACGACGCCGACCTGGGTCTCTAACAGCCACGTAGCCAGTGCTAACTGAATTATATTTGCCCAAGTTTCACAGACGACTGAATAAAAATACTCGGCGAGCATCTCTATGTCAGAGCCCATAAGGGACATAGCACTAGATTCGTCTGTGCTCCCCAATGGCAGATCCATCATATGCTGGAAGACGATGCTCATCAAACCTCCTCGGATCATCGTCGTAGTACGATATCCTAGGTGCTCATAGGAAGCCCTTGCAACCTACAAGGAATGTCAGCTTACTTCCAGCAGTGCGACAATGTCTTAATTAGCTTACCGCAATCCCAGTAAAGACAATTGCTGTGGCTCCAATTAAGCCATAGCTGATGTCAATTGAGAAAGAGTCAGTCCTCTGTAAGACACTGACTACTTTTCCAATGAGAAATGGCTGCGCAATACTGAATCCCACAACGCAAAGCCGCGGGAAGGCGATTGTTGCAATTTCCCAGCGCAGACACTTGATCACCGCCCAAAGTAACGCATTTTTTCCAGTTTGATCGGAGTGAGCCCATGTCTCCGCGAATCGAGCAGATAATTCTGAAGACAAAAGCTTCTCGTGGACTGCGGGGAGGTCACCCCCAGCCAGTGATTCAGAGCGGCCTCTCCACAGCAGCCCGTTGAGCCAGGTGAATAAGCCGCGAGTGAAAGGACCGCTCACACTTTCGGTGGAGTGATATTTCTCGGTCGATAGAAGCCATTTCTTTTTCTCAACACTAGCTAGCACCAATAGAACTAGCTTAGCGGCCAAAGATGTAGACAGAAGAGCAGAGTAGGCTTCATTATCCGGTAGCAACCAGGCTGTGCGCACACGCGCAGGATCCAGGAGCAGCGTGATAAACAAATATACAGAGACCAAGAAGGATGGTCGAATTGACCGGACGTGCTCTAGGTCAAGAAGGAGTATCACACCCAGTGCCGCTAATAGGTCGAGAACGGCACTTGCAAGCAGTGTTCTCCCTACAGGGTGCTGTCTTGTAACAAGCACAATTATTGCAACTTGAATCGCTGCAAAAGTCACGGAGACACTCTAATGCAAAACACTTCTTAGATATCAAACCCACCCTCAAGCGGTCGGGGTTACTCACCAGGGTCAACACTCGAAATGTGGAAGACAGCACCTTCCTTCGCTGTCTGAACAAGTGGAGCAGACGAAGAGATGCCAGGAGGAGGAAACACGCGGCAGGAAGGATGCTCAGGATACCTGACTCGAACATTACAGTGAAGTCGAATCCCCCGCGACAATATGTATGGACGATAGGCCCAAACTGGCCATCATCGCATGCACCCATGGCGGGAGTGGCACTGGGCCAAGAAAAGGGAAAATGCAACGTCGATGTGAGAGGATGAGGCTCTTAGATCTGGTTAGAATTAAGAAGTTGCTCTTAGATATGAAAATGCTGCATTTGAAGACTTCCAAATTGCTCGCAATATAAGCATCGGCTCGGCACTAGCGCTAGCAAGTGAGAGTGTAGCCTAATAGGGGGGTTATAAGGAGGGGTCCGAGGTTGGACACTTCCTTTGTCTGGCACAACTAGCTCAGCTATGCTGGTATATTGATTTGTTACGGAGTATTAACCTAATAATTTGGAAAAATTGGGAAGAGATATTCCAGCCCAATAACACACTCAGATTACACAGTGAACTTGCTGGCTATGGCGTTATTGCAGCAAATATTAACAAATCATTCGGGGCTTTAACCAAGACCATTAGGCGCTCTTGGCATTGAGCTTCGCCGCCGGAGATCCGACGCCCTAAACCTGACTGAGTCGAGGCCCAAGGCTGTACTCGGAACATCGCTTGACATCCAGTCATTCCTATCTCAACGATATATGCATGTACACCCTGGTCAATTTGGTGTTGTATTTGCCTAAAAGGATTCGCCTCTCCTCCTCTCATTTGCTGTATCAGTAGCCAGCGATTGTACTTCTACCAAACCTCACTTAGACTAGACCGTGCGGGATTTTCCGCCGGGTGAAACATTCAGCTAATGTGTTAACACAGGATTACCTTGGTCGATTTAGGGAGCTCAAGTTCATAAGGACTTTCTTTTCGCCCCAACCCCCGACGAAAATCCGACTCGGAGAGTGTAATTGGTACTCAAACGCCAATTGAACAAGGCTTTCGCGATAGAACATGAATGTGTCCAGCATTTCGGGCTTAGAGCTTGGCTGGTGTGTATAAAGTGGTTCTTCCTACGACTCTCAAGCAAGCTTCTACATCTACGGTTCGGATGGGTATTTATAGCTATTGAATGAACTAAGTGAGGCTTCTGGGGTGAAGCATAATTCTCTGACTACGTTCCTGATGGGTTCCATTGCTATTGTCGTTCTGCCATTTGATTCTATTAAAACTTGTGCTCAGGCGCTGGGTTCTGTGGGAAGGATATTTCATAAGTATCTTCTTGGATGATGGAGTAAAGGGCTTTTCGTGTGGAAGTACAATGCGACTGGGCAGACTTATTCTTGGAGGTGGTATTATCGTCTTCACTGTCTTTGAGAAGACTCGTTTCAAATTACTGGCCGCTTTTATTGCTCGGAATTGACCTCTCTCTATTTGTTCTCATTTAGATTTCAGAGATTGCACAAGACAGTCAATTATTTATCTTGTGCCGCTGTGGACTGATAACAGAAGGGATATTTGGAGTAATTGGTATCCCACTAAATGCAACAAACATCAGAGGTATCAGGATGGAGGGTCTATATACAATCGCTCAAGTAAAACTATCCTGGCATGGGATAGTAATATAAAAAATGCTAGTTCCAAAGATAGTGGTGGTATAAGATGCAAAAAAAACCCCCCTTAAACCTCAACATCATCCGGAATGGGCACCACATCATTCAGCGCTGGGTTCAGTCTCTCACCAATCTCAATGCTCTCCCTCAAGATCTGACGTGCAGTCTCATCACTGACATCCATATCCTCCTTCACTAATCGTACTGCCAATTCAGGCACAAGAACAGATTGTGCGTAGCCAGCCACACCGGCAGTCTTGGCGATATGATCCGACGTAGCCAGACGACGGAGTCGCAAAGAGAATCGATCAATCACAGCTTGTAACCTAAATCGAGAAGATCCGTTAGTATCTATACAAAAGTGAAGGGACGTCGTCAATTGCATACATTTTACCCGCTCCTTTCGTCCCATAATAACCACAAGTGATCGTTTCAAGTCCGTCACCATCCAAGGTTAGACGGAAGTTCTTTGCCTGTCCAGACTTCATGCTGGTGTCAAGAATATTCCGATAATAACACGAAGCATCGGGAACAAGTAGCTTTTCCAATTCGGGGAAATGGCTCTGAAGCCGCTCGTCGAATGCGCCCCAATCGATTTCGGGGTATCCTTTCGTTTCCCATTCCCTCATCGCACTGCGCTCCTGGTGGGATGCGCAGAATTGCTGCTGTTCACGGATACGTTGTTTCGGCTGTGCTTCGAACAGCTCTAGAATCTCCCGTTCGACTTCTCCTTTACACATTGGACACAGGGCTTTTCGAGGTGGCGAATTTTCTTGGTCCTCGAGTGACGACATTTCGTCGAAAACAGAACCAGATGGTGAGGTGGGCAAGCTGCTCAGGGACGAGTCGCTGTCTAGCAGTATCTGCTGCAGGTCTTTGGAAGATGAAGTGCCAAGGGAAGAGGCGGAGAAAGAGTCGTTGGGTAAGATGGAAGGAGGCATGGTTTTGAATCCTCCATTCTTCCCTCCGGCGGCAAAAGATCTCCTAGGGCTCGAAGATGGCAAATCCTTCGGCATCTTAAACGTCACTTCTGGTTCTTCTTGTGATTCATCCGCGTTGTCTGGTTGTTCCGCACTAGACTTCTGCGCCTTTTTCTTGGCCAGCGAGGATTTCACAGTCGCGGCTGGCTGCCTGCTCACGCTTGGGACCCTTGAAAGTGGTTTCGCGTACGTGGCCCGCTTGCGCTTTGAACTCTGCGAAGACATGAAATGCGGATTGTTTTCCTCGTCGCTCATGACCCCACTGGTAGTCCGCTCAAGCACACCCTTGCGGGATGAGCCATTATTATAGTTCTGCGGACTACCCTGCGAAATCACATAGTCATCCGCCAGCCTCTGCTCCATTGTTGTGTTGGTTCGGTCGTTTCTACAGCCTTGAGAGGCATCGCTGTCATTGGCTTCCTCTTCATCCTCGGAGCTAAGTGGCGCGTCATCTATCGCGGGTTCGTATGGTTGCGTGGGTTTCTCGATACTAGGTTCAACATCTAACTCGTTGTCTTCAGGGGAATTGGGCTTGTTGAAACTCGACAATAGGTGCGTTCCCGGGCCATTGCGTGTCGTTAAGCGATTTGAAGCATAACTGGCATCGCGCTTGGGTCGAGCGCCCATGCTTAATCGTTGTGGCGGGTGTTAGACGTTGCGCAATGGTTGGAGTAGAGCTAGAGCATCGAACATGTGAAACGGGTACGCGTTGATAAGTCAGGACACGTGTGGTGCGGGCTCAAGCTCTTCACAAGCAGAAGAAATAACAGTACAAGGAATTTAACGTCGGAAGGCTGATCATGACATTTCATTGAAGCTGGAAAGGGCTGAGATAACGTGAGGGGAACGCGAAACGCGTGACACGTGCCAGCTCCACTTCTGTACTTTAAATACCTCGATGCTCAAAGATCTTCATACGCCATACTTATAGGTTCCAACAGTAATTAAATCTCATGCAGAACTGTAGACCCTCATATAATTATCTTTGCGTCCCTCAAATTGTATAGTTGAGGAGTTAATGGAGACGTAGACAAAGAACCTAGGGACAAAGAACAGTATGAAATACATTCACTTGAGCGCCAACAACTTGACATTGTTTTCTGTAAGGCCGAGGATGTATAAAAGGGTGTATAATTCGTATTGGTAGTTCAATGAAGAAGAAAGATAAAATGAAATCAAGATGCCATTACCCAAAATCCATTTGTTACGGAGAGTATATACGTTCTAGGGTCACGATGCACGCCACTTCTCCTAGCTGACCGAAGCCCTGGAGAGTTATGACCATATCGTGATACTTGAAAAAGCCAGGGCTGTTTCTACAAACAGACAAACGGATTTGTACACAAGCAGATAACGACCAAACCAAATACGCCGGTGCAAGTCATGCACCTCGTAATCTTAACGGAAGAGAAGAAAGGAAAAAGTATATAGAGGGAATAAAAAGAAGAAAAGAGGAGTGGAAGAAACAAAACTCAAGACAGAGATTACTCAAACGTCATTGAGATCTCGCCATCCCCATGTCCCGTGTCTTGGTCTGCCCAAGCATTAGGCTCCATAGCCATGGCGCCGACAGCAGTTGTGCCAATAGTAGGCATTGTAGGCATTGTAGCTGCAGACCGTAGCTCGGGCCGAGCAAGAGGGTCGTTGTTGGATTTTGGGGATTCATGGAAAGAGGTATCAAAGGTCATTTCGAACTCGTCCTTTGGTACGGTGGAATGCTCATTCGGGCCGTGAGGAGAATACGGTCCCGAGGCTTGCGGGGGCTCTGAAGAAACTCGGGAAGGGGGTGGAAGATCGGGTGTCTTAGGTGTCTTAGGTGTCTTTGGTGTCTTAGGAGTAGGAGAAGGCTGAGTGGGTGGGTCTGACGGGGGGTTCAGGTCTAGCTTCATCGGAGGCATGGTCGACTCTAGCTGTTTAACTTCGATGGCCTCCGAGGCCAGCTCGGTTCGAATGGCTTCGATATCGAAGAGCACCATACCAGGGCTGTCGGTGTCGTTTGAATCGCGCGGGGCATTGTTTCGGTCAATGTCGTAGGTCTCCCATTTCTTCTTTTCAGCCATCTTGCCTCGCTTGAAGATACCGAAGCGCTTCTTTTCTGGCTTTGCTTCTGCTTCTCGGCGGGCTTCGTCGATTTCACGAATGAGCTCTCGCTGGCGTTCGGCGTGGTTGTCTGGGTCTGGGTCTTCGATTTCTGCGAACTCATCCTCGAGAACTTCCCATCCGACTTCCCGCAGGATGCGAGGCATTGCGGTACGGTAGTCCATGTGACCGTTGACGAGCCGGGTGATATCGAAGTTCTCAATACCTGGGATGCCTTCCACAGCCCCGAGACCGGCCACACGCATGATACCGCCACTTGTAGCTCGGAAGAGGTAGCCCAGGATCCAATCGTTTGTGGCGTAGCCGTTCACAAATCGGCCAGACACTACACTCCGAGCCTTGAGGTATTCATCTTTATTTGCAACAACGGGTGACCCGAACAGGTATACGTTCTGAATGAGTCCGTGGGCACCCTTGTCGGCCAGCTCTTTGAGACAGGAAAAGATGACACGCGCGCCGAGCGAGAAACCGAGCAGGGTAATGGGTCGGTTACCGAGATTCCGATCTCGCAAGGAATCGGCCATGACAAGACCGGCAGAGTTGGCGCGAGCCAATGAGACGATCCAGGGGTTGTCAATCAAATATGCAAGTTTAGTCAGGACAAGAGGAAGTTGCAATGATGCCATCAACGCCATCAAGACGGTGCTGCCCAGAACTTGTTGCAGACCTTGAGTTAATGCCTAGAACGCTTGTCAGGTTACGCATGGATATCATACCTCTTGGGAACTTACCTCCGTTGCCAGAATGTTGATGGTGTCACCCATACTTCGAAGCATTTCAGGCTCCCACAGCACGGAATAGATATCACCCATGATCGGATCGACGGTACTGAAAGGCAGGCGAACATCGTCGACCTTGCCAGTCATCCATCCCGAAACCGTCACGATAAGATTGACCTTTTTATTATTATGAAGAGGACGGTACTCGAACGTTTGAACAGCACCAGTCCGGCGATGTGAAGCCCTCATACCAATAGTACTTCCGCCAAGTGTAGCACCGGAAGCGATCAGGGCGGTACCACCAGCTCCTCCAAGGAACGCACTTGTTCCGGAGATACCCACAGTAGTAAGGCCAGCTGCAAGACCAGCTCCAATGACAGGAGCTAACAGTCCGGCGGAAAGGCCAATGACCAGTCCGCCACCCACTGTCGCCAGGCCCATAATCATATACTTCTGTTTCAAGGCCATCTTGCGGCGCTTTTCCATATGATCTGACTCGTCCCAGTTCTCTTTGTCTGCTTGCTCTTGCATCTCGAGTGAATCCGTGACACGCTTCTCAAACCGAGAGATCTGCAGCCATGTTACATCCAAAGCTGCACCGACCCTTTCCAAGAGCGTTCGTGACCGAGCATCATATGCCGAGTCTGCGATCAGCACAAGGAACAGGTCACAGAGCACAGTCCATCGGAGATCGATGTCGATTCGATCAGTAGTAGGCATCTGAGAAGGAGTCGTGACCTCTGGGGGTTCCTCGGTCTCCTGAGCTTCATATGGCGGTGGAGGGTCCGATTCAGAGGATGTGTCTGACTCTGCCGATAGCCTCAGTTGTGGGTCCTTTTTGAGACTGGGAGACTCCGCCGTAGATGTAGAAGTTTTTGGATCATTCTCGGCCATGGGGTTCTTGACTCGCGCATTTTGCATGAGTGGTCGTACCAGGTCCTCTGGTTGCACGCCATGCTCCGCAAGTTGCTCGATCATAATCTGCTCAGCTGAATTGATATCCATATGAGCATAGACTCGAGCCATGATCGCTTGGCCCCATTTCCTCATGGCATCGGAGGCTTTCTGCATTACTTTGCGTGTAGATTTCGTCGTGGAGATGGATGCCAAATCACGGTTCATAGCATGGATGGACAGCCTGACAACTCCCACATATGCGATCTTTTGGGTCTCATTGAGCAAGTCTTTGGTAGCCTGGAGCTGGCTGATCGAATCTCGAAGCTCCTCGCCAACTAGACCGGCAGAGTTTCCTCCTGTCTCTCGGAATAGATAGCTTGTGTCTTCATCTAGACTTGTGGCAGACTGGGCATCTTCATCAAGCTGCACTCGGGTATAGCCTTTCCCAGCTCCTCCTAGTCCTTGGTATACGGCCTCGTCGCCTTCTTCCTTGGCACCTTTGGCGATCAATCTCCCATAGTCATCGTAGTAGTCGAATTCTCCAAGGGCGGGCATCGACTTCCATTCCTCGGGTTCCTCCTCTGAGTCGTCGCTCTCGGGGTGTGATTGTTGTGGTTGGTTCAGTCGCTGATGGGACCATTCCGACATCTCGGCTGGCTTGTGCTTCGAGGTTGACGTACGGGGCCGAGCAGTATCATCCAGATCGTGTGATTTCTCTGCATTTTCAGGAGTAGTGTTTTGACCCTCCAGATCCTTGTTTGGTTGTTCTGCGTTGTTGACCTTGGCCAGCTCAGGGGCCGTCTCAACTTCGGGCTTGTCCTGCGGCTCTGGTTTCGCTGGCTTCTTCAAAGCCTCACTATAGCTTGTCGAGCCTGCAGCTGTCTGCTGGATTTTGTGATTGGCATTTTCGTTTGCGTGTGGCTCGCTGGTGGGGGGATCGGGTTTGTGGCGTGCGCGGATGGGAAGGCCAAAATCGTCGACCTCGTCTGGTTCTGTAGACTCATGCTTCGCTGTCTCTAGGGCCGATTCGGACGTCGCTGGTTGAGGGGCTCGTTCTGTGTCTCTCCCGTTTTGGTTTGTGGGGGAGCCTCCTTGGGGAAGCTGAGGTGAATCAGTCGCATTCGACGGGGAGGTGGGTTTGTCGGAGGTGTCAACGGTGACACCCGAGGTTGCGGTCATGATTTCATGGACAAGAGGCCCCCAGAGGCTCCAAGAGGGGTGATGTGTGGGATCCCAGTGGCCCGTTGCTTCGCACGTTCCTTCGCGATAGCTTCAAGAGCTCACCCATCCGGCTCACGGTCGGCTAGATGTTGTATTTCGACGTATTCCGACCTGTCAGTCTCGTTTAGTGCAATATCGCATGCCCGATGGGGGACCAATTGATGGTCATCGGACTGGAATCTCCGCAAGTGACGATCGGTGGCCACGCGGCGAAAAGGAGTGCTAGGCGGAGAATGCGGGATATCAATTAAAACCACAGTGTTATACTCAACACTTGGACATTGAAGGATATTGAATGTTTATTGAGTATAGGAGGACATTTGGATACTCCGTACTCTGCGCAGTTTTGTTGGTTTGCATTGCAAGGCCGAAAGCGGACACCCCTCCAGCTTCCCCAGAATGTTTTTGTCAATACTTCATGAAAACAGCGCTCTACTTTGTTTTGCCACTTTTCGTCCACAATAGAAGTTAATTTACAATATACAACTACCATATTGTCTATGTGCTGTTTACTGAGTCGGCGTGGCCAAAATGCTCGCGGTACCCGCGTAGTAACTGTCAATATCGTCATATCCTGATGCAAAACAAAGACCCTAAACCGCAGATATCGGAGCTCATAAAACATGATACCTCCCGAGTCAGCCTTGGAGCTTTCCTATCTGCAGAATCCCGAATGAATACGAGGGCAACACCTCAGCCTTGCCCAATGCGGTATCGACCATACCCGAGTAAGAAGCAAAATCTCACCAGCCCAAGGCCTGATAGCAAACATCAGAGTACGGGCGAGGCGTCTCTGATAAGTACTTGGACGAAACAAAGAAAAGATCCAAGCACGGGGGACGTCATGTCGATCGTGTTCGACTGAGGCAGTGCGGGTGCTTTTGCCCGGGCTTCAAAGACGACATACATTACTTGCAGCTGAGGATCGGCTCTGTCTGTTCCCCGGCCAAACAAAGTGCGAGAATCATCCTCATGGCGTCATGCACGGATTGCGGACTTGACGGGGCGTTCAGTCACTTGTGCAGCTTGAGGCTCCCCAAGCTTCTTGGCATTTCTTCCCCGTACATCAGATTTGCTACTTGAGCAGGGCAACTTTCTTTCTTCTTCTTTTCCCCCACATGCTTCATCCTACCTAAGACCCTGCGCAGTCTACAACGCAATCTGATCATGACGCAGAGTAGGATCTCTCTCTGACAATGAGACGACCCCGCTAACAGGTACTCTCTTTCAAGGTTCCCAGGCTTCCATTGTTAAGATCGCCGGTGCGGGGCTGCGGCTTTCACTGCTTCTTAATGCCGCGGCTTGTCAACTTGCACAGTCCAAGCTGGAGATACATAGCATCGCCAAAGGCATCTCACTATTTGCTTTAACCCTCAAGGATGCTGGACAGACTATTGAATCAACGGACTTCCATCGGACACCAGAGGCAACAGAGAAAGCATGGGAGATCGCTGGCCAGGGCCAGATGATTTTCATCGAGATTGAACACATGCTGGACATGCTGAAATCAACCGATAGGGATGATGACCTGAGGAGGATTCCTCTCCAAGAGAGACTCAAGTGGTGCTTTCAGAAGCAGCACGTCACCTACTTGCTAGCACAACTCGATTCTCTTAAGCTCAGTCTGATTGTTTTACTTCAGATTTTACAGCTTGGGAGTATCATCAAATCCAACGTTGATAATGGAATCGATGCTGAGTCGTTGCCATCAGCTGCTGATGACACTATCGCCCAAGAAAAAGCCGACTCACAGAACATGATCATTGTACGTTACTGGTCATTGAAACGTCTTGATCGGCTCTGGGATCTCGTGGAACAGGAGGCGAGAGATGCAGCAAACAGCCAGACAAATCAGAGGATTCATTCAAATTATTTGTCAAGCACGGCTTCCGCGTCGAAGCCACCGGTTGCTGCTACTCGTGCCTCTGATCCTATCCGAATGCCTGTCGTGACTTTTGGAGAAAGTGATGTCGGTCTGAGCAACATGGAACGATCGCCAAAGGATATGGTGCAGCTTTCTGAAAGTGCTATGAACCGTCTACTTTCAATTTGGGTGCCTTTTATTGATCTTTCGAAGCTACAAAATGCTGGAAAGTTGATCGATGCATCTGGAAAGCATGCCCAACCTCGCGTCTATGTCTCCTCTGACACTGACGATGATGACGCCGGATCGGACTTTGAGGGCCTCGATGTACGGGGCTACTATATCGAGGGACCCACAGTTGACTGGAGGGACCCCCATTCCCAAGAAGCACGACAGCAAGCCGCTGAACTTCGCCGAAAGTATTCAACCTACCAGGCACGGGTAGAAATCGAGCCAGAGTCGGAAGATATAATCAAGCGGGGAGACAGTCGAAATAATTCCCGGATCATTATTGACTCGAGCGACGAGGGCGAGCAAAGATCAACTCTTAGTCCCTCTCACAGCAAGCAGGTTCCCAGTCGTGTCCACGCCAGCAGTCTCTCCTCTCGATATCCCCCTAGCTGGACCAATACTGAGAACCGGCCATATCCAAGTGGCAGCTTCCCACCTCCTGTCCACGCCCTACCACGCCCACCACCGCACTTCTCAGGACCACCTTCACCTCACTCACAAACGAAACCACCCCAAGCATATCCTCAAAGCACACCACAGCAACCCTACAATCATACTAATTCCCAGCCCTATACCCCAACCCCTCGATCAATCCCAGTAAACAAACAAACCGGTCCCTCCACGGCAACACCCTACCCTTCGTCCCGAGGCCACTCACCAAACCAAGTCCATCTCGGGCCTCCGTGGGGCCAGCCCCAAACCCCATATAACAACAACCCACAGCGCCGGCCCCATCCATCAGTCTACCCACTCTCGACATCTACACCCGAAATGGGCTTCCAACCCCCATCGCCTCACTCACGACACCGATCACCAACCCGCTCGCGTCACTACTCCTCGCGCAGCTCCCGCGATTCCCATGATTCCCATGATTCCCGAGAACCACGGGAGGAGGCTAAGGAGCGCCGGAAAGACCTGACTAAGAAAGCTACAAGGGGCTTAGCTGGTATTGGTGCTATCGCTGGGTTCTTAGATGCGTTGGAGGCATTTAGCCTTACCTGATTTCTTTTGTGTAATTGGATCCGTGCTGCTATGAGTTTGGATTGTAAACTTTCTTTCTTTTTACATTCTTTTCATTTGGACTCGGCGTTTGGTGAACCCCATTCGGGTTCGGTGGTCCGATTTTGATACCCATGGCTACCTGTCTATTACAGTATTTGTTTCCATACATATCCAACTAGTTCATAAACTTCACGAACACCCTGTTTCAGAGCAAAGACTGACCGTGCAAGGTTTCCGCGAATAAAAAAGTTACCCCGAAGATTGTCCATGAAGATTCCCCGAGGGCCCCTGGTACCTGGTTTTCTTCGGGATACAGTACTCTATTCGGTGATCTTCCCGTAACTACACCCCTATAAGCTCACAGCATATCCACAGCGGTGATGAGTATATGGGGTTCTCGGGAGATATAGCTAACATATGCCGACATGAAGGCTTATCAATATTTATACATCTACCACCCCCCAACCCTCAATAACACATCGCATCCTTAACAATTTCGGATCCGGCTTCGGATTCGGATTCGGATTCGGAAGCATATATATCAACACCTAACCAATCCACAATGCACAATTACACCCACCTGTACATATCTATGCATGCATATCCATGTATAGTCCTACCAAGCACCAACACATCTCAGCCCGCCAAGGACCCAAATACCCACCGACCCATTCACAGGTAATCGGACTCTACACCACCGCGGAACTTCCGATCCTCCCGATGTTCCGTGATATGCCGCCATATCATTTTTTTTCGAGTCCGGTTAAATCGGGGTAAATGCGTTGACGTGAACGGCCGGTTGGGGTTTTGTTCCTTTTTGATTTTTTGGTTTTGGTATTTGGGCATTCGGTATTAATATTCGCATAGACCCGGATTCTGGCTTTCGGTTGATTTTTTTCTCCTTTCTTTTTGCCCGCTTGGCTTTTGGGTTGGGTGCCGGCTGGTTTTGTTGGGGTTTCTATACGTCGACTTGGACTGAAGCTTTACACACTCTCACTCTTTTCTTTATTGATTGAGTGAAGATTTGGTCTCTATTTGGTGAGTAAAGTATGTCTTCGTTCATTATTTTGTTCCTATTCCTGTGTTTTGTCGGGTTTACTAACCGCACTCAATAGTTATATAACATATACATGCATACACAACCCAGCCAACCTTGTTGATATCCCAAGAATCAATGGATATACTCCAACGAGCATGTGCACACCAAACTCCGCATCTCAGCCTGGTCTGATCTGATACTGCTCACCCTATCAGCCCCAACTGAACTATCAAAACTCAGGCAGCGGCGGCATCCCAAAAATACTCCCATCGGGCAACCACCCATCAAGCTCCATGCCCGTCCCATGCATCCCTGGAGCTTGTGGCTGACCCTGGCTTTGACCCTGATGAACTTGAACATGTCCCTGGGCCGGCATACGCTGTGCCTCATAGGCAAACTGCGACTGCATGGCTGGATGTGAATGCGCAGGCAAAGGCTGATACCCCGGTGGGAGGGAATGGAAGAAATGTGGATTATGCGCATCCATCGGACTCGGACCAGCCCCGGGCCACATTCCCGGTCCTCCGCTCATTGCTACATAGCCGCTTTCTATTCCCGGTGCGTGTGGTGGGATGGGACTCACGGCTGCTGAGACGGGGTAGGGGTCCATTCCTGCTTGTGTTTGTGTGTTTGGGTTCACATTCACGTTCAGGTGGGTGTGGGAGTGATTTGAAGAGGGTGTTGCGGTACTGTGGTGTGATCCTGGTCCAATACCTGGTGTTTGAGCTGATATGCCCACCGGCTCCCTTGTCACTCCTGTTCCGGTTGATGGACTAGCCCCCAATCCAACTCCCACCCCGATATTCCCGCTATACCGTCTTTCCAACCGTTCATACCAATCACGCCCTCTGACACCGACAACCTGATACCACCGACTAGGAATCTTGTACTTTCCACCACCGCCCGCCTCGCCAAGTTTCGCAGCAAGAGCATCCAGATAATATGCCACATTCACCGTCTCAGGCGTGACGACTTCGCCCAGTGCCCCAGTCCGCACAGAGAAATGAATCTTCAGCAATGCCGTCACGGCCGTCGCTAGCCGTGTGTACATCAAGTTGGGCAATTTCCGCATCGTGTCTATGCTGCATGCTAGGACTGCGTCAAGCATTTCCTGCGCGGCGTTCATCCATTTCATGTTTATGTCGATGCGGATTGCGCTGAGGGTGTTTGTGCCGGTAGGCTGTTGTGTGTTTGTTCCGATTGGGGCAGTCGTTGGGTCTGGGTCTGAGGATTCGGGATCGTTTTCGTGTTCGTCGTCGAGGGCTGGGAGTATGAAGTAGCGTCTTTTTATTGCGTCTGGGTCGCGATAGCCTTCGCCTACGCCTAGTTCGTACATTGCCAGGGCTGTGGAGCGGTATTCGAGGATCATTGGAACTGGAATTGGGCGGTGTTAGTTTTGGTGGGCTGGGAATGGGAATGGGAATGGGATGCTTGGAGAAGGACTTACCTGTCAGCATGGCTGAAGGAGTATTCTTCTTCCATGTATCCATTCGCTTGTCGAACCATCGCAGCACGGCTTGTACTCTTGACTCCGTCAAAGGCGAGGTGGCACTGGTATCATCCAGACCGAACGAAGACATCGCCTCGTCTGTTATACGCTGAAGCTCGAACCACACTGCCAAATGCTGATCTGTTCGGTGGGGGGAGTGTTCGAGATGTTTGACACATTCGGTCACCCAGTCGTTAAATTGGAGGAGATTCTGTCGACGAGTTTTCATCGCTACTGTTGAGCCAAGGTGGTAGCAGCCCAGAACTGCTCTTGCTTGTTCAGCTAGCAACTCATCGTGCGGCTCAAGTCTGTTCTTCCGGTCGGACTTCTTCGAGACTCGACGCTTGTTGGCGAGACCGATTTCAAGCGCCATCGTCGAGGCGATGTGCGTGTACTGATAGAATTGCAGTTTCAGGGGCGACGCTGGTGGAAAGTAGAAGATGATCATGAGGAGAAGGGCTTGCACTAATTCTAGTGATTTCTCGCCTTCGATGAAGAACCTTTCGGAATAGAGCCGGACCATCTCGCGATTTAACACCGCTGCCAATCCAGCGTCAACGGATATTGATGTGGCCGCGATGACGGAGAGAAAGAGGACTGGCTTTGTCTGTCGCAGTTGCGCTGCCGTTGTATTCAGGGGCAAGACAACCAACGGAAAGAAATATGCGAGCTCGTGGATGAAATATGCCACCAGCTGCTCCGCGTCTTCAAGGGAGAGAATACCCCGGTCGATCACATCCTCAACAGGCGGAGTCTCCTCCATCTCAAAACCAGGTGGCAACCCAGCGAAAGACGGAGGACCCGAAAAGGGCACACGATCATGCCCACCAGGATGGGTATTCATCAACTCAGGCGAATAATCCATGTATCGATCCGAAGAATGTGCAGAATGATCCCGCATAGTTTTCAACTCCCCATCGCCCTCCAAATCCCGATCATCAACCTCACTACCCTCCGATTCGGGCTCACTTTCCTCCCGAATCCGACCCTTCAACAGCGAACGCATCATCCGCATCTCCTTCTCCAACTGTGCCACACGTGAGTCCGTCCGCTTACGGGGCCGGCGTCTCTGCGGGGGCACGAAGACGCAGGTCCTCTTCCCCTTCGCACATCGCTGGCACTGATTAGGCGTGGACGGGCTAGGCAAACAGCGTACCTTGAGACTTCTGCATGACTCACAGGAGCGGTTCAGCTGCTGTGCCGAGCCCGGTTGCAGTGTGCTTGATTCTCCCAGGGGTGTGGAGGCCTCTGACATGTTCACTTCCACTGGATCTTGGATCTTGGACTTGGGGGCCCGTGATAGTGGGCTATCCTAGCACTATCTTGTGAGATTGGGGGGTTCGAGAGTGAGTTGGGCACACCCTATAGGCATAAAATTATGTCTGTGGACACACAACACACAAATAGCGCACTTTCTCTCGAACCGAGAACGGAAACGGCCTCAAAGGTAAATCCGGGCCAAATGTTAGTGTGTATTTCGACTCATCGTATCGAATGAATGTCAAAATGGGAGCACATGAACAAATGTAACGAAAACTAGTCGGGAGTCATTGGCATCAGAAAGAAACATGTGAGAGTCGAAAGGGTGGAAGAAATTAGGTAAGAATGAATAGGTCCAAGATCTCCTGGGGTAAGCAGTGAGCCAATACTTAGACGCAGAACTCAGGGTCCAAAGATGCCAACCTCGGTGGCTGGAAATGGGAGGAACAGGCAGTGAAGTTATAGTGTTAAAACCTGACCAATCAGGCACTTTAAATATCTCCACTATAAGTTAATATTGGCCCATCAGCGCCCGACGGCTATTCCCGATTTGCTAGAATTGGTGCAGTTTGCGAATTGACTTCGCTGTAGACGGCCTGATGGATCCTTTAAACTTCGGTTAGGACACCGGGTCGTTTGGACTTTCTTAGGTTACACTTCAGAACGTGACATTGAACGTTATATGAGAATTCCCCGAATATACCGAGTCCGATGGGATTTTCGGTCTATTACATGAGACAAGATTCAATTTGAAAGAATAGCCGGGATATTCGTTGAATTCGGCTTCAAAGAGAGCATAAAAGAAAAGATCAGCCATAATGATAAAACATTACAATTGAATCTATTTTTACTGTAACATGAGCGATCTGCAACATAAACTCGGCGCCGTCGATCCAGATAGATTGGATGAGCAACAAAAAACCCAGTTACTGCAAGCATGTGACAGACTACGGACTCGGCTGGAGAGTCCTTTGGTGATTGCCTCACGTCTCATGTTTTCGGTATGCCGTGTGGATCCCTGTGGAGGTAACCGACGGGCAATTGACATGTGCTAGGGCCACCAAGGAATGGCTATTCGATTAGCTGTGGACTTGAAGCTGTTTGATGCTATATCCAAGTGTCATGGTGCGTTCAACATTAAGCAATTGCAGATTGAGGCCGATCCCCACTTGTCAGTAAGTTGGCATCCATTCTTGATCCGTGCGTTGTGCTTGTGTTGATAGTTGTAGGGCGGATTATGCAATTCCTGGCTGCCATGACCGTGATTCATGAGGTAGATGTAGACAAATATACCACGACACCGGTGGCAGCTGCACTGGTGTCAACTTCGCCCATTTCTGCTGCGATAATTCATGGGTATGACAGTTCCCCAGAGATAGCGTAGCATCGCCAATGCCTGACATCAAATTGAACTCATTTTTGGACAATACTCTCTACTCTCCCAGAATACTTCCACTCCAACGGCTGGTAGAGCCCCAAAAATGGCCTAGACGGGCCATTCCAGTTCGCACACTGCACACCAGCTCACTATTTCGATTTCCTCAACTCTAACCCATATTACCAACAAGCCTTCCAACACGGTAACGAGCATGCCCTTCCGGCGGACTGGCAAAGACTGGTTCGAATTCTTCCCTGTCGCACGGCTGCGCGTGGAAGACCAGTCCGACCCACTCATTGTTGACATAGGCGGAAGCCAAGGCGAAGACCTGAAGAATTCCAAAATCATTTCTTAGACTTACCAGGCAAACTGATTTGCAGGATCTGCCCGCTGTGGTCGCTGGCGTTGATCTCCCGGGGATCCAAGTCATGGCTCACGATTTCTTCAAAGCACAGCCCGTCCGCAATGCGAAGGCTTATTTCTTGCGGACTGTTTTGCATGATCGGCCTGATATGCAGGCCGTGCAGATCCTGCGGCGGCTGCGTGCCGCTCTGGGGGCTGATTCGCTGCTGTTGATTAGTGAGACGGTTTTGCCTGAATCTGGGGTTGCGTTGTCTGCTGTTTTGTCCGATTTGCATATGACACTTTTGCGTCGCTGGAACGGACGGAAACGCAGTGGAGGTCTTTGCTTGAGATGGCTGGCTTCGAGTGGGTGAAGGCTTGGTTGCCTGGGGATTGCGATGGGCCGAGAACTTTGGCTGATCAGCCTACTTTGTTCGAGGCGAGGCTTAAATAGTGAGATGGAAGTCTTTCAAATGAATTTACTCTAAAGTGGCTCATGTAACATTGGCTAAGAATCTTATTCCGTCTAAACGGCCGACTTCTGACCCACAATTTACACCGTTTCTTGGGTACCGAACAGGTCTGTAAAAAGTCTAACCCCTACCTTCAATTGTGCCTAATAAGTACAGATTATACGCGGACTTTAAGCAAGCTAATGGCTAGTAGTATTAGATATGACAATATACTTTGTATCGACATCAACATAAAGATAGATATCCAACTATATACCTATCATATTTCTATCGGTCAAAATGCCGAGCCTCCGGATGTCATGTGTGATGCATTTCCCATTTTGTCAAAATTAGATTCTTCCGGTCTTGTGCGGAGTGCTAGTGCAGCGGTCAAACAGACTAAAATGATGCTATCGAAGGGACGCGTATACATCGACTTCCCGCTGCGCCTTGAGATACATAGTAACAGCACTAATCTAACCTTTGAAAACGCCAACGAAACAGGGGCATTCGCGGCCCTCTCTCTAATCCAATATTATTAATCTCCTAAAATGAAACCCATGCACAGTGAAATATCCCCCGGCACTTGAACACGCGACACAAGACAAGCTCATGGCCATGTGGGTCCATGTGGCGGAACGCGCAGACTTTGCTGATTCGATCCACGAATATACCGGCCTCGTTAATAGTATTGTTCTCCGAACGAGTACGAGGGGAGTCGTCAGCTCCCGCTCAATACCAAGCCTCTTTGGCTGCGTGGTAGACTTCGGAAAGCCGGCTTCGTCCGGTACCAATCATGGATCCTGTTTCTGTTCTTTGGTTCTGAAAATTACGGGAGGTAAGTGAAATCTACTCCGCTGGAAGAAGGATTATTCTTCAGCCACTGAGCCTGTTTCTGTGCTGGTCATCATCTTTCATTTTTGATCTTTGCGCTGGTCTTTTGTTTCTTTGCATTATACCCACTTTTTCTATTCAACAATCTTTATTTATATCTTTTATCTTGCCTTGCTTGGCCTCATATATCTCCTTCTGGCAGATCCTGCAGCATACGAATCAAACTTACCCTTCCATATATCACGAATCGTTGCATATGCCGATACGCATAAATACACAGAGTCTGCGACCTCCCATACAGAATGCGATCTCTAGCTACCGCTTGTTGGCTCTATGGACTACTCCTAGCAACAATTGTCTCCGGAGTGCGCGGGAGTACAGAGACGGAACCTGATTTCATGAGCGTGCGAAAGAACGTAACAAGGGAGTATAAAAGCGAGAAGAAAATACCAACAGAGAAATATTTCCGTGAGTACAAGCCGACCTGATACCGTTTTACAGCCTTGTCGATCAGCCTTCTGGTTCCTGTCAACTTTAACTGACACGCGTGAATGTTTTAGATGAATCATCGTATGTCGAGACACCATGTTAACAACATCGCATGTCTATATCGGCCCTAAACTAACCTGCTACCACAGTTTCCATTATCATTATGACGGCCGGTACGCTCTCTCACTCTTGATCTGTCCTGACCATCCACTTACAAATCCCAGCTTCGCCAATGAAACTCTCCCAGAATCAGAAGTCATCCCACATCTCTCAGCCCTCGTCCAAACATACTTCTCGACAATGAACGCCATCGGCGCAGAGACATGGATTATGCACGGCACGCTGCTGGCCTGGTGGTGGAATCAGAAGGTAAGATTTATCCTTCACTTCCACATTCGTTCCAACCTAGGCAATAATTAACAGAATATAGATCTTCCCATGGGACAACGACCTAGACGTCCAAATTTCAGAAGCAACAATCCACTTCCTAGCAGAATACTATAACATGACAGAGCACCATTTCGATCTCCCCGACGTTGATGGTGGTCGCGCCTACATGCTCGATATCAATCCCAACTATGTCGTCAAGTCTGAACAGGATACAATGAACAAGATTGACGCGCGCTGGATTGATATGTCGTCGGGCCTTTTCATTGATATCACTGCTGTGCGCAAGGATGAGAATAAGAGGAAGAATGGACATCCGGAGGCGTTGACTTGCAAGGATAAGCATCATTACGAGGTGTGCCCTCATTTTACTTGATGTTGATGTGTCGTGCTAATGGTGACTTAAGGAGAGTGATATTTTCCCGCTGCGTGATAGCACCTTTGAGGGAGTGGCGGTTAAGATCCCATATGCTTATACTTGGCTTCTTGAGGAGGAGTATGGACCTAAGGCTCTGACACAGACGACCTTTTCAGGGTTAGTCCGCTATGTCGATCTTCTCTTTATAGATCCACGGGCTAATCGGCTTTTTAGTCATACTTTCAACGGGGCGACGAAGATCTGGGAGTCTACAAAGTGAGTCCTCCCTCTTTTTTTTCCACATCGATGTACTCCGTATCTCTGAACATTCGACTAATTTTTTTTTTCAGGCGAAAGCTTAAACGCTTCCTTCGACAAGGCTGGCGAGGCGATGACTTGCCAGTCCGTACCTCGGATCTCAATCCTATTATAGAGACATGAGCCACTGATCTTTCTTCATGGTGCTTTTTTCTATTTGTCATTTAGCGTGCCTCTGCATATACCAGGCGTTAATATGAATTCCAATAACATAACAATCCAACTGCACGGAGATAACGGCTTTTTCCCAAAGAGGAAAACGCCTAGACGCTGAGTCACCAGTCACATGCCCCACATGATAACATTTGAGGCTCCCGTGATCTTTTCAAAGCTCAAAGCTACAAAGAGGTGGTTTGCTTAAGAATGTAGGAGACAAGACCTGCATTCCTTCTCCATTATGTCGTTCCAATCAGATTCGCCAGAGATGATCGTCAGCGATAATTCCCCGACTTCGCCCAACGTGTCCGCCACCGCTCCCCGCCACGCTGACACATCGAGCTCCCGCAGCTGTGTAACATGCCGCCGCAGAAAAGTCCGATGTAACAAGCGGACTCCATGCTCAAATTGTACAAAGGCGGGTATTGAATGCATTTTCCCCCCGCCTGGTCGTGCCCCGCGAAAATCGAGGCGCCCACCTGACGCGGAGCTGCTTTCGCGGTTGCGTCGTTTGGAAGGTGTTATTGATCACCTGAGGAGTGGTAATGGCTCGGGTTCAGAGGGGACATCAGCCCGGACGCCGTCATTAACGACGTCTTCTACTGTTATCAGCGATACGCCTGCGTCTGCGCCCGTGCCTACAGCAGCTGCTCCTGCTGCACCCCCTGGACCTCAGAGCCAGGGTTCTGAATGTCCATTTGCAGATCCTAAGAGCCCTGCCCCTAACAGACTTGAAAACGAGCTCGGGCGCTTGGTCATTGATGAAGGTCGGAGCCGATATGTGAGCAATCGACTCTGGGCTAGTCTTGGAGATGAGGTATGATATATCGATGTCTTTATACCAGGTCATGGCTTATGTTAATTGCTATAGATCGAGGAGTTGCAAGATATTCTCGATCATTCTGACTCTGAGGAAGATGATGCTCCCTCGCCAGACTCTCCCAATTCAAGCTCTCATGATGGACACATTTTTGGATACTACTCGCTGTCTCACTCGCTTCGAGAGTTTCACCCTTCTATTTCCAAAGTATCTATACTTTGGGAAACATACAAGGACAATGTTGCTCCTCTGATCACTATCGTTCATCGACCGACTGCCAGAAATCTCTTTGTTGAGGCAGCGCGGCACCCGGAGTCGCTTGATAAGAATTCAGAGGCTCTGGTCTTCGCTATGTATTTGAGCAGCTTTGTCAGTATGAAGCCTGAAGAATGCGCATACCAATTCGGTGAAGACCGCGCGACTGCTGTCAAACGGTACCGCTTTGCTACGGAGCAAGCCCTTGCAAAAGCTGGGTTGCTGAATACACAGAGTTTGGTCCTTCTCCAGGCTGCTGTTCTGTTCTTGGTTTGTGTACGACGAGAAGATGATAGCAAATTCGTTTGGTCTATGACCTCCATCGTCTTGCGTCTTGCTCAAGGACTAGGCATACATCGTGACGGAACAAATTTCGCACTCAAGCCGTTCGAGACCGAAATGCGCCGTCGACTATGGTGGCATATCTCGTTACTGGATGTCCGCTCATCGGAAGATCATGGGACGGATCCTATTATCCATGAGAGCATGTACGACACTCGGCTTCCATTGAATGTCAACGATGAGGACCTGTACCCCGAGATGACTGAGACTCCCGCAGAACGAGAGGGCTGCACTGATAATACATTCTGTCTCATTCGCTGTGAGATTACGAGTGCTTTGCGACGAGCAAACTACGTGTGTCCCGGCGCCGAACTTCGTGCGCTTGACAATAAGCCACCAATCAGTCGCTGTGAGCAGATGATTCAAGTAATCAGTGATCGCTGCGAGCAACGGTATATCAGACACTGTGACATGAACATTCCCATCCAATGGTGCGCTGCCACAGTGGGACGTCTTATCCTTGCCAAGCTGTGGCTGATGGTCCACCACCCAATGACCCGGAAAGATCGCAGCACCTCTGTCTCCCAGGCAACTCGCGAGAGCTTGTTCTTAACAGCAATCGAAGTGCTCGAATTTGGCCGCTTACTCGAAGCCGATCCAAAGACTACCAAATGGGGCTGGCTATTCCGGACCAATATGCAATGGCATGGTGTTGCATTTGTGTTGTCTGAAATATGCGTTCGCCCTGTCTGCCCTATCACCGATCGAGCCTGGAATGCCGTTAGCTCGCTCTACTCAGATTGGGCAGTGCAGGCCACCCATAAGAAGGGCATGCTATGGCGGCCCCTCGCCGCCCTAATGAAACGAGCTGAAGCCACCCGCATCAAACAGAGCCAGGAATTGCTTGTCAAGTTTGGCCCAGCTCCCAGCCTATTAGAGCCAGTCGGCGCTCAAATCACCTCTGTGCCCAACCACCCTCTTCCCCAGATCCATATGCCACCGGGACAGGCAAGCCCCTTCCAAAATAATAGATCAGACGTATCTCCACAGATTACATCTGACGCCGATCTGAATATCGACCTTAGCAGAGGTCCCTTAGGAGCTCTACAGAGCATCTTCCCCGACACAAACTTCTTCGCTTCCCAGGACATCTACGATACCCCAACTACACAAAGTAATATCTCAGCAACGAATTTACTCCCGCCATCGGGCTTATCAACAACCCAACCTTACAACGCCGCCATGAGCAATCCCCTCCTGAACCCGGAACCATTCCCTGAAGCCCCTCCGCTCAGCTGGGATGAATGGGACCAGGTCATGCGTGATTTCCAGATGGACGTCGAAAATGATGCCTCTCAGCCGACCAAGGGGACTAATGTTACTGAATGGTTTGTCTGATTTGCGTCGGACTGATCTTGATATGTTTTGTCCGTTGACGTCTGGCTACTGCATATCTGCATGCGAAGTGTCTTCTCTTGGCTTTGGTCTTATAACTATATACACGATGTTATCACTTGTGGCGTTGAATTTTGGATGATATCCCCTCCCCTCATTGTTTCTATATCTCTCTTCTCTCTATGATGCATGTTATGTTGCCCACGGCAGTAGTGGTGCAATATCACCAATACAAACATAATGTGCAACATATCAATTTAAAAAGGAATAAGAATAAAGCATGATCACCCTTATATACAACCATCAAATAACCAAATATTAACACTTGTATACTTCCAATCAGTGACCACGTGACCACGCGATAACGGAGAAGCTCCAAGCTGGCATCAATGATCTCCTCCACTCCGCCATTACCCTTCCATCCACCGACCACACCCAAACAAATTGGGGACATAAAAGTGCACACTACCTCCAATTCCTGATATCCCAATTGCATCACCCCAAAAAACTACCCAACACCCCCCGAACCCAAAACCATGCCTCCCAAGCGCCACGCGGCCTCATCTACCTCCGCAACGCCCTCCACACCCACAACCCCAACACCAAAGCCCCTCTCCTCAGGTCCAGCCACCCTGAAGACGAACGCCTCAGCAGCAGAAATTGCCCAGCATGTTTGGCAGCAATATGCCACCACGACGCCGCAGCGTACACTCCTTCTAGATGCCTTCATGGTGTTCCTTGTTCTTGTTGGTGGTTTGCAGTTCTTGTACTGTGTCTTGGCTGGAAATTATGTGAGTTACCTAGCATCCTGCTTTGGGCTAGTTGTCTATGTTCGTGTCTCAAATGGATGGAAATATCCAAGCAAATGGGCAACATGGCAATCTATAAACCACATTATACACGAAACCAATACGAATTAAGCTAATACCTTCTCTCAATAACAGCCCTTCAACGCTTTCCTGAGTGGCTTCAGTGCCGCCGTTGGTCAATTCGTTCTTACCGCAAGTCTTCGCATGCAAACTAGTGATTCCGGTGCTACGTCAAAGCCAAGCTCGAAGGGGAAGAACGCGCGATTCGCAGATGAGCAGGGTGAGGAGCAGGGGACGGGTTACTCGCATGAGAGGTGGGTTCTTTCTGTTCTTGTATTTCATTACCGCGGTTGGGATATTTGCTAATATTTGGTTACAACAGGGCCTTTGCCGATTACATCTTTGGAAGCTTGATTCTACACTTTTTCTGCATCAACTTTATTAACTGAGCTGCGCTCGGTCGGTGCTTTACTCATTTCCTTCGATACCATGCTGGCCTGTTCTTTTCTATTTCTATGGGAGTGATTGGATGAGCTGGTTATTGAATGGATTGGGAAATACTGTCTTTTTTAGATATTGGCATCTGGGACGTTTTTCTTTTTTAGCCTGTTCCCTTTTTGCTGCTTTGTCTGATTAGGATGGGAATGGTTGTTCATATCTTAGGTCTAGTCACTTATACGATGTTAAGCTTGACTTGAACAAGTATTTGCTTCGTACAAGTTCCCCATAGCTTCGAGATGGAAAAGGTGTAGGTATAGAGAAACAAACCTGCCCAGGCTGTTAAAGGACGCAAGGTACTATCAAGTCGTACAGCTCAATGACCGGTTGGTTTGAAATGCAATGGCGGGTATCTATTCAACTATATCCTTCTAGATGGATTTAAAACAACAACTCAATGTTGCACAAACAGGGCAACTCAAAAGCCCAACGGCATACACAGGGCTGACACTAAGACTGTAATCAAAATGCCCGCCCTGGCCTCCGGGGAACAGTTGGCCTCTTAACGACACTCCCCCCGGAACCACCAGCCCTTCCTGCCCCTCCACTACCACTGCCATTTCCATTGGCACTAGGCCGCGACGAAGTAGAGGACGAAGCAGTAAGACCGCCGACCTTCCGCCCCGGTTTAATGACAGGTCGGCGCACGGCAGACCCCGCTCCAGCCTCGACTTCTCTCTTGCGGCGCGTAGGATCGTTCCGTTCTTCCTCGCGCCGCTTATCGGCTGCAGCACGTTCGCGGTCAACTGCCATCTGCGATTCGATTTCCATGCGACGGTTGAATTCGAGTTCTGTTACACGGCGGTCGCGCTTCGAGTAGCCTTTCTCTTTGACGGAGTAGAAGACGCCTCCTAGTTCGGCGAGCCACTTGATGGATATGTTAGCTTATGCTCTGAATGATATGTTCTGGAATGAAAGAAGCAGGGTTGGGTAAGTAACTTACGTGAGGATCGACCGCAGTCACTGTGGACATGTACTCCTTGGCTGTGAGGATCAACTCGTGGTAGACTACGTACTCAGGTACGTATCCCAGACCGTAAAGTGCACTTGTAGGGTGAAGGGCCATAGTAACGCTGGTACGGAGGTTGATGAATTCGCCAATACCCTTGACGCGTGCGGCTTGATGGTAGTAACCTGAGCAGATACATTTGCGGATCATGTCCCAGTCTGTGCCGCAGCTGATGAGTGGCATTTTTTGGACGGTCATGATGTCGTGGAGCTGGTCGCGGACTTCCTTTGCACGACGGAGGGTTTTGGCGTGTAGGAAGTGCTTGACGCACCATGAGTCGGACCATCCATTGGTTTTCCATTGAGTGTAGACGTGGAGGAGGGTTAGGTGGTCGGATTCTGGGACGAAGAATTTCTCGCGAGCAGAGTCTGATTCTTCGATTCGTTCTTTAGGTCGGTAGAAAACGTTTGGAACTGAAAGCATTGAGACGATGGTCAACATCTCCTCGCTACAGCCGTATTCTTCAGATGCCATGATGATGAGCTTGGCGAGAGGGGGGTCCATAGGGAAGGGCGTCATGCGGCGTCCCAAGGATGTTAGTTCGCCCAGGTTGTCGAGAGCGCCTAGAGACCAAAGCTCGAAAAGAGATGTGGAGATTGTCTCTTGCGGAGGAGGATCCATGAAGTCAAAGTCCATAAGATCCTTCACGCCAAGAGACTTAAGCAAGAGCACGGTATTTGCGAGACTGGTACGCTGAATCTCGGGAATCGTTTGAATGTACAATTCGTTCTTGTAGGCCGTCTCGGTGTAGAGACGATAGGCCTTACCTGGTCCTGTTCGGCCAGCTCGTCCGGATCGCTGGTTTGCATTGGCCTGAGAGATTGGCGTAATCTGGAGAGTGTCCATACCCATGCGCGGGTTGTACACCTTCAACTTTGAGTAACCAGCATCAACAACATACATAATACCGTCGACAGTCAAGCTAGTCTCGGCGATGTTGGTAGCAACAATAACTTTGCGCACGCCCGGAGCAGCCTTCTCGAAGATTCTGGCTTGTTGCTCAGCTGGCATTTGACTGTAAATGGGTAAGATGCTGAGTTTTGGAGGGTCATTCAGTAGCTTCAACCGCTCGTCAGTGAGCTCGCAGGTCGCTTCAATATCCTCTTGTCCAGTCATGAAGACAAGGATATCACCCGGGCCCTGTGATACATGAATAGCCAATATCTGCTTGACCGCACTGTCGACATAATCCTCGCAGGGTGTGCGTGAGAAGTGAAGATCGACCGGAAACGTTCTTCCGGGGATGATGAATTCCGGAGCACCTCCGTAAAAGCGCGAAAAACGCTCTGAGTTCATCGTTGCCGATGTCACAATCAATTTTAAGTCCCTGCGCCGAGCCAGAACTTTCTTGAGAAGACCCATCAAGACGTCGGTGTTCAAAGCTCTTTCGTGCGCCTCATCCATGATGATACAGGAGTATTTGTCGAGATCCGTCTGGACGAGAGACTCTCGCAACAAGACACCATCCGTCATGTCTGGATACTAGTTAGCCTTCATTCGTGTATCATGTACAGAAACAGACTCACATTTAATCACTGTCTGATCGCTGGTGCAATCCTCAAAACGGATTGCATATCCAACAGTAGAACCAAGATCGACTTCCATTTCCTCGCTGACACGCTTTGCGACACTCATTGCGGCCACACGGCGAGGCTGCGTGCATCCGATCATGCCATTCTTTGAGTAGCCATCCTCATGCAGGAACTGGGTCAACTGTGTGGTCTTTCCCGATCCTGTCTCTCCAACAACCACCACAACCTGGTTGTCCCGGATGACCCTCAGTAGGTCTTCGCGCACAGCAAAAGCAGGAAGATACTCTCTCTGTTCCCGCATAGTCTTGCTCGAGCTGAACGCGCTGGCTCCGCCGTCCTTCTTCAGATGCTTGGCAAACTTGTTTCCTCCTCCTTTGTAGGTATCCTCAACCGGCATAGCGACTGCGCTGTCGCCCTCATCCTCCTTGACACCCATCAAGTTGCCCAAAGCTGTGCCAGCCATATTTGTCGCTTCCTGGGCCTGTTTCTGCCGCTCGCGCTGCTGTCGACGGTCACGTACAGCTTTGCTTCCCTTCCGACTGAACACTGCCATATCACTCTGCGGGTCACGGACAGCGGAGATCGGCTCAAGCTGCTTCGTAAAGATGGTGCGGCCATCGAGGAAAGGTGGCCGGAGGTCGTGAACGAGCAAATGGACTCGAGTTGCCTCCTCGTCATCGGGCATGAAATCTCCTTCATGGTCACGTCTTTGTGCTACACCGGATGTGAGCATTCGATTGGTTTCCCAAGTGTCGATATCCTTCCGCTTGGCGTCGCGTAGCTGTGGCGGGAGGTTGCCAGAGCTTTTCTGCCTTTTGGCCGGGGGACCCATATCGCGAGACATGGCGATGGACCTATTTGCAGGCCAGAGATGGGACTTGGACCACAGATTGAGAGCCGTGGTGGAAGTTGACTTGACAACCGATCGCCAACGAACTTATCGGGGGCAAACGGTGCAAACTCCGATATCAGTCACGTGGTATAATCTACTTTTTGGTGCGCGTACCACGGCATCAGCAGGTAAATAAAGTAAATTAGAAGGATAAAGAAACGAATAGACTATGCAAGTGAAGATCTGCCAATACCATTACGTGAAATTCATTTTTCAAGGGTTGAGAAGTGCTTAGACAGTCCATAGTGGCCTGCGCCAAACACCAAACTGCAACCGCCCCGCATCGTCATCTTAATTTGTCGAGCTTTCTTGAACCGCATTACCACACGTATCACGCAGTCATCATGTCTAGCCAGCAACAGATCGATCCCAAGAAGCAACAAGGTATGTCTTTCGACCGTCTAACTCTTCTGTGCGAAAACTAATGCGACCCCTCAATGCAGAGCTCCAGCTCCAGTACACCAATTTCAAGAATACCCTCCAGCAATTAGCACAGAAAATCGGCGATATCGAGCAGGAGGCTGAAGAGCACAAGTACGTTTCTTCCAATGTCATAGACGGTCCTCTGGCTTGAGATCTTGCGCTTGGATCAGGAGCTACACCAGCTCAGCTGGAATTCCTCGATGAAGTTACATGGTGCTGACATTCTTGTCTCCTCAGGCTTGTTATCGAAACCCTTGACCCTCTTCCTCAAGACCGCAAATGTTTCCGCATGGTGAACGGTGTCCTGGTTGAGCGCACCGTTCAGGATGTGCTCCCCACACTCAAGACGAACTCGGATGGACTGAAGCAAGTACTGGAGGATATGCTCAAGCAATACAAGTCAAAGCAAAGCGAGTTGGATTCTTGGAAGGTAAGGGTGTTTTGGCGTGGGGACTTCTCTTGCCTGAAATTATCTCTCTCCTATGAACCAGGGACAGTGCTAACTTGCCTTTCTATTATAGAAGAAGAACAACATCCAGGTTGTGCAGCCTTAATGGCATCTCTTTCTTATATTTTGATTTACGTATCCCTTTATCTGCCCCCGGTCGTACTATCGAAGTGCGAGAGCATGAGACTACCGGCGTTACTGGGAACGGCAAAAGATTAGACATAATGCAGCGTTGATTCGTGCTTTGATGCCAACTTGCAAGGGCTCCTTGTTTCATAGTGTTCATAGTACCAAGAAATATACCCATATCTTCTGGATCTTGGAGGCCTAACAGTGTCGTAGGGGTACGTACTCTTGGGGTTGCATATATCGGTCTAAGCCAAGAAAGTCATGGTGAGTTTTCAACTGGCCCACTGGGCTTCAAAAAGCAAGGCGTATGTTTCCATATTGTAGACGACTTATCGTGCTAGCCCTATCACGTGGACTTGTATATTTTCATGGTTCCTATCAACAAAAGCAAAGAGCTGTGGAAATGAGGTTTCTCTAAGTAGATTTTCTTAGGTAGCAAGAAGTGAGCAATCGACTAAGATGCAAATGTTTCATATGCATCTATCTGTATGCTCTATGTAGGGTTTGATGCCTGACCGAATGGAAAATTACCAAGGCATTGTTGGGCTATGAAAGACGCAGTTTAATGTTAGATTTATGCAACATGCAGTACCAAGGCAGACGTACAATTGTGAGCTCATATCTACACAGTACAGCTTCTATAGATGCAATATCGACACCATTTCGATATGGTATCTCAAATACATAATATTACGATCTCAATGTGACACGTATTGTAACAAACAGTTATCTATATACACCCCTTTTTCTGCCTCAGGCGGCGAACATCGGATGCAATCATGACTGAGCTGAACTCGATCTCTCCCCTCTTTGACTGTGTCGGCTGCTTCATCCGCTTCATAATCATTCGATTTGGTCAAGAAACCTGCGCATTCACTTGGTATATTTGATAGTTGCTGTTGTGGCCCTGTTTGACGTTTAAATATTTACATTGGTAAGTGACCAACCGAAGGCGTCCCTTCGATCTGCCCAGGGAGTTCTGGTTCGCCAATTGACCACAGCCCATGCCCTCCACTCAAAACACCATGCTGACTTTAGCGCTCTGATCTCAGATCCAGACGAATCGGAAGACACTAAGACACTAAGGCTTTATACGGTATGCTCTTCTTCTTCCCTGCACGACTTGCACCTGTCGGACAGTTGGGCTCCCCCCAATCTGACCCACCCTCGCTGCTCCCGCGTTGCATCCCGCGTCACCACTCAAGCTTCACTGGCCCTACCCGACTCGTGAGGCGCACTTGATTGGCATTTCCACAGCAGCGGGTGCGACGCGATCGCCTTTCTTAATCCTTGACGGGTTTCATCCCATTTCCGAAACACGGGGCTAATCCAGGTTGCGCTCGCATAGAGCTAGATCGCGCATTATTGCCAGATTCCCCCGACTCGTTCTTCTGAGGCTACTGTGAAGCGGTTCGTACCCAGCCGATACAACCCTGTCCCGTTTTGACGCAGCCGACTCTGCGCTGTCCGAAACGCAATCGATCGCGCGCCAGCATTAGATCTGACGTGGTCTGACAACAGGCACGCGAAACCAACAAGCATTGACGCCCAAAACCCGGCTCCACTGCCCGTGTCTAAATCATTCATAATCATGTCGTCGACCTCCCCCTCGAAGGAACCTGAACTCGACACCGAGGTGCAATCGGGTGAAGAACAAGAGCACATGGACAAAGACCACCACGACCCGTCAGGACACCAGGGCGAATTTGAGGTAAAGGAGCAAGATCGGTGGCTTCCGATTGCAAATGGTTAGTTGCGTCGACTTGCATGTTTCTATTCCGATTTGCGCGTACCTTACCGTTGCCCCTCTGTCTTCCCCCGCATTTCGGTCCTCCCAACTGCGCTTTTGATAGTCCCGCTTTCATCTTATTTGATACTCGGCATGCGCCTGCAGTGGTTTTATGAGATGGATTGTCGGTCGCATATTGCGCATATCTGATTCCTTTCGTTATGCCCTCCTACCTTTGTTTCTATCATTCTTTGAGTTTAACCCCAATATGCTGACCCAAGTGACATTTAGTGGCACGTATTATGAAATTGGCGCTGCCTGAGAATGCAAAGATCGCGAAAGAAGCCAAGGAATGCATGCAGGAATGCGTGAGCGAGTTTATCTCATTCATCACAAGTGAAGGTGGGTTCGAAATTTCTCCGTGTGTCATACATTTATTAATGAACCTCGACAGCCTCGGAGAAATGTCAACAGGAAAAGCGAAAGACTGTCAACGGTGAAGATATCTTGTTCGCCATGACTTCCCTTGGCTTTGAGAACTACGCCGAAGCACTCAAGATTTACCTCTCCAAGTACCGTGAGGTAAGAAATAATATCCCTACCCAGCAACCGCGCGCATATATGGTTTGAAATACTAACCAACTTATAGACCCAATCTGCACGTGGTGAGAACCAGCGACCCCCAAGTGCTGGCTATGGAGCCGGAGGACCTGTCGGTGGCTCGGCTCGCCCTACAGGATTCCCTGATGCCGAAGCTGGCAACCCCCTGCTTAACCCCAACCTTGACCCGTCAGAGCAAGATGCCGCGGCCTACGGCTACCCAGCCATGGTTGGCCAATCCCACAACGGTGCAGGCGGAGACTCCTACTAGCGAGTCCATTTTAGCAAAGGATGCATGTGCTGGGATTGGCATCTTTGTGGATTTCAGAGCGGAAGCGTGAGGCGTGCAGGCGTCTTTGGTTTCAGTGTTTATCTGCACTGTTATCTCGGCCAATTGATACAGAGGAATATGGAGTGTCTCTACCTAGAGGGGTTACCAATTCTCGGATTGCGTTCTATTCGACAGACCTGGCCTGTTTCACGGCCGTTTATTTACTTGGAGTTTTTTTTTGCGGGTTATTACGTATTATGGGCTTCGCCAGATGACTGAGACTGTACATTGGATTAAATGACATACTGTCTCCTACTAGCTGCCTCCTTTTGCGCTTTGGAAATGATTTGAACGGTATCCATCAGTCGATGGTCTTAGGGCTTGACCATGTGTTTACCGAGATCCAGTCAACATCCCCGGGTATTGCAGGTCAGTACTTTGCTTCAGAGCAACCTTCTATTGAATTATATAGGCCTTGCTAGAATGAACTTTCTGATCGGTCAGCCGGATCACCGATCAGCCGAGTCCTCAGATTCTGAAATCGCATCTACGGGTGTCTTAAGTAGTTTCCTCTCTATCACCATTGATACACTCCAAAGTCTCCTTGCGATTGCAAAGAATCTTGATCAAGTCTCTGGGTAAGAATTCAGGAAGAGGCAACTACTTTCTTCCACCGATAGAGGCCAAACTCAAGAAGAACCTTGCTAGGTGGCAACACATTCCAGATAGTATCTGTGTCGATAGAACAGTGTGAGATGACAATCCGACTGCTAGTTAAAAAGTCGGGCAAGGCTATCAAATCGATGCAACAAGCTCGATTAGAACAGACGAAATCTATATTTTTGTAGGGTCCGCTGAGACCAAGTATCTTCTGAAAGGGAAGTTGTAAATTAAGCTATATGATCTAATCTTCCTAGCCTTGGATATTATAAGGATACTCACATTATTTTACGAGAACCTCATGACGCTGAAGTCTAATGAGTGACCATATTGATCCTCATTTCGAACCTGACCTATGCTGCTTTGCCCCAGTGGCCCTGGGGGCCATACTGAGCTGGAACAGTAGGCCAGGTATCCACACCATCCAGCATAGCAAGCCTGCGAGCTCTGGTCAGTATTGGTATTTATAACCCAGCTCAGGGTGAGTAACTTACGCCATACCGCCTGTCAGATGCGGGTCGATGTGGCAGTGCATGAAGAACGCTCCTGGGTTTCGCACTGTTGAAAAAGAAATTGTTAGCCTATATTTAATTATATAGAATGTCTGAAGCACATGCCATGATAGCGGATCGCCAACCAGGCCTGTCCTTGGAAGGCTGCTGGACTGGTGAAGGTATCTGTAAAGCATATCCGTTAGTCTCATTGCGGACATCGAAGGATAGTCAATGTCAACTTATACGCACCTCTCACGGGAGGATCAACCAGATTGAAGGATTCTGGGATCTCGTTGACAGCCTCTGCGACAGAAGTATAATTGAACTCGCCAGTGCCGGAACCCTGAATAACGTTAGGAACAGGTGGACGAGGCACAGGGGCCTGAAAGAACTCACGAGGACATAAACCGGGTTCGAGTGTTTGTGGAGCGGATGACCTGGCTGAAGGGTTGTAGAATTACCAAAGACCTTGAAGATAATGTCCACCCAGGTGTTATTCTTGGTAGCGATAACCAGACTGCTGTTCTCTTGCGACTGGGGATCCCACAGCATAGGTCTCTCAGCCTCCAAAGCCAGGTCGTAAGCATGATCTCCATTAAGGGACCATCTCCATGCTTTTTCATAACGCCCAATGTTGAGCAGATAGGTCTCATCCGCATGTTGGCTTGGTTTGTTTGGAATTAACGGTTTGATGGTGTTTTCATCGAGGACGACAACGTCAGAAGTAAGCCTGTTACCACCATAGTTGATAGAGGGCGTGGAATCGATGGTGGGATCACCGTGGGCATATGACAGAGTCGCGCGGCCAGCAATCTTCTGGTTCAATCCGGAATTGGCGACAATAATGGGATAGTCTCCTGCTGTATTGTTCAGCTTTACCAGGGCGGAATAGCGACCGCCATTGCCGAGTGCCAGTGCCTAGAAAGGGGTACATGGTCAGTATCACTCTGCGGCTTGTGATCGGTTGATGAGGAGATATCATACGTCGACTCGGATAGGCTGGATGTATTGGCCATCGACTTCGTACACCCAAAGGGAGTGATTGTTGATAGAGACTATCTTGGTTAGTCAAAGGTTCACAGATGAGGTATACCACCAAACATACCAGTTGGAACCGAGATCCCCGCCGAGCCGATAAAGTTGAGACTTGCCCATCCCTTCCAGCTTTCAACCTGGATGACTGCTTCCTCCGCGTCTGTGGCATTGCATTCGTTATACATCGTAGAGGGAACTGCACTGTAATTGTGCTGAGCATATGTTGTTTGGGCGTAGGTGTTACTAAGCGGGAGACATCTTCATGATAAATTGTGAGCTATAATGAGACTTTGAGCAGGCTCTACACATTGTATACGTACCCTTTGGCGGTGTAATTCTTACCCTGTAGCAGGGAAGACAAGGCAGGGGGGACCAGGCTGCTGGCATATCCAGGGTCGACGCAGCGCACTCTTCCTCTGCCGTTGACCAGGAGAGAATCGGTACATCTAAACGTCTTGTTAGGTGTTGCTGTGCCAGTATATACGCTAGACTTACAATGTGTCGATGTCTGCATCTAAAGCAATTTCGCGTAGTTCTTCGGAGGTATTGTGGAACCAATCGGAGAGCATGACCAATTTAGGATCTTTGATCGCTTGATAGATTTGAGCCCGTGTCAGGGTATCATTTGCCATAGCATTGGCCATGTCCTTGGCGGCTGTCCGAGGTCTAAATGACTCTCAGCTTGCTGATATTAGTTCTCAATGTGGATATAAATTCACCTGATATAGATGGGCCCGTACAACCCATCCATAATTTGCCCAGCAGAATGCGAGTGGTACCTATGAGCACTCAGCATAACCGACTCTGACATTGATACAATAAAGCTTACCAGTATGTTCCATACTGTGTGACAGTGAATTTAGAGACAAATTTTCCACCAGGAGGAATGAGCCGCTGCGAAACTCCAGGTACCCCATCTGACCACGACGTTCCTTGCTGTCTGTTCTTGGATGAATGCTTGTTCTTGATAGGTTCGAAAGACCTGGACTCACTCAAGGCCGTGATAGTGAATTGTGGTGTTGTAAGGTAGGTAATTATTCACAGTCACCTCAACCTTGTCGCCCTCATCCATCAGGAGCGGAGGGCCAGGGAATTGGCCATTGATCAAAGCTTGCTTACGCTCGACTCCATCGGGCGCCCTGGTGTCCCAAGTCAGATTAAGCACAAATCTTTTCGGAGACTCGAGGGAAAGCAGAGCAGAACTGAGTCCCGCGAAACAAAGGAGCATGGACAGCTTCATGGCTGCTAGAGGTGTCTTTACACTGTTGCGCAGAGATTAAACATCAGTGGGGTCCTGCAGGATAATAAGTACTTCCATGCTTTGACAGATCCCGGATAAAAGGATAAGGGCTTAGGCTGACTCGTGAGAAATCAGGATAATGCTGTAAGGGGCGTCAATAGCTGGACGTGGCTGCCGATAATTCGCATATCGGCACTGGCTCTGCGCTCTGAAATGGTGAACTGCCGATCACTTAAGTATCATTCGAAGACGATTCGACTAGGACACCACATATTCTTGCTTGAGATCTATATCGAACTCGGCGTTCTTTCGGAGCTGAGGCCCTAGGGAGTTTGCAGGCCTGCCTGTCTCAGTCTGATCGATCTACACAAGGCCGATTCGCATTCTTACCCCTGAGCAGGAGGAAATCATACAACTTTGAGCCGCAGCTCCTAAGCATTACATCCTACGGGCAATAGGATGAGTCCTAAGCGTAGAAAACTGACCCCCTAATTCAAGGCCCCCCGAATTGGCTTGTGCATTGACGTTGACTATTGTTTGCCTGTGGGTCTTTGGGCGATCATTTTCTCTATTACATCCACCGCGAAATCCTTTTTTCCAACTTGCCTACTCCGCGTACATCCGTAGAGAAACGTGCACATGTGTGATTTGTGTCCGAGATTAATGATTTGCCGATCTCTCGAAGTGATGAGAAAACCAATAGGGCTCGGTGGTTGTCACCTTTGTGCACCCGATTTTTTATTGAACTTCGACCATCCCTAAACTCGCGTTGCTTTTCGTTCGAATCGCATCGTTGAATTATTTCGCGCTAATAACATTAAGGAACTGCGTGTGGGCAACAAAGCCTATTAAGTAGGAATTGGAAACGAAAGAGGCAACGGTCATGGTCGAGACATGACCGTGACTTTGGTTTGAATCTTCTTCACAGCTGGAGGTAGTCTTTGCCTGGAGACCATTGATTTCCAACGCCAACGCCTTTTTTCTGCGGTGAGCATTGCTCCCGTCAATGCCTAATAGGTAGGCCCCAAAGAAATCGGCCACGCCTCCCTGCGGTTCGCTTGCCAAGGCGGTTGTCCTGCTCCCAGTACATGTCTGACATAGATTGATGTGCGGAGAAATTGTCCAACCTCATAGATTGTCTTAACATAGTAGGGCTCCTTTAATGTGTCGAAATATACCACCAGTAGCCCTGCTAGCAAAATCCCAAGTTTCGGGGAAATGAGCAAAACTAAGATGGTAAACGAAGGACAAAAATGATTTATAGGTACGAGGCCTACACCTGTTCTCTAACTCAGGTGTAATTATGCCCGGCTGGGATGGAAGTGGGGCATCCAATGGTATAAAAGAAGGACGGATCGAGGAGAATGCGGCTGTGTATGGGCGTGGCGTATGTGACAGGTAGATAAATCTGTTGTGAGTTTCCTTGGCATCTTTGACAATACGAAGTGTGCTGAGTTGGCAGATGTCTACCCATGTAACTAACATTTTACCCTCCATATTGATTTGAGCAGCTGAGGGAAAGAGCCAGGGTATGACTGCTTGTAGTACCAGATTGATATATCAGATACATGATACCAAATAAATAATAATGTCATCATTTGCTCCGAGTGCTTGGCTCTACTGCGCCTTTGCCAACGTAAGTGGCAGGCCAAGTCAACTTGCATGAGAAGGATCAGGCGACCTCTCAAGTCAACTCCTGAGGTCCGACAACTGCTGCCCGACGTGTTTCTGTAATCCTTCAAATCAACCCTAAGGCCGAAGCGCCGCATGGTGCAAGATAAATAGCTGTGCCCGCAACTTTGGCTATCGCATTCCATTTCTCTTTCCACCACCAGACTCCTCCAATTTGTTTATACGAACTCCAGCATCAAAATGGTCACGACACATTCTTCAGAGAATGACCAGGCCGTCATGGATATCCTGGGGTACACATTCGTTGATGTGTCATTGCTTCGCAGAGCTTTGGAAGCCTGGAGTCCCGCATATCCCGATGGGCACAAAAGCCACGCTCTCGTTGGAGATGCGGCTATTGCCCTCGCATTCCATTTTGATGGATATTCGAAAAGTTCTACGCGCGGTAAGTGTTTTGTCACTTGATTTTCTGAAACACCTCAAGCTAAACTCTATTCTAGAGTCAAGCACAAATATCCTCAATAACCGAGCATCTAACAACGCTCTGGCTACCTTGGGACGCTCTAACGGTCTTGACAAGCACGTCATCATCAATCCGGCACAATGGGGGATTGTTTCAAATAAAACTATGGCCACTACGGTGGAGGCCCTGATCGGAGCTGTCTTTATTGACAGCGGACTCGATATAAACGCTGTCAGGGCGGTCATGGTAAACTTGGGCATCATGGATAGGCCCGAGTAATACGGTAAGCCCTCGTTTTCCCGGTGTTTATTCGGACTGAAAGCTAATTGGACTAATTTGTTATTAAGAAACCAAAGCGTGTTGTGATTACTCCTTACACACGTTTTGGTATATGGCAGGATAAAGGGGCTCGGTATCCCCTACGGGAAAGTCCCGGATCGGTCCTCGTATTAGCTCTCAGACCTAAACTATCCTTCTGAGCACTAATCCGAGGACTGATCCGGGTATTTCCCGCAGGGGATCCCGAGTCCCTTTATGGTGGCATCTACGATTTGGTGTGGTGGGAGTGACATTGCCACTTTGGCCTCATGTTTTGCGCTTTTTATCTCGCTCCTTTTGTCTCGTTCTTTATTTTTTCGGCTTTGAGACGGAGAGTAAGCCGCCCTGTGGCACATTGTTGTTACGGCACCTTGTGTAGCTCACAGAGCCTGGTAAGCTTCAACACAGCAGGCATTCGTGCGGTTGACGAGGCGTCGTGGACCCTCTGAGATTCAATATCGCCCTCCTCGGGAACTTGCTTTATACAAGCACTGAAAATCTAACTATAGTCACTCGTTCTACACTTTTCCATTTCCACTGTAACATATTATACAAGAGGGTCCCGCCACGCGGAAGACCTCTTATACATTGGCGTAACACTTCTAAATAACCAGGGGCAGGATCACAAGAATGAACTAATTTGGCGCCCAATCGGCGATGAGATCACAAAATCAGTTCTCGTATCGTTAACTGCTCCACGAGTACCATCGTCATTGGTCTGGACCCAGCGGTGAGCTTTAATAGTCTCGAGTGGTGTTCGATTCGGGGTTTGAGGCTGAATACAAACCATGTTTCTGATTGGATTGAACTCTATTATTGGCCCACTTGCCGGCGCCCGATGGTCCGAGCTTTGCAACACTACTGGTGCCGGACAAAGAGAAGGATTTAAGGGCGACTTTTGTCTGATGCCCCAACATCTGGTAACAAGTCTAGCAGCCACTAAGGGAAATGATTGGATGTCCCTGTAACGCAACATCAAGCCACTTCCTTGGACACTTCTCGAAGGAGATTAGTAGCATTCCCCCGCAAATATATCAATCCTTCCTGATGGTCTAGACAGAAAAAGGCATCCGTCGAAGGAATGCTTGCTTTAGGAGGGTAGTAAAGCTACGTTTGAGTCTCGGGTGCGGGAATTTGGTCTTGTTAAATCAATCTTGTAAACAATGAATAGTCTTGCCTAAAACAGCCCATAATTGACTATGCTGAGTAGACAAATTTCCCGTCTTTGGCCATGTCATATCAACAGAATCGAAGGACACCTAGAGGCAAGTCATTGTTAGCAGGATGTTGCTGGAACTTGGCTTTTAAGTGACGGTGACTGACGTGCAAACCTCTTTCATATGCTTAGGACTTCTGTCCCCAGATTTCCTCAGAATCTTAAAACTCAACTCCATCACAAGCCTCAGTACAAGTTCAAACCTATTGTGTCCACTTCATATGTGGAAATCAAAACGCGTAGCTCACTGGAAGGGTCATGACCTCATATGCAAGCTCTTCACGCTGGCTGTTGTTCATTTCGGAATAAACTGCAATGGATAGCGCCGTATTCCACTCCTTAAGCATCTCTGCTGCATTATTAAGCTCCGGCCACTTCCATGAAGCAAGAATCAGCGTCTCAACGCCGATCATATCGCCAGTCATCGATTTTCGCAATCAAGGACGTAAGCGGTCTGGGGCATTGTAATGGGTCCCGCATAGTAATTTCGGCTTCGGGAGCATCCCAGGAAGACCGGCCCGACCGGCCGCTCTTCGGGTTCTTTAATAGGGAGGGGAAAAAAACCCCCTCGATTCTGGTGACGATATCACTCACTTCGGCGTCCGAAGGAGCCGCAATGATGAAATTATCGACATGGACAATGAGACTGCTCATTTCCTTGCCCTGGCCCTTGGTGTAGACACATGCGTCATCAACTAGTGGTATAAAACGGAGTATCTGAAGCTTCTGATGGTGTCTCCAGTGTTCAGTATCCACTGAATCATGCACTTTGTGAGAGACAATCTTACTCAAGAAGACTTTGAGGGCAGGTGCGCCATATACTAGGTTTCTTATCTTTGTCCTCGGTAACACAGTCATCTGCTTCGGAGCGACCAAAGATCTTCTAATCACTAACTTCTGATTTGAAATCTCCACTTGGAATTTTATGTTCATCCACTTCACCCTCTCACTTCTTACTCCCACAATCATGAAGAATACATTTGCGGCTGTGCCCAAGGATGGCACGCTGTGTCAATGGTGTAACGACGATAACCTCGGTGTTCGTCTTGCACTGTGCCAGGGAGCCCCAGAATCAGGTCCATCCGTCGGATGCAGATGACTGAGTCTCAGTAGTCATGTCAGTCATGTCCAAGATTCCTTAGCACGATGGCCGAGACGACCACGCGAGGGCGGTGCTTTGGCTTCACCCTCTAATGATAGAAGAAGAAATGAAGTGAGATAAATGCGATTCGAATGGAGGGTGAAAGTGCGGGTAGAGAGCTTGGACGTCGAATCAAAATGAATAGCATAGCGTAATTGCAACGTACATCTTAAGAGCAAATAGATGTTAACCAGAGCAAAGGTTGAGCTTGAAAGACTGTTGAAAGTAGAAATGAGGTTCAAAATAGTGTGGGGATTGACTTTGAGTGAGTGCTGAACTTGGGTGAAGGTTGAGGGGGAAAGACAATCCAATGTACAAATGAGCTTTGAAGACGAAGGAGGTGAGAACAATACATAAGTGATGGACGGAGAGGAGGTGGGGAAGATGGTGATAATGTTCTATGAGGGAGCAGCAGAGACGGTTTCATCTCTATTGAAAATACATAAGATATATGAAGCCCTATCCATGGAAGTGTCATCCACGGGTGGCGAGGCGGACTTACATAAGCAGTTGTGCCCTCTCCGCATCCCACGTGAGGACCCGATCTTGCCCCGAGTTTCGTCTATTCATTATCGCCTTACCCTCGGGATAGACCGCGCGGACACTTCCTTTTTTTATCTGCTTGTCGACCATGACGCCTTGAATGACCGGTCTTTGTGACTCGAATGATGCAGAATCTTGGTCCATCTGGATCTAGGATGACTTGCCATGTCCTCCGTCAACGATAACTCTTCGCCGCTACCCGTCGACGGGGCGAAGCGAAAGCAAGGTACTGATTTCTTCCTTTGCTTTCGCCTGGTCACGATTTGTGTCTTTCTGCGGCTACTTTTCTAGCAAAAAAGGATTGCGGCTAATTGGTGACTCAAAAATTTCTTAGGCTCCGCCGCCTGCGTCCATTGCCACCGGCGCAAAGTTCGCTGTGATGCCCGTGTCGTCGGAACCCCTTGTACAAATTGTCGCGCCTCTGGAAAGGCCGACTGCCGTATCCACGAAAAGAAAAAGCGTCTTGCGGTGCGCTCAATTCTAGATCCCGTTCCGATCCGATCTCGGCCACTCCCCGCGTCTGATCCTACTTCGAACCCTTCTCTTGCAGCGGGGACCCCGCTCCCTCCAAGTTTTCCAACTGCCTTCCCCGGTCATACACCACTTGCTGGAGGTATTCCGCAAAATGGCTTCCAGCAAGGTACGGGATCGGAGGCATTCGGGCGCCAAGGCCCGGACTTGGCGCATGCTCACGAGGCACATACGGAGATGGAGCAGCATCTCGTGAAATTGATTGACGAGGAGGACTCTGGTAGAAGGGAAATCCAGCGAGGCGTGCGTGCCTTTTATGTCGGACACGAACTATCAAACATGTCATTCTTGATCCGGCAACAACGAGACCAAGATGACGATGTATACCACTTTGCCAGCAATGAGATCCCCCGGCGCCAAATGAAGACCGGTCATGATCAGCTCCTTATGGATGCCCTGACACTTCCTGAACCGGCACTTGCAGATGAACTAGTGCAGGCATATTTCACCTACGTCAATCCAGGGTATCCGATCATTGATGAGGATTTGTTCATGACACAATATCGGAATCGGGACCCCGCAGATCCACCGCCAATCTTACTTCTGCAAGCCATTCTCCTTATTGGAGCACATGTTTCCCGCGCAAAGGTAGAGCGAGACGCTCTTAAGGAAATCTTTTTCCGTCGCACCAAATATTTGTTCGATAATCGCATTGAGCGAAACCGAGACATTCTTGTCCAAGCGGCCCTTCTTTTGACGTGGCATTCGGACAGTGCGGACGATGATGTTGCTGCAGATGCTCACTTTTGGGTTGGTGCAGCTGCACGAATCGCCACGGGACTTGGCATGCATCGAAATCCTGTCTCCAGTAGTTTTGTGACCCGCGACAGACGAATGTGGAGGAGAGTTTGGTTCATTTTGGTCCAATTTGATGTGCTAATATCTCTATCATATGGCCGACCACAAGCAATGTAAGTGATTGTCAATGAATAATTTTTTGGCGCAATGCTAATCAATTCTCACATTAGCAATTTGGACGATTCTGATGTTTCTCCTTTGACCCCTGCTGATTTCGAGAATTGCGGTCCTCACGTACAAGCGGAATATGTGATACATTTCACTGAACTTTGTACAATGATCTCATACCTCATTCGTGATCGATTTGGGCTTCGCGCAAGTGAAGAACGACGAAAGGCTGTTCTGCAGGAAGCTGACGGGTCACTGGCAACCTGGTCTTTGAAACTTCCTGATACCCTTCGTCTCCGGGCATCTGACATGGACCCATGGTCTGCCATGCTCCACTTGACATACAACAACTTCCTCATTCTGCTACATAGGCCGCATCCCAGAGCGTCGGCGTACTCCGACGATTATGGTCCCCACGATGCAGAAATCTGTAGTGCAGCTGCCGGTGTCATTGCCTCCATCTTTGAAGAGCTCAGGATGAATGACCGCTTGAAATACCTCTGGTACACTGGTGTCCATACTCTTTTCACAGCCATGATCCAAGTCCGGGTTGAGCTTCGGTTCTCCAACCCAGTCCTTGCCATCAATGCTTTGCGGCGTTTCGACTCGGCCTCCTACTCGCTGCGCGAGTTGGCTCAATACTGGGTTCATGCTGGCACAATTCTGCGCCTCTTCGAAGACTCCAAACGCTTGCAAGAGGATCTTCGTATGGCAACCACCGAACGACCTAAGCCATTTGGTGATCCTCAACATTCACATAAGATGCCTGTTGCTTCTCCCGCCTCAACGGCATCTATGGCGCCAACACCCCGGCCCATGTCGTTTGGTGTTCACACTCCGGATTCCACAACTCTACAGCATACCAACCTCTCGCCACAGCCCAATACTCAATTTGACAATTGGATCACCGCCCCTCTTCGACTCAATGTTGGTCCGTTGGAAAGAAACGATCCTTTCTCAAGCAGCATGCAAGTGGATTCTGTCGAGCCGGCTCGGGATTATCCTGACTGGCGACAACTGTTCGCATTCGGTGATGTAGATCTGCCTCCACCTGTTGGAGTGGAAGGTCTACCCGAACTCGAAGACGAGTGGCGACAGATTTACTGGCAAGATGCCCCAATGGCAGATCTCATCCACGACGGAGGATGGATTCATCATTAGCCTTGGCTATTCTATCACATTACGACTGAAGGTTGTCATACCTCCCTCACACTACTTCACTACCTCCCTTTCTTCCTTTCTTCCTACTCCTTGACGACGAGACGAGCCATGCCAGGGCACGCAAATACACATACAATACATTTCAAGGCCATGTAGGACAATCTTCTACAGACAAAAGGTTCTATACAAAGCTCAGAGCCTACGATGCCATGTCGGACGATCACATATAGGTTTCGATAGAGATATACCCTGTCATATAATTGCAAACAGTGATATCGAATACATTCATCTGCGTTCTTCCTGTATATTCTAGTTCAAATAGACCATATAATATGCACAACATCAAGCAGCGCCAGAGATGCATTTCGCCCAATTGCATAGTAAATCCAATAAATCTCAGCCAAGGCTCAGCCACACAGATATGTTACCTGTTAAACAAACGTAATGCAAAGCCTAGCCGAATACAAAACGTTGCCAATTATCCGCAAGCACCTGGACGCCATGTCTCAATTCCCATCCTCGAAGCTTGCAAATTTGCCGAGCGACATCTTCAAGCGAGTCGTCCATCTGCGGACCTGCCGTATGGAGGTCACTCTCGATCAAGATCCGGTCGTCAGGCAAAGCCTTGATAACATCAGTGATCTTCCGCGCCGGAGCTCCACTGAAATTGATAAGACTCGAGAAAGAAAAGTAAACATCTGACGGATTTGACGGATGTAGGAATTGTCGAATCGGCTCCACAGGACCAGAGTACGAATGCATGCAGATACGCGGTGGGAAAGGAGGTGGGCTTTTACTATCTGGTGCAGATGCCTCATCCTCAGACACTGCACCCTCCGCATCCTGCTGCTTATCCCTCTTCCTTCGTGAGAGAACAACCCGCTCATGACCTTTCCATAATTCCTTCAACGTATCGAAGACCGCACCGTGCGCCTGCACACTATGCATTGAAACAGCGCGGTCCATTTCCCCAGCTAGCTGTAGCTGTGCTTTAAGAACTGTGCGCTGGTGATCCAGCTTCACTTTATACGGCGAGAGGCGTCTTCCCTCGCGCGAGCCGGGTGTTACTTGGCCATCTCGATTCTCTAGTTCATCTGGTGACCAGATACCCGGAAGGCGGAAGGCCTTATCCAAGCCGACTTCGCCGACTAGGGCGTTTGGACAAGATTGCAGCCGGGCCTTGGTCTCGGCTATAAGCTCTGAGAGTGGTTTTGGAGTCAGAAGAGCATTGATGAATGATTTGTCTTCTGTTGGTGCTGGTGATAATACGGCCATGTAGTGGTCTTCTTTTTGCTGAGCTGTGTTTGCGTCGGTATCATCCACGATCTGGTGTGAGAACCAGGGGTGCCACCCAAAGCAGGGAATTGCCCTTTCTGGCGATTGCTCTGATTTACCGAGTGACATCGCTGTTTGTTGTACAAGGTCTTGGTCTTCGCCCCGCGTGGCCATGATTGTCAGAGTTGTCGCTTTCATTTGCGGGATGTCTGCCACTGAGGCCATGGTGTCTGTGGGATGACAGTGGGCATCATAGACGCCAATGTCCCAGGGGAATTGCTGGGACATAGTGGTGTAAGGCGTAAGATGATGTTTGAAGTTGATATACAAAGTCAGAAGTGATGTAATCGTGGTTTCTGCCTGGGGCATCCATCACATGTATTTACTCCGCAGATCGAGACAAGCCGAGCAACTGTTTACCCATGCCCGGGCTCTTTGCTTTCTCTCCTCCTGGGGAGGATTGAATCCAATGTGGTCTATTCTAACAGCCTTACTTGCGCTGCCTCTCCTGGCCTTCATCTCCATTCCACTCATCCTCTCAGCATGGGTAACCATATCATTTGCGCTATTTGCGCTGGTATTGCGACTCTCGGTGGTTTCTATTGAGTTAGTCTATGGACTACTCTTGCATTTCCTCTCAGTTCCCACTTCATCCACATCGTCACTGTTGACATTCGCGGCGTCGGAACCTACAACCCCAGCAGATGGTAGGTCCAGACGCAACTCCGGGCATGGAGCACAGCCTCGCAAGAATAATGACTCTCTTGCGTCGTGGGCCACTGGCACGAGCTTGGAAGAGCCAGAAAATAGGAGAAGAAATTCCTACGCCCGCAGCATGATCGAAGCCCACAACCTATCTCCCTCAACGCCATTCGGATTCCCCGTCTGCGGAGATGAAGGACGGGACTTCGAAGGCGTAGGCGGCTGGCGCTCTTGTATGCCCTCCAAAGCCCGTAGTACCCACTCTCTTTACGAGAAAGGCACAAGCAAGGCAGCAAGCTCGGCATCATCATCTTCTTCAACGCATAGCCGGAGCGGCGAGGGAGATCCAGACGCAGATATCGACGCAGACGACCGTGCCTGGCTATCTTTAAACCATCGCCTTGAACTTCCTTCTCAACTTATTACTCTGGGAGCTAGTGGCTACCCTGCAACCACACTGAACAGTCCCACGCATTTCGACGATACCCGCAACAACCGATGTCATTTCCAGACATTTTCACCTGGCGCAGACTCACATGGTCTCCAATTTGATGGGCATCACGATGGACATAGGAATCATCACCGCTCACTGACGACATCTTCACTGACGACATCTGACCGCCGCACTGGCGCGGGTCTTTCTCTGGCATTGTTAACTAGACCTGATAACACTGCTCTTCATTCCAGGGAGTATGGCTATGGCATGTCTTCATCTACATCTCGCCTATCAGCCCCTTTCATGACACCACAGCCATACGCAACATTCAATACACAGTCACGCGCTCTACCCCGTGGTTTACCGGTAAACGGTGCACCGTATACGAGCTCATATCTCTCCGGCTCTGTTGATGGAGGCCACAGCTTTGGGAGTAATATCAGTGGCGGGAGTGGGGGTGGGTATTTTTCTCTGAGACGACGGAGTTCCTCTGGGAATCATACCCTCTCTCCGAGTGCTAGTGGGTATACAACCCCTGGCGTTGGTGCATCGACCGATGAGCGTGATGCGTCACTGGGTTTTGCACGTTTGATGGCACATTATCCTACCAGTCCGAGACACCGAAGGCAGAGTATTTCAGGGTCGAATTTGAGGGCGTTGGGCTCTGGGTAACGATTTGGATGAAGGATTTCTGCGGTCTCGTTTTGTGTTATTGGAAAGTACTGGCTTGGATATCAGTGCAGATGGTACGAAAGTATTGCAATTGTACATAAAATGAAGATAGTCATCTGTAACCAAACATGTCGTATAGTGGAGCCTCTCAATATTTGGACAGCTAGTCAGGGCACCGTTAGTGAACATTCGTCCTTTACTTTTAGCACTCGGGTATGGCAATAAAGAGGTGAAAGAATTGTATTAAACGGTATACTCGCTCGACCTAGGCCAAGTATGCCTCCTTGCCACAGTATTCGCCTATATAACGGGTCGTACTGGCGAGTTGTTATGTGATACTTGATATACGATTTCGGCTCTCGTTTAGGATAATGCCCCCAGCTTTTGTCCATTTCTATATTTTGTTCGCCAATGTATGTGAGGTGATATGTAAGGACAAGGAACAGAATAGAAGAGCGAGTCACAAATGTAAAGATAAACACCAAAAGCTATAACGAACGTACCAAACGAGAGAAAGAAAGGTATACTACGCAATATCAACAAGCTCCAATCCCAAATTTCATAGAGCATTATTCAAAAAACATCCCTTCATCATGACGACTGACGACCCCTCTCCCGCCTGTTAACTTCCTCCATCTCAGCGAGGATAACACTGTTGAACTCCTCCCAGCCATCGAGGTAAAGATGGTGACCAGCTCTCTTAATGACAACCACCTTCGACGAACCTTCGTCGGAGCGACGCTCCTCCGGTGTAGCATTTGCCAACACCTTCCGTTTCTCTTCTTCCAGACGAGCTGCGGCTGCATGGCCGCCTGAAACGTCCATCCAGTCGTGATCACCGTACATGAAAACCACAGGAAGGCCATTTTCACGCTTAGCGGGTGCCTCTGGTTCAGAAGAAGTGGTAGCAGTGGGGACGGGGTTATCCTCTGCTGGTTTTGAGCAGGCTTTGGCAGTGGAGATCGCGTGGGGAAGTGGGTTCAAGGGAGAATTATTATGGATCAATTGACGTCCAAGTCCGTGGACTCGGTGGATAAGGGGACTGCGGGCGAATGCTCCGGGGGCGAGGATATATGCCAATGCGTATTCGCCACTGCCGCGGAGACTGAAGATCGAGTATGAGTAGTCGTGGAGGGCCTTGGCTTCCTCGGCTGGGAGGTGGGAGAAACGGCGAGAGGTCCAGCCGGAGACGATGCGTGGGCCTAGAGGACCAGTCCATCGTACCAGGCTGAAAGGGGAGATATTCGCATCCCACAAATAGGCGAACCACTTGGGAAGATTCCGTCGGGGGGGTTGGGCTGGCCCTTGAGCGGGCTGCTGTCCGGTGATAAAGCTGCCGTCAGCGGTTTTCGGTGCTGACCCTGGGACAGCAGCTTGTGCCACGACACTCTGCTGGTCCTGGGTAACCTCGCCGGCCAATGTTGATTCTGAAGGCTCAGCAACGTCTGCGGTGACGGCATATGGGTCCTCCGGGATGCCGACAGGAGACGCCAAGATAAGTTTATTCAGATGACCAGGGTATTTGAGCGCGTAGGCGACTGCCATGTACCCTCCGAGACTGTGTCCCAGCAGAGTAAACCGGTCAATCTTGCGCTTGATGCGCCACTCCTCCAAAGCATCAATAAACCACGCTTCGGCTTCACGAATGGCATCTTCTCTTCCCTTTGCTTTGATTTTGAACGAAGGTCGAGTACTCCGGCCCATGCCCAGCATGTCCAAAGCATGCAGTTGCCACCCCTTGAGACGACTGAGCGGCTCGAAGTTCTTGTAGAAAAAGCCAAGACCAGCCCCGTAGCCGTGCAGCATGACCAGATGCTGATCAGCTTGCTCACCCACTCTTTCCACCGAGAACTCATTGAGCGCGCGGTCCTTCCCGCTCAGCTCCACCATGCTGGAGCTCCATCTGCGCGGGCCGTACGGGTCATCAAGGGAGTTCGTGCTGATCTCGCCCTGCTGGTTTTGGTCTGTGGACTCCAAGCTTCCCCTTCTCTCTGTTCCCGTCTGCAGGTGGGTGGGTGGTTCATGGCGCAAGTAGGGGAGGTAGGAAAGGACTTTGTGTTCCGTCTGCGCAACTGGCAGCTTGGCCCACCATTCAGCAAAGCCGTCTCGATACGATAGGGGAAACATTGAGGGCCTTGTTGCCGTAGCCCGGGTGGCATACGGAGTGGCCGATTCGCCGCTCGGGCGATTTGTGTCCTCTTGGGATGAGTTTAGTGATTCTGAGGCCATTGAGGAATAGCGGTGCCCACGAGGGGTGTGGAGCTTGTATGATCGGAGGGGTGCAAAGGCGAATGTAGTTGACGTGCGCAAAGTAGAGATACAGGCGTGGTCAGCCAGTCGAATGGAGGCCACGCTCATGAGACACTGGGAAGAATCGGAGAAAGTAGCATAGCATATAAGCGGAGCCGGAGTTTGCGGGCGGGCGTTATCTCCGTAAGGCGACAAGATTCCCTAATCTTCAACTTGAAAAAAAGAAGTGAGAAAAGGCAGAGAATATAGGCAGCCGAATACAAGTTTATAGTATGAAGTCAGAAGTTGAATGTTGTGAGCGGAGAGGCTGATCACCCGTGGACCGCCTTCCACAACGGCCTTCTTCTGACTTCACTCACACCCGATCATCCACCATGGTCTCGCCATTGGACCACCTGGTCAAGGGCGCTCCAACATCAGAAGCCCGAGCTCCTACACCAGAGCCATTGCATTCCCAAGCATCAGATGCCTCACGACCCTCCGATCCCCTCGATCACCTCCCGTCGGCTCCCCCGCAGATCTACCTGAACCTGCTGATTCTCGAAACCTCGCTGCGAGCCCAATACCTGGCTCTGCGCGAGCGCCGGAGGCAAAACACCTTCTTCGTTCTCCTCCTTGCCGCGTGGATCGCCTACTTTGCCTATGCGCTTTTCCTCCGTCCACGAGAAGATGGCCGCGGCGTTGGCGGCTCGGTCTACTGGGTTGTGGAGATGGGAGAGAAAGTCGCCCTGCTCGGCGGCGTAGTGACGGCCTTGCTGGTCTGGGGAACAGGGCAATGGGAGCGCGGTATCCGATGGCCAAGGCGCTGGCTAGCAGTCACCAATCGCGGCCTACGAACCATGAACACCAAGGTCATCATCATCCGCGGGCCATTCTGGCAGGAGCTGCTTTCCTACCTCTCCTTCCTGTTCCCCTTCTCCATCCCATTCTTCCCCTCCCCCACCGGCAACTACCAGTTCGTCGAGCGGAGTCCCTCCGACAAGCGCAGTGCCCGTCAACACTACCAGCAATACTACAACGGCGGTGACAGCGAGTCCGGTCTTGTAGAAGAAGACCTCAGCCCAGGAGGTGACTATATTCGGCTGCTCCTACTGCCCAAGTCATTCTCCCCCGAGTTCCGCGAGAACTGGGACGACTACCGAACCGACTTCTGGGAAAAGGAAAACGAGCGCCGTGCCCAACTACGCATCAAGCTGCGCGAGCGTGAAATCCACCTCGCCCGGACAGAGGGCGGCTGGCTCAGCCGCTGGGGACTAGGCTGGCGCGCATCCCAGCGCCGCCGCCTCGTCGCAGCAACCCTCCACCGACCCATCGAGCCAGAATTTAGACACCGTCTCAGCCACGGCCACCACCCGTCAGTCTCAAAACTAAGCCAGGAGCAGCGCGGTCCATCCTCCCGCCGCAGTACCCGCTCCGAATCCCATTCCCGTACCTCGTCCCGCAGTACGACACCTGTCGACATCGGCTTGGATCAGGACCGGCCACCCTCACGCTCTTCAACATCCAGCAGACCCCGCCGAGGCAGTACAACATCCGGAGAATCTACGCCGCAACAGCGGAAACGAAAAGGCTCCATGCTCCGCCGGGGTCTGTCGCCTCTGACGCAGGCGCAGATCCGGGAGGGAGTGAGGACGCCGTCATTTTCGTCGGATGATTCTGTGTTGGCGATGGGTGAGAAGGATAAGGAGGAGTCTATACCGGCTGCTGTGCCGGAATTGTAATACACACGCGCACTACACGCACTGCAAATTAGCACGGAATGTTGCTCATGCTGTTTATTTCTATACCCTTGTTCTCTCTGTATTTTGGATTGGGAGTGTTGGATGATGTCTTCGCTGGTTTGTATGGCTGACCACGCGTTGCTTGTTCTATAGATACATTGGATGTTTCAATCATGGTTTGTTTTTTCTGCTCTCTTTTGCGTAGATAGTATTCCCGTGCATGTTTACGGTGTTTTCGATGCATGTCTACAAGGTAAGTAATATCGTAGTATGCACAAGGATCAAGATTAGTCTCAGTCTACTTAGGAAGTTATAGTCAAGCATCGGTATTCATTCATATTTCTCATATTGAGTCAGTCCACTGATATCCCCAATCCCACTCCATACGCCAAACACAAACTAACGACATGTGATATCAATCCCAATGCAATGACGATAAACAGCTCATAAAACCAGACGCAACACATCCAGCGTTCTCCTTTTCGAGGAAAGGAGTCTAGCTATTGCAGATCCAAGACATATTAGACACGGTAGACATTGTCATCGTCCTCGAGGAACATAAGCAAGTTCTGTTCGTTCATAACCCGCAATGCCTGGATAGCCTCAGGGTGCGAGAAGACACTGCTAGCACCATGGGAATCCTTAATGGCAGTGTTAACAGCGCCAATCAACTCATTGACGTTCATCTCATCGCCATCGGCGAAGACCTTAGAGCCCATTAGCGGGCCAAGGGTCGAACGGAAGAGACTCATACGCGCAGGCGTGATGGGGACGTCGGATGATGTGGTCTGAGAGTCTGTCTGGGACTCAATGAGTTGCGAGGCGGGCTGCGATGAGGCCACGGACATCTGTGAGTCGGACTGGGTCTGTGTGCGGCCTGTCTGGGTCTGGCTGGACCGCAGGCGCTGAGCACGCGGGCTGGCGGCGTACAGGCTGTCGTCTTCTTCTTCGTCTGGGATTGGGACGCTGGATTGGATGGCTGTGCCACGTGTGCGTGCCGTGCCGGTTCGTCGGCCTGGTGTTGCGGTTGATGTGCCGCGGGCTGTTGTCTCGTCGTCGGAGTCGTCGTTAAGTTCTGGGTCGCTGTCCTCGTCTGAGGAGTCCTCGAAGGAGGTCACCTTGCGTCTCTTGCGGCGCTCGTCTTCGACGACTTCCTTGAACATGGCGAAGCGGAGGATGGATTCGGCATGCTTGGCGTCCTTTTCGTCGACTCGGCTAGATAGACGGGCCTTGGCGTGTGCGGTGGAGAGACGGATGAGTGTCTCCAGGGTACGGGGGGTGATGGGTGAGGTGCGGCGTTTGTTGCCGGTGAGTTCGTCGTTTCGCAGAGCAGAGTATGTGGCGATGACGTGGTCGGCGGCGCCCTTAGTCAAGACGGGCTTGACACGGGACTTGGCGTACTGGATATACTTCTTGATGAAGGGGATGCTGATGATTTCAACATTCTTTGTGCGGTTGTGGCTGGTGTTAGGGTTGACCATGCCTCCGTGTAGCATGACGTTGAACTTCTCAAACACCTCCGTAGGAGCATTGGTATCTTGACGATCTTCAATGCCAACACCCAGGGTCTGGTTGAGTTGTTCCCGAACAGGAGCGCCCTCTTCCGTGCCAGGTTGGCGGTAGCGGTGCATACGCAGAACGTGCTCCGAGATTGTTCGGTCGTGGGTGTCCTCAATATCATCCGTCACAACGAACAGCAGATCGAAACGAGAGAGCAAGGAATCGGGGAGAGCAATGTTCTTGTGGGGGTCCTTGTGAGGGTCGTATTGGCCATAGACTGGGTTGGCAGCTGCCAGGACACTGCAGCGCGCGTTGAGACTTGTGTGAATACCAGCCTTTGCGATTGTGACAGTCTGCTGTTCCATAACTTCGTGAATAGCGACACGGTCGACATCACTCATCTTATCAAACTCATCGATACAAACCACACCACGATCACCAAGAACCATGGCACCAGCCTCCAGACGACGCTCACCAGTTTCCTTGTCAGAAGTGACGGCGGCAGTCAAACCGACACCTGAGGAGCCACGACCAGTTGTAGCAATTGCAAGAGGTGCAGTGTTCAGAACAAAACGAAGGAGCTGAGACTTCGCAGTCGAGGGATCACCAACCATCAGGATATTAATATCACCACGAAGATGGGTACCATTATCCAAGTTCTTCTCCATACCGCCAAGCAGCATCAGGAGGATAGCCTTCTTAATGTACTCATGTCCGTGGATAGAGGGAGCCAGTGACTTGGACAGCAGCTCAAAGACGTTCTTCTTCTTGGCAATCTTGTTGATGTTTCGCACATCCGTATCCGTAATGGTAGCCTGTGCAATACCACCGCCACTCTTGGAAGACAGCTGAATGATGTTGTTTGCCATGACAATGGTGCGGAAAGTCGAGGATCCATTGCCTGCATTCCGGTTACCCAGGGTGCGGTAGATACCAACCAGCTGGATTCTGTCTCCGGGCTTGGCCGTGTCGACCAGGTCGTCGTCGAGGATAACATCGACACTTCGGGGCAATTGTCCGGCAGGGGCACGTTCGGGCATTTCTTGGATGGAGATCGATTGGTGGTCCAAATATGTCGAGTAACCGTACTCAGTGATAAGCTAGCCATATATTAGTCCCTGGTAAGCACTCAATAATCTCACAAGACATACTGGGTTCTTATCATCATCTTCCTGGGGATAGACGTTCAAACTGGTTACACCGCTGGCACTCATAGTCTGATCCCGATATTTTCTCGCAACAAAGCGGTCCTTTGCCTCAACGTAGTGGACACTCTGAATGATCTTGGGGCGGACCAGAGAGCATTTTGTAACAATACCCTCGAGCGAGACCATGTGGTTCAATTGTTGAGATCCCAATGTGCGGGGATTACAAGAGAATTCTCCGAATGCACCAACATAGGCGCAGTAATAAGCCTATCGAGGAATTAGACACTGAATATGAGGAGATATGACCAAAGATACACACTGCTTCATCGGAGGTCTCCTTGGCAGGTCGGGCAGGAAGAGTCTTGACGACCTCCTTCAAGGCTCTGTCAAAGGCTTGCGAGTAGTCGAACGGCGAAGAGAGGAGCCTAAATCAAACCCATGAATCAATATCCAATTGACTGCCAAGACCGAAAAGAAACATACCCATCGGCGAGCTCACGGTTGTGTGCTCTGACTTCATCGATGCTGACCTGTTCAAAAATCAGCATTGCCCCCGACAGGGACTTCCAAGGACCAACGCACAGTCAAGCGGCGCATGCCTCTATTTAGCATCACCACAATATCCGCTCGATAGCTGTACCACTTTCCGTTAGAACCGAATCCCAACATCAATATCGAAATCGACGAACCTGCGTGCCCGTGCATCGCCTGAAAAAAAAAAAGATGTTAGCACCATGGACCACCAATCCAGCGACAAAACATACTCGGGTCAAGAAACTCAACGGCAGCACGCACGCGATCCTGCGCGGCCTCATCACGTAGTTGTAACCCGTCCATGATGTAGTCAATATAAAGCGGGTGGGTAGGGAAGGATGAGTCGAGGGGGTAAGGGTGTACCGATCGGGCTAAATTGAAAGCGACACGTCCCTGGTGAAAGAGCGCGTCCCACGCGTTCCGCGTGTCTGTGATTATGTCAGCGCTTTTTTTTTTCCTGAGATATATAAGCCGGTCATCCCCCGATCCTTTTTTCTTTTCTTCAAGCGACTCTACGTGCGTCTCCCCTCCCCCAAACTGGCTTCGGCTTCACTCTTGAGGATCTTTACTGACCTTTTCAACAGTTCAAAGAATCACTTTAGAGTAGACGTCCTCTTTCTAAGCTCTTTATAAGAGCCACAGAATCTCCACCCTTGCTGATGACTGCTATGTCCTCGATGCCCTAAAGTGAAACCTTTTTACTTCCGCCTCGACTGTTACGCGTGCTGTTCGCAGTGTCTGTGTTTTGGTCCAGGGAGTGGTGATGATCTTGACCTGGTCTCGATGTCTGACTTCGGTCGGTCGGTCCTGGTGGGTGTCGAGGAGGTCTGAAAGGTCCTTTTTCCATTTAGTTGATGGTATGGTTATCTGTTTCATCACAAACAATGAACAACAATTATCTTCTTCACTTGAGATCTTTCCGTAAATTCTGTAGCGCGCATCATGACGCTCCGCTGTCGATTTGTGATGGGGGCCAGCTTGGCAGGTGTCCGGATTAACCGTGTGTCCGGTTAAAAGTTGGACTTGTACGGTGAACTTGGATCCACTTCCAGACTTGGTTACTAGCGTGAACCATAAAAAAGCCGAATGATACAGTCCCTGACTCCTTCATCTGCAACACCTGTTCAAAAACTGGCGTCCAACGTTGCCATCCATGAGAGATGACTACACTGAGTGGGAACGCTTCTCCCATCCGGACCCGGACGAGGAAGACCCTCCGACTCTGGACGAAGTTCAAATCCTGCGAGAATTTGCCGAGTCCTTCGGCACAGCCAATGCCATTGCAGCAGAGGATACTGCTCGCCAACTAATGTCGCTCGTCGAAGAGGGCCGCGTGGTTGAGAAGCGCCAGAACAACGTCGTGGACAAAGGCGAACGCGTCTCCTGGTTATTATGGGATGCTGCTATCGACATGCCGCGCTACCAGCCTGCTATTCTCAAGTTAATTGAGGCGATCCGCACGCTGCCTCAGCTGGAACGAACCGAGGAGCAGATTCGCACCGGCTGTTTCGAGGACCAACTAGAAACCTGGAGGTCCTTGGAGGCATTCGATTACATTTGGTCGGAGACATATTCCCGTGATTGGCCCTTTTTTTCCTTCTCCCGCCCCTAACAGACCAACGCTATGTAGTCGGTTTCTTTGCTCCCGTGGCATAACGGCTTGAAATTTCGGAGATATCCACCTACACATCCTCCTGCCCTACATAGAGTTCCTCCTAGGCAGCTGATCTTATGTCACGAAGTGTTGGCCCTATACTAATCCTTTTCATCCAAGGCTGTTGGGAGATGAGATACGGCCCATATCCCTATTACGGGTGGACTGACTTCCACAACGCCAACGCTTTTTATGCGCACTTTCTTGCCGCTTATCCTCCCGAATCTCCCGATCTCAGGGAGTTAACCGTGGCATTGCGACTGATCGTATTCGCCCTTGAGCAGGATCCATGGACCCATGCCCAACAACCTCCGCCGCAGTGGCAAGGCCACCGCTATCGGGACACTGGTCGCCCTACTGATTATATGCAAATGCTGAATGTGAGTGAGAATGAAAGGCCATGATGGCATTTGCGATGATTGACTTGCGTATTTTAGGCTGATGTGCACGCTATGGTTCCATTTTTTGAGATTGCCGGGCACATTATCTTCGGGTTTGTGGGAAAAAGAGACCTTTCTCTCCTCGAAAAATTAAAAAAGAGGGATTCCAATCTATGGCACGGAGACTCATTGTTCTCATTGGAAAGATGGGAATTTTGGAAAACGCGGTTGCGATGGATAAGTGAGCAAGATGAGCTGATGGAAAGTACACGAGCGGACGCCCGAAAGATTGTGCAACTCATGCAAGAAATCGAGCAACAGAATCGAGAGATACGCTTGGGGAGTCAAGATTAGCATAAAGATACCAGAAATAAGGACTTCTTTCGTCGTCTATTCTGTTCTGCTCATCGGCCCACTTCATCTGAATACGACTTGAACAATAACGTAATTCACGGTCTCGCCAGTCGCCTGTCGGCCCGGTCACCCAAAGTCGCGTCTCTCTCCTTACACTTACCGATTCAACCAGCAACCATGCCACCAAAATGCTCTGAATTCAGTCAAAAATTAGCCAAGCAAGAGGGTAGGATCCTATTAGCTCTTACCGATATCAAAATTGGCCGAATCAACTCTCTGCGCGCCGCAGCGAAGCTATACGATATACCGTTCTCTACGCTAAAAGACCGCGCTACTGGGATATCCTCACGAGTTGATACACGCGCTAGGAGTTATAAATTAACTCTGTTGGAGGAGGATCCGCTGGTGGAATGGATCCTCTCGCTTGGACCGCGTGGAGCCGCACCGTATATTCTATGGCCTGCATATATATTCGCCACCAAGGGGTCTATACTAAATGTTGAAGATTAACCATATTAGCCAAAACAAAACAGCCTTAATTGATCTCGCAGGCAGCGTAACGAGACCCGACTTCTATAGTCACTGAGCGTTGTACAAATTTTATGGCACACCAACTTTTGGGCTTTGCAAAGCAATCCCTGGAGATAGCTAGGAGCCCGCGAAAAGACATTGAGAGAGATACGCCCCTGTGTTATCTATTTACCTGACATTTAGATATGCAAAGGTTGCAGAAAAAGGCTACGTACTATGTAACAACGCTTGAGCAATACATACAATTGTGCTGTTTATTCGGTTTTTCGGGGAATGCAACACGCAAATATAGTTTCACATGAATTACTCGACATTTACTGAATTTATATCATGCTATACATTGGCTTGGGCGCTAGTAAATACGTCAATAGCACACACACCAGCTCACAAAATTAGATCGTCGGCCTTTTTTTTGCCATATCGCTTCGACAGAAGCCAAAGCCGTGCAATATTTTGGCCGCAGACGACTACTAAATCGCAACTCCTTATACTAAACGGGCCATAGGCTTTCTTGCCACTAAGGGTTCACGTAGCTCCCATCTATAAAGATGCTACTCATGGGGTTAACCGGCTTAGGACACAGCAAGCCGTGGTGCGCTTCATCAGGAAGCCCAACCAAGCACTGGAATAGCCTCCCTAGAAAACACCTCCTATAGGAGCGACGAGGTTTTCCAGAATGCCTTCGGGATGAGACCCTAAGCAGGGATAATCGATAGGGCTTTAGATACTCGCTCCAAAATCCTAGACAGGAGACTAGCCACAATTGCTATTTCGGGAAAGTTCACGACTCTTAAAAAGTGCCACGGGCTCGGCAACAGACGGACTTTTTCGCAATTTTCTTTTAAATTTGTAGTCCGGATGCGCCTGGACATGGCCATTGCGTTCAATCTTGGATATTCTCGCGTATTCGTCCGCGGAAACCCTATGTTTCCTTCCACCAGCTCTTTCCTACAATAGAGGAGATAACTTAAGGGTTGCTTCGGGCCGAGTATACGCCAACCGATATAGCATAAAGGGGTTCATAGGCCGCGGAACCATCCCTTTTTGTTGTGTCTCCCTCCGGCGCTCTTCAACCGACCGGCGCACCTATTTATCTATATCCAGGGTTGGGACATCGGTCATATTTTGAGTCAACTTACTCAGCGAGTCCGTCAGTTCCTAGGGTGCGCCTTAGGGCATATCACCCTATAAAAGAGCCCGCTATTTTCGAGTAGACCGCTAACGATTGCCACCCACCGTTGGTTTGAAGTGGTAGATAACTAGGGCTACTCCATAAAATCAGGAAGGGCAGAGTGGGAATAAAAAGTATCCTTGAAAGAAGGCAGAGCGGACAACGAGAAGCGATCGGACAATTATTTACGGAATCTTCAAATTTGGATGAATGTTCCTAAACCCTAATCTTGTGTAGGAATGAAGATGTAATTCTAAAACTCGACTATTGTACAAGGAAATATATGCAAAGGTATACGCAACATGCTAAAACCACAATTAAGACCACAATTACTGTACAAGCGACTGATCATCACGCAGTGCTGGGCGCCACGGCCGATGTTGAGATGAATATCCGGGCCGCATTTCGGGGCTCGATGGTGGTAGGAACTTTTTTCTCGTACGCAGAAGACGTCGCCGAATCCGGCCATTCCGGTCTCGTCTCTGCATCTGGGATTCGTGTGGTTCATGCCATCCAGTCCTAGGGTTGTAGAGCTTCCACAAAGGTTCACTCGCCGGCTGCCTGCGCTTATACATGGCAAAGCGTTTGTTGTACACTCGCCGCTCGAGGGTGTCTTGCGTGCGGGGTGGCGACTTGGAGTATCCCTTTGGGAGCCGGAAGGGTTTCGCAATCTTCGGATTCGTGGCTTTGTAGCGTGCCTTGAGTTTCGCCCGGATCCTGATATTGGGGTCGGCTCGTGTGGGCCAAAGGCCCGTCACCTCCAAGTCTTCGTGGAGCTGCATTTCCATCGCGATCCGGTCCGCGCGAGGAAGGACCTGGGTCAGCGCGTTTATTTCTGCGCGCGCAGAGTCATCTGGAATTAGACCCGTTAGGCTTGGCTCGTCGGTGGTATCGGAAGGCTTGAAGTTGTCAAGACCGACGGGCTCTTCCTTGGCCAATTCTCTGCTGCGTGGCTTCAGTTTGCCCATCGGTCCAAGCAAGCCGGAATTCGTAGAGGCTAAGCGAATCGGTTTTGGAAGAGGTTCTGGCTCCTTCTCGCCGCCACGGAGCAATTGCCCCTGGTACTTGTCAGGCAACTGAGGCATGTCAGCAAGAATCCGGATAGTCTTTGGCGTGGTGTCGAAGAGTTCTGACAATGATACACTGCCATACTCGATACTGTCTTTTCGGATTAATTGCAACCTTCTGGCCAGGTACACCATGGTGCGGTAGGAAGGATGCATATAATTAGGTTGGATTCGCAACCAATGTCTGCGCGCGATTTTGCCCATCACTCGGCGGGGTGTGCTGCCGCCTACACGCCCCTCGAGATGGAGAATTGTCACCGGTGCACGGGACGGCCGCCAACCAAACCCACGTTGCATGTAGAACCAACCAGGGAAATTAGGCTGGAACTTCTTTTCAAATAGCTTGAACGCCTTTATCTGATCAGAAGGCTCATCAGATAACGTGAGTAGCTCAATGTAGCTCGACCAGTTGTGGGCGGTCAACGCAAAGCCAGCTTCCTGCACCTCATTGACAACTTGATGGAGTCTCTCGTACTTATTTTGTAAGCCCAGAGATCGCATGTACGTCTCGAGTGGTACATTCAAAATAAACTTCTGACTAGGCAGGATCTTAGGTTTGGTTGGGCCTAGAGACTCTGTCCCCGTGCCTGTTGTCGACTTCGCAGCTCTTTTCGGCTTCGCAGTTCTTTTCGACTTCGCAGGCAAAATTTGATCAAGATCAAAGCGGGCAGCAATGGTGATAATGTCAGGCCACAGAAGGTTCCAGTACTCTTCGACTTTCATAAATTCATGAGCTTTCAGATGAGCCGACATCATAGATTTAACAAAGCCAAATGGCAATTTTGCCATCGGTTGATCTGACGAGCTCGTAGACTGCCTGCTTCGAAGATACTGATCAAGCGCTTGACGCGCCTTGTCGATGGCACCTTCATCGCCATATGCTCTGATCAGATGTTGGTAATGCATGGCCGGGAAATGTTCCTTGGCAGAGCCACTCGAATCGAATGACAGTGCCTTGGCTTGCGAAGGGTCGTCATTGAACTGAGCGATTGATGCCATCAGTGCCTTTTCTGCATGCGGGAAAGACAAGCTTTCAGCAGGCGTATTGGACCGTTTCGCGTTCTCCAAATCTCTCTGAAGCTGCATTTGGAGGTTCACAAGGCTGGCACTCAGTCCGACTCGACCAAAGCGGGTTTGCATCTCGCGGAGGATGGCGTGCACCATGTCACGGTTGCGCTTTTTCATATACGCGAACATCACAATGGAATAATGCTGCTCCGTGGGTTCTATACCAGCTTGGGCCATTTTCCTGAGCAAAGAGCGTGCTGTATCTGGCTGCCGAGCAATGGCATGGGAGTAAATGATGGCTCCGTACGTCCCAGCGTCTGGAACCAACCCAAGCTTGCCGATATCGCCAAGGACTCGGCTAAAAGAGAGTTTGCTGACGTTGAATGCGTGGTGCCACAGAAGCGTGTTCCACAACTGCACAGGAGATCCTCCGGTCGCCTTTTCCCAGTTGGCCAAGATAAGGTTTTCTGCGTGGCCGGCTTTACCATGCTTGAGATACACTCGGACAATAGTGTCAATCATTGGCCGTGTAATTTCCACTCTCATCTTCTTCGCTTCTCTGATCAACCGGCGAACATTTTGTATATCGCCGCGCTTGGCAAAAAGTGCCATGATAGTACCGAAAGTGTGGGAACTCGGCTTTTCACCTTGCTTCATCATCTTAGCGAAAGTGGAGGCCGCACCCGATAAATCCCCCGCAGCCGCATAGGCCTGGATCAAAATATTCCAGCAGACCGTATTCGGATGGAGGCCAAACTCTGCAGAGATGCGGTCAAATTGCCGTTGTGTCTCGGGCACATCGCCTAGCCCCGCGTGAACAGAAAGGAGCGGGCTCAACAGTCTGCGGCTCTTTGGGTTTCCGTGGTCTGTTAGAAACCTGTCGAAGGTGCGATGTACCTTTGACACATCCCCGGCCTTGGAGAAGGTTTGGAGGGCCTCCCTGTATGCTGCAATGGACGGTTTCCCCTGGAAATGAGCCAATTCGTCCAAAAAGTATGCGACGCTGTCTGCCATCTCAAAAGCCACAGCACGATCAAATAAGCGAGTTAAAAGCTTCCCAAGCGGCTCATCTGGCATGTCCAAACGAAACTGGCGATAAAATATGATGGATTGTACAAAGTCAGGCCGTGTATTTGAGCTTTGGAAATGATCAATCATCTTCAAGTGGTCATGCACCCTAACAAATCCCAGGGAGCGGTATTTTCGGAATAACTGGAGCAAGGTGGATGTCGGTGTGAGCCTTGGAAGTTCTTGATCCCTGATGAATCGGTGAAACAAATGGAGAGCAAATTCAAGGAGTTGAGGATCCCCTTTTTCAAGCTCTAGGTACTCTGCCAAGCTGACTAGAGTTCTAGCCAGGGAAAATGCGGGAAAATCTTTGTTTCTGAAGGCATCCAGGTAGGTTCTCAATTGCATTCGGGAGCAGTCTGGGATTTCGTATATCAATCTCCAGATTTTTGAAATTAGAGACCAGTTTCTGTTTTTCGTGGCATATACCAGGCTCCGCTGGATACAGAAACCGGCCGATGCTGTGGAAAGAGCTTGCTGGCAGATTGACACCACATGAGAATTTCGAGGTGGGTTTGTAAGGTGCTGCGAGGAAAGAATATTGAGGTAATCGTCACTGGTGCGTTTCCAGCTAGGAATGTTTTGAAAAACGGTCCATGCCCGCTCCTGATGGTTGTGGTTGGAAGACTCGCTCAAATAGGAAAGAACTGCAGAATTGTACTTTGACGGGCTACCAGCTGCAAGGTATAGCTTCCAGACCTTGTCATATTGGCCAGGAAGTTTCTGTCGTAAGAGAAAAGCGAGTTGTGAGCTCATCGGTTTTTCGGAGCCTGTTCGCCTTGGTACTCTTTGTATAAGATGTGGCCTATGTGGCTCTTGTGGCACTTTTGATTCTTGCGGTTCCAGCGACTCTTCTGTCCGCTTCTCGGTTTCGTCCAGGACAGTTTGTTCCGCTGGAATAGCTTGACCAGTGCATGAGGTTGATGTATAAGATCTCAAGAATGCCGTGTTGGGCCTCCTTCTCCGCAATGCAAGCCTCTTTGGAGGACGCGATAATCGAGAGCCCACAAGGCTTTGCGTTTGTCGGGGGCAAAGGAAGTCGAGAAAAAGTCCTCCTCCTTCGGTAGTCCTTTTGCCATGGTCGGTGCTGGGAACGGGGGACGGACGTTGACCTGTCGCCTGCAACAGAGCGAGAAACCAATGAGGGATATCCGCTCTTGTGGTATTTTGCGTCCATAATCCACTAGACAGAGATCTTCTGCTTCGTATCACGCCGTTGGGGTCCCGAAGGAAACGCCGTCCCGCGCTCTCGAGGCAGCTTGTTGCCCGTTCGAGCATTACCCCCGATCGTTGTAATGTCAAACCAAAGGATGGTGTAACTGGTTCTCGTTCTGCATCGTATCGTGTTCAGATGGCCTGTCTTGGTTGTGTCAGAAAGCTTTCCCGGAGCTGCGTTAGCGGATTGTTTGGTGGTGCCATACCAGGGTGAGAAAAACCAATTAGTCAAATTGCCGGCGGTATGCTCAAGTGATCACGCAAAAGCTGCAATTGCGAAATCCAACTTCAATAAATGTACGTCCGATACCAAATCGCAACGCGAGCAGCGAAGACCTGGAGCTTGGAGAAAACACGCAAAAGATTCGGAGGTTGGAAACTGCCGGAGGTTGATCGGACCATTCATTTGCCCGAAAAGCACCACCGCCTTAGACTCCCACCACAACCGTGTCCCCTCCCACTGTCACAAATCGCACACAGACATTATGGAGGTGACTGATTTCATCTTCAAGGAAAGGGAGGAGGTTCTCCTCGTGGGAGACTACAATGCCTACCGGGCGCACACTACCAGAAAACTGCACAAACTCCGCAAGAAGCTTGGACAGTCCACTCCTAAGGGTCGCAAATATACTGCCAAGCCAGCTGTGACTGCTGAGAATGTCGGAAGCAATGTCTCGTATGGCTCCCCGCATCATTCCCGATATCCATCTAACCCCATGTGTCTGGCAGATATGTACACCTTTTGCTTCTCGGTTCCGAACGAGCTTGGGCGCAAGCCATGCACATGAAGTCGACACACTCCGCAGATCCCTCGGCCAAGGGTATTTCGGGCGCCGCTAGACGTCACATTATTTCCCGATTGAGCAAGGCGACTGGATATGCGCAGCACCTAGTCACGCTGCTCCACGAACAATCGGGTTCCGGGGCGAGTGATATCGACGTGCTGGAGACTCGCGCCTATCTGGCAATGATCTCTGGATCTCTTTGGCTTGAAAAGCGCAAGTGGGAGCAGTGTCTTCGTGACTTTTCTATTGCCAGAGTGATCTACACGGCTCTGGGCCAGAGGGTCAAGAAGGACGCTTTCCGGGACCTCCTCTCGGGAACTGTTGACCCAAGTATGCGATACGCCGCTTATCAGATGAAGCTCCCTCGTTCTAAACCCACATCATCGCTGTCCATTGAATTCTTCCCATCGGATTCGGAGATCCGCGCTGAGGTTGAGAAGATTGCTCCCTCTTGCCTTGCCGAAGAAGCTGCTGGAACCCGACGCACTGCAGAGGGAGAGGTGCAGGAACTGCCCCAATCTGTGACGTGGAGGTCACGAACTGTCCCTCTCGAGGATGCTTCAATTTCCCAGTCGCTAGCCGCTGCTTCAGCGGCAGAGGCTCGCCTTACTAGTTGGTTGGCAGACGCAGGAAAGTCTGCTACTGACAAGGAGAAGGCTGCTGCATACGACAACGTTATCATTGCAAGCCAGGATGCCGTTGATGCTACAAAAACTGCCATTGATGACCTGGCCAATGAGGGTGTTGATCCCAGCGACAAGAGGATGCAGGCCCTGCAGATCACCCGAACTGCAGTTAACTACACTCTGGTCGGATGGCGAGTGGGACGTAACCGGGTCCTGTGTGGTAAACAGGACGGTTTGTCATTCGAAGAACCTACAGCTGGAAAGGACACGAAGCATACTGCGGGAAATGGGAAGAAGCTGAATAAGCTGCGTGAACGTGTTGTTCTGTACGACTCCACACTTCAAAGTTTGGACTTCATCCTCGAGCTTCCTGGTGTTGCGGCCGATTCAGCCTTTGTCAAGGACCTAGAGACAAAGCGACACTACTTCCGTGCTCTCAGGTAAGATCCCGCTACATCGTTCATTGATCCTCATGACTAACAAATATCTAGATGTCTTGCTCTGGGAAGATCTCACGGTGTTCTTGGCAAATCCAAGGAAGCTCTTGCACTTTTCTCTCAAGCCTTAAATCTCGCCGGCTCCGCCATCCCCCAGTCCACTGATCTCGAGGGTCCCCCGAAACTCGACGTCTCTCGGGCGCAGTCCGGTACCCTGGAATCGACCTTGCGGGAGTTGGTCGCTCAGTATCGGGGCCTGGTCACTCTGGAGCAGCTCCTTGCTGAAGAGGCATCACAGTCCAGCCAGCGTCCTGTGGTGGAACGACTCCAACAGTTCTCTGCCTCCGGTGTGGATCTCAACAACCTGGTGCCTTATCCGCCTCAGATGCAACCTATTCCTGTGAAGCCGTTGTTCCTCGATGTGGCATGGAACTACATTGACTACCCGCGTGAGGGACAGCAACAGGAGGTTCCCCACGCCGCACCCACAGCTGCAGCTCCCGAAGAGGAAAACAAGGGTCGTCGTGGATGGTTTGGCTTTGGCCGTTCATAGAGCCAAGATATGCAATAAAGCCCAGAGATGCAAGGATGAGCGTTACTAGATGTACATTGTAGTCTCAGGCACACGTGCCGCTCCATACCCTCCTTACTTTGCAGCCAATCAGCGCTCAGCCCGGAACTCGGGAATTCTCTAGCCGGGATCACGCCTGAGTAATTGTGATATGATGATTCGAGTATACAGGGGAGAGTAATGGATCTAATGAGAATGAATGGTCTAATTGATCTGGTAATTAAAGCTATGCTCGTCAATGGTTACATCATGCCATTATTGCCGTATTTCCGGAGATTGGAACTATGGAATCAGAGATTGATTCTGCATACGGAATACTCCGTAGTATGAAATAGTATGAGAAACCACGGAATCATTACAATATAAACCCTTCATAAATCAAATAACCAAATAAATCAATAATCTACGTGTATAATATAAGTTAACGAGTATGCACTAACCAAGGCGTGCATTGGTACCGTCCCGACCCTCCGTGTAATTGGCGTTATTGGCGTTCCCACCCCTGAGGGCCCCAATTCTTTCTCCCCTCAACTTTTTCTTTTGTTCTGGGTTCTCTTCTCTTAACTCTTCCCCTTGCTCGGAATCCTCGACTCTCCGAACATGGTCAATATGGTCAACATGACTGGGAGCTTCGTCTCGCCATCGGCCGATGCGACAGTCTCGCCCCAACTTTTCGCGCCGGCGGGTCTCGTCGCTACCGTTTTGGATGGCTTCACTATCTGGAAGGGTTTGTTGACGCTCTTCGTGGCGGCTGTCCTTTATGACCAGTGTATGTGCAATTGCGACGTGTATAGCCTTGGAAATCGCATTTTTGAAACTGACCGGGACCCCTATTTGCAGTCAAGTACCACTACCTCAAGGGCGCCATTGTTGGCCCTATGTACAAGATCCCCTTCATGGGCCCTTTTCTTCAATCCGTCAACCCCAAATTCACCGAATACAAGGCCAAGTGGGACAGTGGCGACCTGAGCTGTGTCTCTGTCTTCCACAAGTGAGGAGCCCGTGACATCTGGACGGAACATTCCGATGCACTGCAACTTTGGAAATAAGTCCGCTAACTGCTTCGACAGGTTCGTCGTGATTGCCTCAACCCGTGATATGTCTCGCAAGATCTTCAACTCGCCCTCCTACGTCAAGCCCTGTGTTGTGGATGCCGCGCACAAGCTTCTCGGAAAGACCAACTGGGTCTTCTTGGACGGCAAGGCCCACGTTGACTACCGTAAGGGCCTCAACGGTCTTTTCACCCGTCAGGCTCTGGCTATGTACCTCCCCCGCGCCGAGGAGGTTTTCAACTCCTACAACAAGCGCTTCCTTGAGAAGTCCGCCGCCACCAACTTTACGCCCACTCCCTGGATGCCCGAGTTCCGCGAGCTTATGTGTGCTCTTTCTTGTCGCACCTTCGTTGGTTACTACATGACCGATGAGGCCGTGCAGAAGATTGCGGACGACTACTATCTGATCACTGCTGCTCTTGAGCTGGTCAACTTCCCTATCATCCTTCCCTACACCAAGACATGGTACGGAAAGAAGGCCGCCGATATGGTGCTCGCTGAGTTCACCAAGTGTGCTGCCAAGTCCAAGGCTCGCATGGCTGCCGGTGGCGAGATCTCTTGTATCATGGATGCCTGGGTCAAGGCCCAGCTGGATTCCGCTGTGTATCGTGAGAAGATCGCCAAGGGTATTCAGGTCGACTCTTCCGAGAAGCCTTCCCAGGTCCTCCGTGACTTCACCGATTTCGAAATTGCCCAGACTATCTTCACCTTCCTGTTCGCCTCTCAGGACGCCACCAGCGCCGCCTCCACCTGGCTGTTCCAGTTGATGGCAGACCGTCCCGAGATCCTGGACAAGGTCCGCGAGGAGAACCTGAAAGTCCGCAACGGTGACCGCACCATCCCCGCCACCATGGACCTGCTCGACAACATGCCCTACACCCGGGCTGTCGTCAAGGAGACTCTGCGCTACCGTCCCCCTGTCATCATGGTTCCTTACCTTGTCAAGAAGGACTTCCCGATCAGCGAGACTGTCACTGTGTCCAAGGGCTCTATGATAATTCCCTCCGTGTGGCCCGCATGCCATGACGAGGAGGCATACCCCAACGCCGACTCTTTTGACCCCGACCGCTGGATCACCGGTACTGCTGAGCAGCAGACCAAGAACTGGCTCGTCTTCGGCACAGGTCCCCACTACTGTCTGGGTCAGACCTATGCTCAGCTGTCTCTGATGGCCATGATCGGAAAGGCCAGTATGGAAATGGACTGGGAGCACACCCCCACTCCCGAGTCGGAGGATATCAAGGTGTTTGCCACTATCTTCCCTCAGGTATGTTCTACTCCCACTCCCGTTTCTATTTTATAACCCATACTGACTTACTCAGGATGACTGCCTGCTCACATTCCGCCCCCGCGCCTAACTTCTCCCATTCTTGGCTTGCACAAGACAAAAAGCGAAGCTGGAGCCCAGCCCCGTTCTCCGGGTAGAGAAGGGCTTGGTTGCCTTTTTTTACATTGCCTTCCTGTCCTGGAGATGGGGTGGCCCATTGATGAATTCTTCTTCTTCTTTTCTTTCTTGATATCTTCTTTTCATGTATGACGGACGCTCTAGAGTATTGTCTTTCCCTTTTTCTGGGAAAGCTTGTATACCATTGTGCAAAGATATCCCCAGTGTGTTTATGATTATCTGGCCTTTGGAGGTCGCTGGGGGGTCCTTCTTTCTTTTCTGCCCAGGGGACTACTTTTAGAGCCATGCACTTTAGAATAATATTAATTCATCTTTTTTCAGTGACCCTTCTCTTATATCAGCCTGTTTTGTATTTCAACTCTCATCATTTGTATTAGACTATTGGATTTATGAGTTCTGTGTTCTTGTTGTCAATCAGTATATGCACCACTATATATCTACACTAGATCCCCATCATCCACAGATATATACCTTGAAAAACACTTCAAGCCCTTTGTAAGTATATTCCCATCCTACTTGCCCGTCTAATGGACACTGGGAATCACTATATAAAATTCTTCCCAAATAGAACTCTTTAGTAAAGTAGGTGACGGTAAAACTGCCGCCTCGGGAAATGAGCAGCTCACGGAGCGAACATGAGCGGGTCCCAGCTGGCTCGGTGCCCTCGCTCAGGCCATGGAGGCCGTTACTTACTACGGAATACAGTATGTCCGCCTATCATGTCTGAGGCCTCTAACATAACCTGCACTACTACCACGTGATATCAAATCCCGACAAGGCTTATTACCCCTTTCTGCCTATGTATAAATAGGCAGGACCATTCGTAGTGAGCGCTCCTGATTGAATATTGATACTTCTCCTAGTTTCGGGCACGTTTATTTCCTTACCTACGCTCGCTACCATGAAGACCGCTCCTTTCTGGGTCTCTATCGCCCTATTAGTTCCACGGGTTCTAGCAGTCCTTACTGAATCCATAGCGAATTCTGCTACGTCCACTACCACTACTGCCGCGGCACCAAGCTGTACAGCGTCCCCCATCGCCAGTCTCTGCAGCTACCCGGAACCTGGCCCAAACTTTGCCGTCGCCATCGACAGCAGGGCCTCCTGCTGGGACTATTGTAACGCTCACCCTCCCTGCGACTTTGTTATCTTCTCTGCCGGCAACCCTAACACCGGCACCGGCACGTGCTGGCTGTACCCTGGTGAAACCTTCGATGCGAGCAAAGGTAGTACGGATTGCACCAATCCCAGCCTGTCCGTCTACAGCCAGCCCGTGTGTGCTGGCGGGAGCGCAACCACCACTGCTGGCGCCTGCGCCGCCACCGCGACTCCCTCTGCTATTGCCTCGGTCTGCGGGTACCCGACGCCTGGTGACTGCTTTGACGATTGTACTGCTAGTACGGGTGCATCGAACTGCTTGAGTCAATGTGCAAAGGCCGATTCCTGCAGCTATGTCGTCTTTAATCCGAAGAATCCTGGCAACTCGCCGTATGCCTCGGGCAGTTGCTGGATGTATCCGAACGGCACATTTAATGCTGGGTCTGTGACCGCTTGTAGTGGCTCCCCTGAGCAGTTTGTGTATAACAACTTGTGTCCCAAGCCATCACCTTCATCGTCCTCCAATTCATCATCTAGTGGCACTGAAACTGCAGGCACTACTCCGGGCTCAACTACTAGCGCTGCTTCGAGCTCTAATGGAACTGAAACCGCAGGCAATACTACGGGCTCAACTACTAGCAGCAAGAATTCTGCGCCTACCGGCCTCTCGCTCACTAATCCATTGGCTATAGGCGTGGCAATATTAATGTGGCAGGCCGTTTAATGATACCCTTGTATGTATTGGTTGTTTGTTCAGCTAAACAAGCTATTGGAAACGATATATTATATATTAATAGACTTCGTATGAGGTCACTTCTCCTCATGTATCTCTCGCTATTGTAGAGGGTATGTTAGATTATTCATCCCATACTATAAATAATGGACTAGGGTTCCGAATAGTACGAACCACGTTGCTAACTTAGTCGGTCTTAGAAAGAAGCGGTAGAATTATAGCTTTGGAACTATGAACACTTAAATTTTAAAGCACGGGAGCTTAAAGGATAGGTCTTACACGGTGGAATGTTAAATAGTGGAAACTTAAATGGTGTAACTTAATTCCCAGATCCCTCCATCGTAGCACACGGTATATCCAATCCAAGTAGGCGGTAACCACCGGCAAATACTGACATCACCCAACTGATCCGCAACCTCGGAACTCGCGACTCCAAGCAACACCCCAGAACTTCAAGATCTCAGCCCGAAACAATGGCCTCAACATTATCATCAAATATCCGGCGTTCTGCCATCACACTCTCATCCGCTACAGCCAGAATTTCGCCTCGCAATGCGGCACCGGCCGCCGCTTTCCAGCGGTTATACATCTCCGCATCAACAAGAGGACTGTCCACCACCACGAAGACACGAGTTTCACTCAATTCCTCGGCGACATCATGCAGCCTTCCCAGGAAGATTTTGTTGAACGGCAAGAACCCGCAGGTTCAGACGCGGTCAAACAGCGATGATGCCAGTGCAGACAGCCTCCGGTACTGGGGATTCGAAGAGGTATGCAATCTTCAAACGAACTATAAACCATACACCAAAAAGCTAATAGAAAAAAGATAAACGCCTCCCTCCCCGCCTCCGCAGACAGCCCAACCCACAAACCAAAAATCCACCTAATCGACGTCCGCGAACCAGCCGAACTAACAGGAACGGGCATAATTCCCTCGGCAGTCTCTATTCCGCTCGCCTCGCAACCGGACGCGATGTACCTAACGCCCGACGAGTTCGAGACTCGGTTTGGGTTTGCGAAGCCTGTTGCTGAAGAGGGCGAGACGATGGTTTTCTATTGTAAAGCTGGTGTGCGTGCTAAGGCTGCGGCGCAGTTGGCTGTGCAGGCTGGGTATGATCCTAAGTCTGTTGGGGTTTATTGGGGGTCTTGGCTGGATTGGGAAAAGAATGGAGGGAAGGTTGAGAAGTGGGATGGGGAGGATTATTGATTAAATTTGAGGGGATGATAATATATTGATGTTAGGTATTTATGTTGTGATATGAATTTGTCTTGGGCTGGTTGCCTTGTGTGAAGAGTAACAAAGTAGAGTTACTAGGGTTTGTACATACATAACTATTACATCAAGAATGGAACAAGAGGACTTTGGTCTATCTCGATTCTGAAAGTAACTATCCAAGACTTGCCTTCAACTGACCTTACGATGTACCGATGAAAGCTGGAACATAGTCTAGCAATATCAATTCAATTCACTAACAGAACAAAAGATCTGGTATTAACCAGGCCCTGCTTTTCCTATATCATGTACAGGCGACTTCTCTCTCTGTTCATCCATCAAGTCGTGGTAATTCATTGTATGTTCAAATCGCAATCAAGACAAAATAACTTTTCCGCTTTTGATAGCAATTGTCATAGCTCAAAGGTTTTAGATCCGCTTCCTCCTGGCCAGTGCCATAACAGAGAACAGAGGAGGCCAACGGAGAACAAGTTCGCCACTCACTAGGATGTCATCATTAAATTCGCGAGGGAAAAGAGTGATCCCGCAAGGCTAAAATGGGTCCGAAGTTCGAAGGCCTTCTTTAGCTCTGAGAAGAAATCCTGAACACCCGGATAAATGCCATAGGGACGAAATCAAGGAATGTCGAAGACGGGCTTGAGCTTCTTGACAAGAGCCCACTCTTCCATCGACACCTCCGCACGGTAGAACTCCTTGAGGGTGTCGATACTGGCACGGGAGATGTGCGAGACGAGCTGGTCCTTCTCTTCGAGGTGGCGGCCGTACATGGGCTGGTTGGGGGCTTCGACCTTGACGGCGACGGAGGGTTGACCGCGCTTGCAGACGGGGACGGGCTTGTGGTCACGCTCAATGGATGTCCTGTAACATCGTTAGAAATCAATCAAATGGTAAAATGGGTAATGGTAGCAAACTTACACTCTGCCGATATCGACAATTTCCTTGACACCAGCGGCGTTGGTGCGGATCGCAGCCAACGGAGTGTGGAGTCGCAGACTTCCCTCAAGAACATCAACACCGATGACAATGGGGTCAGTCTTGTTGAAGACGGCAACGGGCTTGATGACACAGGGGAAGATAGCAAGAAGCTTAGCCTCCTCCTTGCGCCGCTCGGTGAGCTGGGCCATGTGGGCAGTGAAGTCATCGAACAGGTGGTAAATGATATCTGCGGTAAAGATCTTGACACCGATGTCGTTGGCGTAAGCCTGGGCATCCTTGTCGACCTTGACATCGAAGCAAAGCATGACAGCGTACTCCTTGGCCTTCTCAAGCATGGTTCCTGCCATCATAACATCACGCTTGTAGACGGGACCAATGGAAATGTTGGCAACGGGGATCTTAGACACCTTGAGGAACTCCAGAAGAGCCTCAAGCGAACCAAGAGTGGAGGCCTGGACAGTGACACCACGCTGGTCAGTGGAGACACGGCTCAGCAGGTTCTCGAGATCGGACATGACCTCCTCCTCGAGGTCCTCCTCATCGTCATCGGGGCCGACGACAAGCATACGAGAACCGGCAATGGCGTTCTCCAAGTCATTGGCAGCAATCTTCACACCAAGGGCGGCCTTAACCTCCTTGTTGTGAACGTATTGAGACTTCAGACGCAGTTCCTTGAGCGGCGCCGGTGTCAAAAGTGCTCGAATATTGGTTGTTATAGGTCCATTGAGACCACACATTACAATACGATCACCCTCGCGGAGAACACCGTTAGACAGGACAACGTCAATGGTGGTACCGAGACCCTCGATGACCTTGACTTCCAGAACGGTACACTCAACCTCGGACAGGTACATCAAAGCGTTGGTCATACGCTCCTGGGTCAGGCTGGTCAGGAGCTTCAGCATATCGGGAATACCCTCACCAGTGTGGGCGGAGGTGGGAACCAGGGAGA